AGGATGAATTTGCAGGCCTTCAAAACCACTGGCAACATGCTGCAAAGTGAGCAGTTAAAGACCGGACTTTCAAAAGGATTGATTCCTTCCAAATCCTTTAAACGGCGTGGCCTTAAAAGTCTTGATCTTTCTACACACACTGCATGCCTGCCTCTACTGCAAAAGATTATGATCTAAAGAGTTATGTTGCTTTGTTAGGGGAAAGCAACGTTATATAACACATATAAGGAACAAAGCGAGTTTGCTTGAGTATTCGTGTTGACACGAGGTGAAAAAGGCCCAAGAGATCATTGCAATGCCCAAGAGGTTCAGCCCACGGCACAAAGCGTTTGACCCCAGGAAACTGGAAGGGGAACCAACCACTCGTCTTTTGCTCCAGGTTCTTCCCAAAGCTCTTCTCGCATCTTGCCAGTCAAGGCAAGCATCTTGGCAGTCAAATCAAACTGACACGGGCGATGTGACCGTGTGACCGTGTCAGTCCTTTGACTGAGAACTCAAACCCTCACGACCACCCTTGGGCACGGCATCTTTCGAGGAGACCCCACAATTCAGTTGAAAGCCGACTCATTGAGCTAAGTCATATCCCCGGACCTTCGGTGGTCCCCACAAAGCTCCTTTGAGGCGCTGCTCCTTTCGTCGCCGAACCGTTCGGAACCGTTCGTCGCGAGGCGCAAGTCGCCGCCCACCTGGATGCTGGTGTCCAAGCTTTCTGCATCGACCAAGATCATCTGCGGTGGTGTGCTATCTGTCACCCAGACGTGCCCTGTGCGGCCACCACTAGGAGCACCTCGGCAGCTGAGGAAGGTCAGTGGATGTCATTGGTCATTGGTCATCCAGACCGTCGGGATTGCAAACTGGTCAATTATGACTATTGGATACTATTGGAACAAACCGGGTTCAAGAGGGAATCGGTAAGAGTCAAAACCCCTTAGCGACAGTGACACGTTCATGAGAGTGTAGCGCGAATCGGAGATCCACGACATTCCACGACCATGAGAAGCAAGCATTTCATGCAGGAATGATACCAGACTGAACCAGACTGAACTCTCATGAGAGACACAAAGGACGGACGCTTGCTAGGTTAAGAAGGTCCTTCCATTTGGTCTTGTTACAACAGCGCCGACAAGCTTTTCGAGTAGCACATGTGACAAGTCTACAGTCTTATGAAGGAAAATTGACAGTGCGTCCAGGCCACTCGCCGAAAGGACATCAGTGCCGACATACTCCTGCAAAGCGGTCTGCAAAAGTTGTTGTTGGTGCAGTTGTAGAACAATGGCTCCAAGGTTGCCCCAATAAACGCGTTGAGTCACCCTCTTCAATACAAAAGAAGCCTTCCTAACACTTCCACTCCCTAAGTTCACCTTCTAACATCTCCTAACACGTCCACCACGAGTCACTAGCAGGCATGGAATTCGAGGGATGTACAAAGGGTAACTCTGCCCTGTACTCTGTCCTCTCAGCCTGCAACAGGACTTCTCGGAGAATTGCCAATGGAACCATGTGAACAGATATGAACAGATGCGAACAGGTCTGGCGGTCGGCTGTCGCCTGAGTCATGGAATTGGGCCGGCTATAGCCCTTGGTGTCGATGGCCGAATCTCTTGCCCAGCAATAGATGTCATACAAGGTGCCCTGGCAGAGTCGAAGCCCTGGATTTCCAACCCACGGTGACGCGTGTGTGAAGCATGGTGTGTTTCAGCATGTCCATGGTGTGTTTCGTGTGAAACACAGACGTACACATAACACCTCAAAGCGCTTCCTCACCACATGGACTAGGGAAGCGGTTTGCACCAATGCGAAGAAAAAAACACCTCACTCACTCATCGCTCGCTCACTCACTCACTCACTCCCTCCGGGCATGAGGCGACCCGTTGAGGCGACCCATTTACTGCGAAACCCGATTTTTACTTCGATATCAGCATCCCAGCCATGCAGCACCATGTGGGTACCCTGTGCAGCTTGGTGCCCGAGCTGTGAGTCGAGCTCGCCTTGTGAATCTCTAGATTTCCATCTGATCCGTTGAGTACCGACGATTTTCCCAGTCGGAAAACAGGGACATCATTATGAAAGAGAGAGAGAGAGAGAGAACGGGAATCCACCAAAAAAGGGATACGGGAGACTTCAGCTGGCTGCCCACCACATCCCCCCAGCGGCTGTCTTGTGCGAAAGATCCGCCTCTTCGAAGAACACATCCTCATCATGGCGATTCGTTAAGCTGGGATCCACGTTGTCCAACTTGGTCATGGTGATGGTCCTCAACGTCGGGACAGAACACTGAAAACGTTGAGTGTTTGCCATCGCAAATTCGAAACAAAGATGAATCTGGATGGCGATTCAAAAGCATCACAAGCCAGTTTTACAAAAGGCTCCACTTCAAGCACGTCTATAGTTGGGGTTGTGCTAAGCTGTGATAAACACTTAAAGATTTAAAGATCCTTCAAAGAATCACCAGGCCGCCAAACGGGGTTGCCCAAGCAGCCCCGCTATTCTCAGATGTTTGACCCATGAAATCGCGGGGCGGTGCAATGCAAGTGGCTGAGTGCTGTTGGAGTAGACCGCAGCCCAGTTGGCGGCAATGATCCGGTTCACGTGCCTTGCAGCCCGAAGGTGGATGCTGTACCCCGACTTCTTTAGGACCCCCAAAGCTCCAAAAAGCTTGCTTGGACTTTGAACTCGCCGTCACACCCGCCGAAACAAAGAAAACTCAAAAGGACCATCTGGCCCCCTCCAAAAGACATACCTCTGGCCCAGAAGGTGGAATGAGATTGACCCAGAATTTCCATGACCAACTCCATGCGCTGCCCAAGGAGCATCTCCAGTGCCGTCTCTCCGGAGTCGGAGCGCGTGGCGCAGCAGTAGGCCGTGCCCGGCTCGTTGAGGGCGAAGGTGACCTCGATCCGGTCGTTCCACGCGGTGGGGTCCTGGACGGTCGCGATCGCTCCGCCAAGGTGGTCCGTGCAACTTCCAGTTGCAGATGCTACACGGAGGAGGGTCCAGGGTCTTGGCCAAAAAAGATCGAAGTAGGACGACTCAAGTGGTCAGTGTCATCTTTGATGTTGATATATGTTGATCATCGCAGAAGCGCAAGAAGAGCGCAATGAACCCGTGTATATAACCAGCTGTGAAAGACTGTGATCATTCATATAATCATTCATGAACGGATGAAACTGTCCTGGATCTCCAGCAGAGTGAAGCTTGGAGGCGTCTGATCCAAAGTCTTCACGCTGCCAATGCTCTCTTGGACCACCAGGATCTGACTGGCCGGAGCGCTGCTGTTGAAGGTCATCTTGTTGGGATTGGATCCAACACCTCGGAGAATCAAAAGACTGCTATGGTTGTTTCCTCATAGGCTTGGCGGACCAAAAACAACGGCATCAAAACAAAAAAATGAAACTGCCAAGATGCCGTCGTCCTCATCATCTTCAGCATAACAGTAGATGTAAGGATACTCTGTGGCCTCAAAGTGAAATCAGCTTGATGGAGAAGGTTCTAGAAGCTTCTAGTGAAATCAGTGCTGGACGACTGGTGCAAAACGATAATGAAAGACTTCTACGAAGAAAACCACCGTTTTGCAACCGGACTGGCCAGGTCGGAGCTGCACGCTGCCAGGTCAGGTCACTCTGACCAGGCCGCTTGGCCGCTTTTGAAAGCTGGTCCTTCACCAGTTCTCAACAGATGTTGGATGATGGTGACAGCTCTATGGCCAAACATGCATGGCAGGATGTTGCACAGACTTCGAAGTCCGGCCAAAAGTCTCCCTGATGACCCAGCTGGGTCAAGATGCCGATCAGGCTGTGGGCCAATCCCATGTCTTGAAGCGCATCTCGCGCGCAACGGTCGCACGATCTGAGCTTGACGCTGTCAGGCCGTCGGGCCGTGCCACTGACATCCATGAAAACAGACACCCTAAATGGCGAAAGCAATCTGTCCACATTGGCGGAAGGCCTCACCAAGAAGACCATCGTCAAGACTGACGATTTTCTTGGTACAAAGGGCTTCCGCCAACAGTCAAAACCTGACAAAGCAATACCATGCAATACCGAATGAGATTGGGGAGCTCTTCAATGAACACCCCAAATGTTTAAAATTATGATCAAAGGGATTCAAAGGGATCAGTGGTGAGTGTTCCCATATGGGTACCCCAGTCTGGGAGCTATGATAAGCCCTATGCTAGAGACGTCCATGTTCGAAGGAGAATTCTTGTCGTTGACTCGTTGACAAGTCCCATCTGAACTTCTATGGGACGTTTCCATCAAGCATCGAAGTAGATGTCGACGCCTTGACGTGGGGACGTCTTGATCACTGTCACTAGCAAATTCAGGCTCCCCCACCGTGGAGGAAGCTGCAGAGTCTACACTCCGAGAAAGCTCGGGGCCATTGCACAGCTGGGTATGGTGCTTTGGACACCAAGGGCCCAAGGCTCCAAGGATGTTGAGGTACTCTTTAGCCCAACTGGGCTCATGCCACATCACAGAACTAGGTCTCAAAGGACTCGGAACGCCACCAGTTTCCATCTAAATCTAAACCATCATGCACTGCCAAGCCCAAAAAAGCAACGCCGTCCTTTCCGTGCTATCCTCGACGATGTTTCCAAGGGCACCTGCCGTTGGAGGCACATTTTGGGGTCCGCCCTCAAAAGCTTTCCGAAGCGTCACAACCTGCACTCATCACATTCTGATACCAAGCCCCAGGGCAGCAGCCTCACAGGTACCAGACTAATCCACCCGTTGGCGGGGGGCAGCGACAAGGGGGCCGCCCCCGGGACTCACGCGGCTGCCGGTGCGGCAGCTCGCCCAACGACGGACTCCTCTCGTGGGACTTCTCCGCTCCATGCGCCCGGCCCAGCGGTCTCCATACATCTCCACACCGGTCTCCAGAATGTCTCATGTGCTGGAAGAAAGGTGGTCAACGTGTTGTCCAGCGCGTCTCATGTTTCTCAACATATGATATTTCGCCTGCGTTTGCATACTTCGATGTCACCATAATACTTGTTTCTTCATCTAGGAAGGCTGTTGCTCAAGGAAGGCTGGACCTTTTGAGACACGGACCTCTTCCAGATTCAGTAGAAGGATGGACACATCTTCTTGATACTTCCACTTGCTGTGGTCGAAGTCCGCCTCACAAGTCGGTGAAGTCGACGACGAGACGACCACGTAGACTAGGCACTAGGGCCTAGGGGGGAGACCCCCGCAACTAAAAGGGGGTTTGGGATGGGTTTGGTCTATGTTCTTGCTTTGGGGAGCCAAAGTAGCGCAGCTCCCTGTTTCTTTCTCATCCCCGAAAACGGAATCTCTGCAGAACACCTGCAGGACACTCGGGGATCTGCCTGTGTGGATACTCCATCAGCGGCAGAGTCTTCCAGGTCGTCCAGATCATAGACCCAAAAGCTGCCACACTCGTTGCCAAAAGAGTCCTGGCACTTTTGGAATGACGACGACGACGACGATGATGATGCGTGCTGTCTGGGTCCCTCCAAAAAGACTGACCAACCAAGACGGGACTCAAAAATCATCCCAGAAAACTCCAATCTTGCATCCTGACGACTCTGAAGCTCCAAAGATCTTGGAAGCAGCTTTTCAGAGTGCACTGCTTTTCAGGTCACAATTCTTGGAGTTGCAAAGTGAATCCTGCCTCAGAACCTTCTGGAGGTTTCCAGAACAGATCTACCGGCCCCGGAACACCTGCAGATACCTGCGCACACGACCCGCGCGGAACGATTTTTTTGCGGGCCCCACCGTGCAGTTGCTCGACTGCGCTTTGATGAGCGCTTCGAAGTCGGAGGACAAGGAGTCAGGCCTGAGAATGCCGCAGCACGTTTTTGGGGGTGACGATGGTGTGAGATGGTGTGAGCTTGGCTCTGGTTCCTTCAGGTTGCTTCAAAGCCACAAAGACATCTCCCCACTAGTGACTTCGGTTTTCTCAAGAAAGCAAATATATCATGTTTGGCATATCTGCATATCTGCTGTCATTTGGACCAGAGCGCGGAGTGGAGTGCCAACTCGGAGTGCCAAGATGCTCGGACATCCAGGCGGCACACCAAATCTTGCTGCCTTCATCAACTCGAAGTAGTATTTGTAGCTTGTCTTTTGAGATTGCCTGGCGGGGCTCTCCCAAGTCAAGTGAGCTTCGGCCAATATGTATGATTAAACCTCTATGTCGTACAGTATCAAGTTCTTACGCTGGTGCTTGCGCATTGCTTACGCAACTTCAGTTTTAGCTTACGCGAGGCCTTGGATAACAAAAGTCTTACGCAAAGCTTACGCCATGACACAATTGTGATTCCGAAAGGTTCCGCCAAAGGATTTGCTTTCACAGCAATACATTTTGCTCTTCATGTTCTTGTAAAGAGCAGTACTTACGCAAACCTTACGCAACAAGTGTGTTCAACATGGAGCTTACGCAACCTTTCGCAACACAATGTGTTCCTTACGCCACAGATTGATATGACATACTCATTCCTAATGGAATGTCAAGGGAGGTTTTGGCTATTGCTCAAGTGTGTTCATAGATGTGAGAGCCTCACCAAATCTGATGGGCCAAAGCATGTGTGAAGCAGATCTGAATCACCAGTCTCAGCACAGCTGCTGCACTAGACACGCAGTTCATTTCACTACATCATGCACTCCGTTTCAAACCCACCAGCCACCGGTCTAGATCCCAATCTGTGAACCTTTCTCATCCAGGTCTTGACATGTCAGTCATCGGAACTGCACCTCCACATCAGTGATGGACATCTGGGGTGGGGTGAGGTCCAAAGTACGGACCACACCCACCGCCCCCGGGGGACCACACTGCAGCGGGACGCCTTGCCCGTTGCCTGGAAAAATGACGGTATGGAATGAAATCCGCCTCACGAACGGGCAGTTATAACTCAGTTGCAAATATGTCAAATGGGGGGTATTGATGGGATGTACTGATGTACTGTGTGGGTGATTCCATTGATTCCTATGGGATTCCACTGCAGAATAGAGAGAACCAGCCTTCATCATCCTGGGCCCAGCCTTAGTGAAAATCCACTTCAGAGGTCGGCCAGACTAAACCCCCTTTTCGACACATTTGGCTGTGGGTCCAAGCCGAAAAAACCAAACGCTTTGACCAAAGAAAATACCAGAACGGCCGGTCAACCTACTAAGGAGGTCGGGATCCTGGCGTGCCATGACCCACAACGTGCTGAACTCAGCGGCCGACAGAAGATGTCGTAGTCCGTCCCGCGCGTCAGTGGCGCCAGTCCAGTAGAACCCGAAGACATGTCCACCACCATGGAGGCATCGTAGGGTGGATAGAAGGACGTATTGGCTTTGAAGCCTAGCGACCGGCGCCGCGGATGTAACAGCAACGCAGCGAAACGCAGCGAAATGAGAGCGGATGTAGACAGGGTGAGAGGGGGCAGAATGCGGCCAACGACTAGTTGAAAGTCTGGACCTCGCATTCATCTGCATGTCATCCAAGTTAAATGGAGAATGCACATCATCTTTGTGTTGGGGAGACGTGGAAAATAAGCGGTAGGAAAATGCCTAAAGTTGGAGAAGAAGACGAATCAAAGCAGCATTGGTTCACAGGAATGAGTGCGTTTTTACGACGACCTTCCCAGCGCTTTGGACTTCATCTTCACGTCTTTCCGGACCTGCAGCCGTTACCACGTAGTGGCTCGGCGCCACCAGCCCTGAACGCACCAGAGCGCAGTAGGCAGTGCCCGGTTCATCCAACGTCAATGTCACCTCAATGGCATCTTCCCTTCCAGCCACGGCCTCCAAAAGGCGAGTGCGAAAAAATATTTGTCTCAGGCCATGCGTTGCTTGGAATTCAGTACTTGGATTGACTGAGAAAGTCTTTTCTCCGAATTATGCTTAATCCTGATGACTGGGATTTGTTGGCGGTCGCAGAGGTGTCATCGATCTCAAGGACTATGGTCCCCCAAAGAGGATAGTACAGGTTAAGAAGGAAAGGAGACACTTCGCTCCCAACGTGTTACAACATGTATCATGTTCATAATTCATGTTATATGTACGGTGTTACTTGTGGTCCGCAAATTTTGCAACATGTATGATAAATTATATGTAACTTCTCTCAGTAGCTTGACTTCTTCCTCCCAACCTGAGCATCCTCTTTTCTTCCGGCCGCGCCTGTGCGGAGCAGTTCGACGAGCTGGGCGCCGTGGTGTCCATGCTGCGCACCCGCTGGCGCGTCGCCAGGGCCGCGCCCACCGTGACGACGTTGGGCGCCGGCGCTTCCAGGTCCTCCGCGCGGTCCGACCGCGGCGGCGGCCTAAGGAGTGAGACGAGCTGGGCCGGCCTTGGCGTAGCAAAAGACGTTGTAGTAGGTCTTCGCGACGAGATCGGTCACCTTCGAACTCCAAGCTTCCCAGTTTTCTGCTGATTGTGGATTGAAAACTGTAGCACTTCCAAGCTCCCTGCATCAATGTCCATTTCAGCATAGCCCCAAGAAGAACTGAAAACAGCCTCAGTTTCAACATCAACGAGGTCCAGGTGCCGCTGTCCAGTCATAAGGCCCGCACGCTGCTGGAAAAGGAGGTTCCGATCTCTGCCAAGGTCACCCCGAGCTTCTGCCCACCAGCGCCGTCCTTGGTCGGTGCGCACTAAGCCCTTCAGCTCCGCCCATCCATCACCCACACAGGCCCACATGGGGTCGTGTCTAGTAGCAAGGAAGCTATTAGGTGGAGGCCATCGCAAGATATCGCAAGTAAGTTGGAGGCCATAACAAGCTAGTAGGTTGGAGGCCATTACTCCTAGTAGCAAGGGCGCTACTAGTAGTAGCCGCCGTGTCGGTCAATTTGGAAGACGGGTGAAAACCACTGATGACACACCCAGAGGGCAGAGGGGGACCCAGCTCCTTGAAGCTGACCCCCCTGAAAGGAACGATGTTAGGTCTGACTGAATCCCTTCAACATCCAACCTCTCCCAAGTACAGCTTTAAAGCTGTCAACATCTTCCACTCCCAGCCATCATTTTGACATCCCTTCACCTGAGGTGAGCACTGGAAAGGCTTGGCAATATGAAGTGCCGCTCTCATCCAGCCCTGCACTTGGCACACCCGGCGCGAGAAAACACGCTGATGGAGGACTCAGTCCCATGTGCCACACACCGAAACTCCGCTCTCGGTGCCCGGGCGCAGCGTCACGCGGATCGAGGACTCGGAGGTGCCGTGGGTGGAGACCATCGTGATCACTGGCGGCGTTGCGTCGTCCCACTCTCGGTGAGGCACCGTGAACTCTCCATCGCTCAAAGCGACCGGCGCCGGCGCGATCGTGCGGTTCGCACTGAACATGTCTCGGGAGGTTTCTGGGGCGTGCCAAGACATACCGTATCTAGTTGGGTGAGTGGACTGAGCGGGTTTCGGTGGGAAACCGCTGCCGTGCGGCGTGGCCTGGCGGCGTCACGTCTGCTGCTTTGGTTCGAACCTCAGGCAGGGCAGGCATCACTAGACATGGCCATTTGACGTGAGGTTGGTCAAAACCATCCCAGGTACTGCAAAAAATCTCCAAGTTTGGCCAGATCTTGGGTCGAGTCTAAGAGTTTCAGAGACGCCCTTTTTGATAGAAGACTTTGAGGCACTGACCCTATAGGTCTGTCCTGCTGATCCAGCAGCTTGGAGAGGTTGCAGCAGATCCACTTGCGCCTGGGGTGAGGCCGCCGAGTTCAGTGAGGCCTCTCCTCCTCCCCCCTGCGCTGAGTGTGATGCCAGCAAGGTGGTCGGTGTCACGCGTTGTAGGACGGAGCTTCCGATGGTGATGTCCCACGTCTGGACGGAGAGCGGAGACGTGCCGATGGAGTTCCATCCCATGTGGTTATTTGGATGCACTAGTCAAAAGCTTTCTATTCACCAGTAGCTCAGTAGGTAGGATCAAAAAACCCAACGAGTTGGCATCCAAGTCCACCTTGAAGCTCACTCTTCACTTCAATGGTTCGAACCTATCGCTACATCTCATGTAGCCCGGCCCAGCCTGGCCCTTGCAGTCATTCAGTGACATCGCGTTGATGCGACACCAGTTGCTTTGTGCCACACTCGAGGCAAGCAAGGGATCCTAAGAAATCGGAGGCTTACCCCAGCCTGTACACTCCGACATCAAGTGCCCAAACGTGGCAACTATTTGTGGTCGAAAAATCGTCCTTCCCGCCATGTTCCACTTCCATGGGTTGTGAGTCGGAAGACTCTGAGGTTCCAGCATTTGGTATGATGGTCATCGTCGTCATTGCTGTATCGAAGGACACCTGCACAGCTGCGAAGAATCAGAAAAGCTGTGCCAGCTTAGGAGCACATTGAAATCATTGAAGCCCCACTCACCTTCTGTACAGAATTCTGCATGAGCTGCCCTGGAGGGATATTGAATATGTTCGTAGAACCTTCAGTCACTTCCAGTCCCTTTTGCTTGAGTAGCGTGTTCAAAAGGCCACCAAGTCCACCACCAACCCCTGGCCTGTGTCGTGTCATGGATTGGGATGGCTCGGTACTCATCAGCAAAGCTGAGGGGAAGCAAAATGATGCTCCCCGTGCCGCGCTGAACTGCTTCACTGAAGGTGAGTTGTAGGGATCCGTCGAGAGCCAAGGTCTCCACATCGCTCGGAGGGTTGAGCGAGGTGATGCAAGAGGTCTCGAAGGTATAAGTGCCTTCGTTTTGGTCTGTGAAGATGAGAAGAGGTGCATGAAAACTTGGATGTGAACCTTTCTCTTCGCTGAAATTGTGAAGCAAGAAAACACGGAAGCCGTCTTCAAGCGGCTGATGCGCTTGCGGATTCGGAAACTCCATTTCATCACGGGTTTTGATCGACGCTTGATTTCAAATCTGCCAAGATGCCGCTGGAAAGCGCTGCCACGGCATTTTCTGAAGGGGACACATCAAGAAAGCAGCCTGCACTGTAGGTGACCTGGAGGTGCCAGAAGGATATGGTCAAAGGACTGACTAGTACAAAAGGATGGAGTATCCTGAACAACTTCCCACACGCACTGGAGACTCACAGTCACGTCCCCGTCGCTTGAGGCTTGCGTGACACGCCTCGTAGCGCTGGCAATAGGTAATAAAGCCACCCGAATTGATGCTGACTCGGCTATCTTCAATGACCTGGCTTGCTGCATTGAAGATTGCGGGGATCCTCAAAGACTCAAAGACAGCTTTGGGTCATATGACGGGCACACTCAGCGCTCACAACAGTCATGTGTTCCGCAACAGAATGAGGTCGGGCCCAAGAGAATGGGGTTTGCGAGGACTCCTTTGCTGAACCCCACAATTGCTTCTTGGGACAGGAATGATGCAAGAAATCCTCCCTTCAAGACACTCCCAGGACATTGAGCAGCTACTCAATTGTAAGGAAATAACTGGGGCACAAACCACTGAATTGCTTCGGCAGGTGAGGACAGAGCTTAGGCCAGTGTAGAGGTTCTGAATACTGATGACCTGGCACATGCCATGAGTCTCCTCCGGAAAAACGGATAAACAAATTCGATGTGTGTATCATTCCGATGGAATGTTCAAAGCAAAAAAGCAGGAAAGGATTGGGAGAGTAGCCCACAATATGTGCACACAGGCTCCCTTTATCAGCGTGAGCATCCTTGCAACTTGAAACAGAATCATATCATACGGGCACCTAGAAGAAACCTGACAGCCTGACTGTAACACATGCATGCTGATGTCACGGTTTCTTCATATCTTGGAACATGGGTCACTGTACCTTCGAGCCTCGTAGGTGGCTTTCAATATGTGATGCAGAGGCTATACCGGCTAGCTACATCAAGCGACATTGCGGAAACATTACCCCGCCATGTAAAGATCTTTAATATCGTCTGTGCAGGGAAAGGCCTGGAGCTATATATATATATATAGTTATCAATCACCACCTGATTCTCTGAACTCCTTTGGTTGTTTTTGCATGTTTCTCGCCCGGTCTTTCCCGCTTCGACGCGCGCACCTTGGCCGTATCGGCCGCTGCACTGATGGACTCCGAGAAGGTCAGGATGGGCGCGACGCCCGGCAGAGCACCTGCGGCGAACCAACCAAACCTGTGACTCCCGGAAGACGCCCAAGCAAAAAAGGCCTTGGACACGGAGCATTACAAAGGACTTGGTTGGGTCAGTGGTCCAGTTCAATTCTCGGCAAAGGCACTGGGCTCGCTGTAGGAAGGAGAAACAGACGAAAGAATTGGAGCAGTAAAGTCTCCAGTCGAGAAGGAGTACTCGAAGGTCACGGAGGCAGATCCATCCGAGGCGCTCCGCCTCACAGCCATCGAGAGACGGGTCAAGACGGAGTCAACGCACTGCGATCAGATTGAAAGCAAGCAACGAACCACTTGAAGCACCCTGCACCACTAATAAATAGTCTAATAAATATATATATATATGTGTGTCACCACTTCGTTCTTTTGGCGCGAGTCCACAGCCACGGTCTCCTTCCCTTCTTGGGCGGGTGGGCTGGGCCTTTCTTTGGGCCGCCACTGCGTTCCAGACACATTCAATCTTGCTTTGCATGCTTCCATGTGTCACCACTTCGTTCTTTTGGCGCGAGTCCACAGCCACGGTCTCCTTCCCTCTTCAGAAATCACCATGGCTGTGTGACTCGGAGCTTTTGTCCGGCAGGTATTTTGTTAGCCGCCGAATTCGTTTCCTTCGAAGTCCTTCGTTCCTTGATCTCGTTGTCAAACTCCATCGCCGCTTCCAACATCCTTCGAAGGATCTTGAATGGGATGTTCTCCATCTCGATCACAATGCGGTTGTGCGTTTCGAACTTCTCATATCTTCCTTTGCTGAAATCGTCGGCTTCCTCGTTCTGCTCTCTTGGGACCCAAGAGAGGTTCAGGTCCAAGCCGAAATCCTCCAATTGCTTGGCCAGCTCCATGAGGACCAGAGACAAGGGGAAGCGCGTCGTCAAGAACCTGTCCAACAGGTAGGCGTTAGACAGGTTGTCAGTGAAGCCAGTGACTCCAATGCGCCCTGCCCCATTCCTCCATTTTGCTTCCGGCCCAAATATCAATATCGCCACCGTGACCCCCAGGAGCTCCGCGCTGGCTATAGTCCTGAAGGGTTCCCCTTTCACGAACAGGAAGGGCGCGTTGCGGCGGTTCAAGATCACATGGAACCACCTTGCCGCCTTCGGATCGACGGTTTCAAAGGTCTCCCATCCACCAATCGCCACCTCGTCTTTGTCGGCCATGGCGTCGACCCTGAAAACCTCGCCGAGAACAGCCGGGTCACCTCCAAGATCTCTCATGGGCGCCGCCTTCACCATCTCCACGAAGAATGCCATGGCCAACCGGGTGGCCAAGTGAAGCTCGAAGAAACTGCCGCCTTTAACCCGAGACGAGGCCGCATAGAGGGGAGCCAGAAAGGGCCGTGCAAAGCGAGCAGCCCCAGCCAAGAAGCCCATCCTCCCAAGGCCAGCCCGAAAGTCTCGACCAAGGAGCCTTCCTTGGTGGACCGCCCAAGAGCACCACTTCTTGAGCCACTCAACCTTCTTCTCCCCAATGCCAAGCTGCCAAAGCCGTATGTCAACCGTGTACCCAATCCACTCTATCAAGGTTCCTCCTCTGGTCTTGCTCCAAGACATTGGGATCTCGAGCACCTCCACATAGATGAAGAGCGCCAGAATCAACTTATGGTAATCGAGGCCCCCGGAGAGGATCAAGCCATCGTCCGCAAACAAGAGGAGGTAGAAGATGGCATCTCGCGGGATCAGCTTGTGGAAAACACGGAAAATGGTGCCAGCCACCCTTCCCCACCAGAACGCCGCTGATGCCACTCCGAATGTCCCTCGGGTATTCACGTAGATCTCCTCCTCCTTGTCGAGCCTGCATGCCTGCAAGCCCCAATCCTGGGTGCACCGGAATCCACCTATGGGCCGCCTTGATGTCGAAGGCCATCAACATACGTGGGCCCTCCGCCTGGGATCTGAAGGCCTTGAGCATCGCCTCAACGTCGTCATTCTGAGGGAACGTCCTTGGGAACCGCCCCGAGCGATGCCACTTGTAGGTCATCTCCGTATCGATCTCTGGCCTCGCTCAAGGCCATCCTGCACATCCAACCTTTCTGAACATCCTTCTCCACATGGTCTCTGACCTTGCTCATGTGCTCTTGCGCCGACATGTAGTTCTCCCTCAGTTCCTCCCCTGGCCGCTCATCTGTCCATGTAGTCGTCTGGACCCTTCTTGTCCTTCTTCTCATAGACGGCCGAAATGAGGGATCTCTCCTCTAACCCCCAAAGGCACTCCAGTGGCGGCCACATCTCCAAGGTACCTCCAGTCAGCATCGTCCACCAACTCTGCCCATGCCTTCAATCTCCTGAAAGCTATCTCCGTGCCCCTGTCCTTGTCCTTGCGCTTTGGATCCAAGCCCAACTCCCCCACCTTCTTGTCCAATCGGCTCCGAATCGCCACAATCTTCTCCTCGAAGGGGGAGCTTGCGCGCCTACCCAAGGCCAACTCGGCCATCAACGAGAGACGTTCCTTCTTCGCCATGCCATCCACAAAGGTCGCGACCTCCTCCCAGAAGGCCTCCCTGAGCTTCTCCCCCCTCTCCTGAAGCGCATCACCCCGATGTCCTGCTGGCCTGATGCCTGGAGAACAGAGCCCGAGGCCATCCACCACCCGCCGAGCCTTGCCCTTATACCAAACCTGCAAAGGTGTCCATGGGGCCTTGCCCGCCCGGCTTGTAGGCAGTCTTCGGCGCGACTTCGTTTGAGCTGACGGGGGGTCTGCAGACCCAGCATCCTGTTTGCGCTTCTTGCCTTTTGCCTCTTCTCCTTCGCGTTGACGGCCTCCCTGATCGCGCCGAGAACCTTCGTGCTCATGGTATCTTGACCATGGTCCCCAGCAGGATGGTGAGCGCCACCCCTTGCCGGGCCCTCCGCCGCCCGCTTCAGAAGGGCACGGAAGAGGTGGAGAGCTAGCCAGGCGTCCATTTGAGCCGCTGAGGTGGCGAAGTCGCCCTGTGAGGTCTTGCGGATGAGAGTGGTGTGCACTCGGCCGCATTGGCAGCGGGCAGGAAGTGGACCTAAGTACTGCGAGCGAGCCGAAAACGTAGGAAGACCCACAAAGGTACCCTCGATGAGCGATTTGATACTTGTCAGGAGCCGTGTAGGTTTAGGAGATGGTGCCCCAAGCTCGCACTGAAAGAATGCTCCTGAAAATGCTGCGCCCTGTTGAACCCAATTTCGAATGGGGAGCGACTGCCAAATGGAAGCTGGCCGAATATCGTCCCCCCACTGAGCCGTACTGCCCAGGTCCTCCGGGTGCGCCAGGAGAAATGGGATGCCCTGCTGGAGCGCAATCGTGATAGCTTGCAGGCAGAGCTCAACCATCGGGTTACTCTTAGTGACCTTGTCGAGCTTCGGCCCTTATAGCCAAGCAAAACCCCAGGGGTGAACCGAAGATCTCAAAGGCCTGGGCCCGTGATCATTGGCCCAAGGCGCCCGCGACCAAGTGCCGCAGGGTGGTGACATAATGATGGCATCATAGCCGCCGTTTTGAAGTGAGTCAGAATTCTCTGACGCAGTTCATCTTGCAATAGATCGCGTTGAGGGTCTCTAAGAATGTCGAATTCATCTGCCAGGATCTCCACTCCCTCCTTCGAGGCGAGCTGTTGAAGGTGCTTCACCAAACCTGTGTCCCGTTCGCGACCGGCAAATAGGTAAAGAACCTTGTACTGCTGCTTCTCCGTGGGTGATTCCGCCGGCTGCTTCTCCGCCGGCTGCGGGCCTGAGGCCCCTAGTCATTCCTTGGCGTCCGGGCGCTCCTGCATTGGGTGCGAGGGGTCCAAGCAAATCCGACACGCCTGCACCCTTCCACAACCTCCCTGGCACCCTTCTTGCTTGTTGTTGTAAGCGAAGTCCATCCGGCGTTGAACCATGAAGCCCCGCTCCTTTTGTCTTGCCCTTTGCCCGATCGCCCTTCTTCCCTTTGCCTTTGCCCTTCACGACCTTGCCCTTCGCATACGGCGAGTCGGAGGTGTGCGGCCGCTCTTGTACTCGCCCTCGTGCCCCCCAACCTTCGCGAAGGCTTTGCGCCGCCGAGCTGACTGCCAGTGGCATGCTGAAGTACCTCTCCCAAATGTCCGGGTTCTTGACAATCGCCCTCAAGGCTTGCACCAGTGTAGACCCTTGGTTCACCTGGAAGTTCACCTCCTCCATGACTTCCTTTCGCATCTGGAACTCATAGTTCATGATCAACTTCAACGAGGGCCTGTGAAGCATCACTCCATCAACGTTCTGCGACTCCAGCTGCGACACGTGCTTCGAACAGATGTGGTTGAGGTACTCGCCTTGACTTTGTCCGGGCGGAACCAACTGCCCCCTAACGGCCTGTGGCTGGCAGCTACTCGAGATCAGCGTGTCCAAAGCCTCGACTGTGATGAAGGAGCGCGTGGAACACACCAGGGAATTCATGCGGCATGTACCAGGTATGTGGGGCTCGCAGCCCAATGGGGGCTTTGAGAAGAAGCGTGCGATGAGCTCGTTGCCCGTCTGCAACTCCTCCCGGGCTTTGTTTGGGATCACCGAGCAGTATTCTAAAGAAGGCTTGTCGGGGGACTGCTGGTGCGAAGGCTGATTTCAGGTCCATGTCTTGCTGTGCCTCTTCGCTAATGAGGAGGTCAACATTTTCCATGTGCGTGTTGAGAGTCGAATCGGTCTGTCCTTTTTGATCCCAGACTAGCCCAGTAGTGACTATGACGACGTGACAGCCTGGGATGTATGGGGCTGCTTCACTGGCTCGCAGGTCACAGGCTGTGCAGGCGGTATTGGCTTCTGCCTCCTCCCTGCCAACTGGTCGAATAAAATATCTCTAGTGATCCGGTTCCAGCTCAAAGGCAGTGAGTAGTTTAGTGATAGCTCTACCCGCAGGGTTTTCTTTGTGTACCACTGCGATTTTGAGATGGGTAGTGAGGGCCAGCCAGGCAAGCAAGAAAGTGAGGGATCTCGTTTTGCCTGCCCCAAAAACTCCTGCAACAGCTAGAGTGGATCTGCCTGATCTGAGGGCAAGCGCTAGGCTAGAGGCTAGCGAGGCGATATGTCCGTTGTCGTGTCGGGCCGCAGTACCAAAGGCCTTGGTACCGCCCGTGGTCAGCAGGCGAAATAATGCATGCAGACTCTGCAACACAACTATTGCGCATTCAAGATGGTACGGAATGGGCACATGGCCCGGGATGCCCAGGACAGTGGGTTTGTGCTCAGCTGATCGCCACAAAGGGGGTGACTCCGTCCAGAACTTTCCGGTGGGGATACCTGTATCGTGCGAAGATGAAGCGGTTGATCATCAGCATGATCTTCGTCCGGAACTCCTCCATGTTGCCTGGGTTCGTGGTCTCAACCCTTGCCTTCTTGATCTTCACCTGTCCTGACTTGGCCATCAGCAGGCTTCCAGTCTCCGCCTCCTCATCCTCATTTCGCGACCCGAAGTGACGGAGCGCCATAGCCCTGAACTCCCCCTCACAAAGGTCCTCGAAGCTGGGTTTTCTAGGACATTCTCCATCCTTAAGCTTGTAGAAGGCCTTCTCGAACTCCTTTCTATAGAGCTGCAAGTCCACAGGTGGCACCGCCTTTGGGATCTTCTGCATTGTCGCCTCGGCATCCATCTCGTCCTGGGCCAAAACCCTCTTGCCTGCAGACTGCCAGGCCAGGTAGAGCGCCGTAGCCCATCCTTGGCCAGAGTTGTCAGGCTCTGACCGCAATGGCGGCCAGCGTGCCACAGAGGTGACCCCCAGGTCATTTAGAGACCTGCCTGGATGTCCTTTGCCACCGCCCTAGCCTCCAGCAGGCCTTGTAGATCCCGGTTGAGGCTCCCGATCTTCTCGTCCTCCGACAGCCCCATCATGGCTGCGGGAAGCCCCTGACCCTGTCCCAGGTCTCTTGAGCCCGTGCACCGGATCGAACCTCAACCGAATCCGAACCATCAAGTTCAAGCCTCGCTTTCCGAGGCCTCCACCTCCGAGGAGGATGACTCTGAGCTAGGGTCGCCGTCCTTGTCATCGTTTCCAGCGAGGATCTCCGCCATCTTGGCTTTCGCCCCAAAGCAGACCCCACAGAGCTTCTCTCCCTCCGAGGCCTTGATCTCTGGCCGCTCCTGCCCAACCACCACGAAGTTGTGGTAGTGCACACCCGGAATCCTGAAGCACTCGCCGATCCTGTGTAGCGTTCGTCTGCGAGACCTCCCCAGCACCGACAAGATGTAGGTCCCCCTCGGGTACATGCTCTCCGGCTTGTGGTCTGGCTCCTCCTCCACATCACTGATCACCTCGGTTGGCGATGGCGGCTTCGAAGACGGCGATGCGGGCACTTCCTCACCTTCTCGCCTTCCCCCGAGTCCCGGCTTCAGCACCAGCCCACCGGTGTCGCGCCCCGGCCACGTAGTGGGAGTCAGCGGCATCGCCATGTCCATCGCCTCCTCCAGGGACTTGTCAAAGTTCTCCTGAAGCCACCTGATGTACCCGTTGATCACGGCCTTGTCGTCCAAGTAGTCCGACGTCTTGTAATTGCCCTTGATCTTGTGCGCCACTCCTCCCTGAGCTGCAAGCACCACCTTCTTGGTCGTGACCGCATAGTCCTCATCCACACTGGGACTCCACCTGCCCCAACGACGCCTGACCTCCTTCGGCACCTCCGCGATCAAAGCCCAAGACATAATGGTCACCCGCTCCGAATGCTCAGACCAGTGGCCAGTGCCCTCCGCCGCCATGAGAGGTCGCCTCCTTCCGTCCCTCGCTAACAAGCTCGAGGGCAGCTCCGAAAGCAGCGCACGTGAGTACGCCATGGCATCCGGGTACCTCATCATCGCCCCTCCAAACCCGTGGAGGTTCTCGCTGGGCCTGGCCATCATGAAATCCTTGGCATCCTTGTTCATGGTGACAAAGAGCTCGTAGCCAACCCTCAACCAGTCCTTCTCAAAGATCCATGCGTTCACGGAGACCACTTCAACACGCCTCCCAGCACCCGTAGTTTTGCTCCTCATGATGTCTCCTTGGAGGCCGATCCAGCGTAGCCGGAAGAGCCCCCTCTGCGTCGTGCGCATGGAGGGTTCCCCATAGTTTCACAAGCTTAAACCAGCAGAAGGTCCTCTTGTACTTCTGCAATGAGGTGTTCATGACCCCTTCTTCCCATGCACGCACGATCTCCAGCGGCAGGCGAGTGGCCTTCTGCCTTGCACGTGGACCCCACAAGTTGCTCTTCTCGATCTCCAGCAAGTAGTGATGGAGGGCCATGGATGTGGACAGCTTCCTCTCCGGTGGCAACTCTGCAGCGTTCTCCATGAACACCAGGGCCTTGAACAATGACCCCGGTACGCTTCGCCCGCAGGGTTCTTCTAGTCGGGCGTTGATGTACAGCATCAAGTCCTTCGGATCTCGAAGCCACTGGACGCCGTACACTCCTTCCATGTACTCTTGGATCCGCCGTCCGTGTCGGACATGTTGGCGAATGGTCGCCGCCCTCCTGCCCATCGCATAGCGAGTCGCCACATACTGCATCGCCTCAAACTCCTTGTCCTGCCTTCCCAGGTAGCCGGCCTCGTGCAGCAGGTCGTTCAACTCCTTCACCCAACGATCACGTTCAGCTTGCTCCAACTTCTCCCGCTGGTTGTCCCCCGTGACCTTAGATGCCATCCTCTGCAGCCTGGTAGTCCAAGTGGCCTTTAGGCATCAATTTGCGGGCCAACTCCATGGGCCTCCCACTGAGGCAGCATTGCGAGCTGCCGATCCACGAAGCTCTTGTCCCCGAACAGCAATCGCTGATGGGTGAGGAACACATTATCCTCCCAGTCCAGGCGCCTTCGCTGGCGCTTTGCCTCCCTGTAGAGCTCCGATCCGCCAGTCCTGGTAGGAGTCCTTTATTTCGCGCTTTGGCATTCCATCGAAGAATGCCAGGCTGGCCGGCTCCCAGCCTTTCTCTAAAAGGACCCCCACCACGCCCGCCGCCGGCATGGCACAGGATCCCGGCCCACAACCCTTTCTTTGGGCCGCCACTGCGTTCCAGACACATTCCATCTTGCTTTGCATGATTCCATATATACATTATGTAAAAGTACGGTATACCGATTCAAGGCACAGGCAACTTCCATCTCACTCCCATTTCTGGTTGGTTTCTTGGCACAGAGTTCCGGTTCATGGCCATGTCTTAAAAAAAAACTGAGGTCGCTGACACGGTGTTGGGATCCAGGCGGAGGTAATACGCCACAAACTCCGTGAGGAAATTGGCATCCGCGTTGCCTTCGTTCAGCACCAGGTGAGAGGGATCTGCTGCAGGGATCACCTCCAAAGCCAAGCCGAGCCGTCGGGTTTGCAGCCGAGCCGGTGTGGGGTGAGCTCAATGTACCAAATCCTTTTAGGTCAACATGCTGCCCACTTCTCTTCACTGCTTGACTGGGCTACTGGGTGATACTGGGTGACGGTGTCTTAAATGCAAGCATGTGCTCTCAGGCCGAGGCTAGTCCAGCTCCTTGAGAGTAGCTGCTGTAGCTAGTGCCGTCCCAAAGGGTTGCCTGACAATTGGTTTTCCACTGCAACACGTCCAACAACATCCTGAAATGAAATCCCAAAGTCATCTAAAATGAACCAAATATCTTCATATCTCTTCCGTCAACTTGGGGACTTCAATGCAATTATGTATGGTATGTTGTTTTTGAAAATCTCTGAGGGTGAAACTGATACATCTACAAATCAAACTTCAGACAAGGTGCCTTGCCGTCAGAATGCAAGATGATATCTTCATCAAAAATGAGACGGACCTCGAAGTGACTCGACTGTCGGCAACAGCAACTTCCGATTGTTGGAATTTGCTGTGTCTAGAGCCCAGTCAGAACAGCACTGTTGCATTCTGAACTTACACCCTTCCTCCATCTTGTTCCATCTTCTTGGGGAGCCAAAAGCCACAAATACATCTCTGTCCATGATCTGAAGTCGCTTGGGATGCTGAGTGCAGCCGCACCAAAGACACTAAAACAAATGCGTTTTGGCTGCTACACTCTCGGAAAACGAATCCCAAAACTCATCAAAACTCTCTTCAATACTCAATGGTTTCTTTCGAACTAATCCAGTCAAACCCACATCTCCTTACCGTCCAAATCGGTCCACCCCGCACGTCTGCCGGCCTCTGAATCCAGCCGCACGTCCTCGACGGTCTCATTGGCCGCCACAGTGGTCTCCCCCGAGGCCGCTTGGACTCGCACGTAGACCACCGTCGGAGTGGCCGCCACGGACGTGAAACTCCAAAGGAGCCAGAAAAGCCCATGTCTCCAGACATGGCCACCAGGTGGACCAGGAGTGAAACCTCGACCTCTACCATATCTGCGTGCCCAAAATCGGGCCAGCACCTGGCAGAACAAAAATCAAAAATCTTCAAACATCTAAGGAAAGAAACATTTGAATGAACAAAAGAATGCAAGACTGAAGAAATTCCAAGGACTTCTGCACCTTTGTCCCATCCATCCCTCCGGCCTTGCTCATTCCGAAGCGCCCCCATTGCCTCGCCCAGGTCTCTGCGCTCTTCGGCGCTTCACCGGCGCCGAGGGCGGCGCCGGGCGGGGCGCCATGCGCCATGCGCGCGGCGCGCCCCGTCCCGCGGCTTGAGACGTCAGAAAAGCATGGTTGGGAGCCCCTGTTGAGAGAGGCCCACCTAAATGGGCTCCAGAACTCTGGAGTGGAGGTGCGAATCAAATAGATAAGGGGCAGGGCCACGATCAACTCCATGGCAGGGGCAGTGGGCACGGCGATTTCTTCGCTCAGTTCGATCATCTATCTAATGCTGTATACACATTCTAGCCGTGCACTTAATCTACAACTCACTCTGTCCGTGACTCGAATTCTGGGACGTTCTTAGGCCCTTAGGCGCCTTGCAATTCGCTATGACAGTTCGGTGCGTGGTGGCCATTTGCACCACGCCGAACAGGGAAGGTCTAATCTTTGAATAAAAACCAAAGGCAAGACCTCACAAACCTTGGACTACGTAAAGGTCTACCATCCACCTAGGCTTCTTGCCTCAGCAATGGCAACGAGGGTGGAAGCCCGGCCATAGACGCACCGCTTTGACCAGCTCCACCTCCGCCTGCAGATCTTCGATCGGAGGCACTCGCGCTGCGAGGTGTCATCCGAGGGGAAGGGCCTTTGATGCCCAAGCCACCAGCGCTGCTGCAGCCCGCACCAGATCTTCGGTCAGTCCTGTGATTTTGGTGCCAGTCATGTCATAGGAACGCATGCAGGTGCGGTCAACTAGTTTTGCCTGATCCATTCTCCATGGTTGGCTGGGATTGGAAAATATTGGAAGATAGTTTTAATCTCAAGTGGTAGAAGTAATGTTCCCTTCAACCCTCCGGAGGAAAACCACACTCTTTCCTCTTGTGCTTTTTGGAGGCCAAGGTGCCAATGGAGCCCGTCTTGTGACCAAAGATCAAACTACAGAAACCCACTGACAACATCAAATAAAGAAAAAATGATGAAAACTGGATCCGCCCTTTGGATTTTACTGTGATTTTGATCCACACCTTCATGCCTACTCCGCCGACCCCGGCAGAAGCGGGAGTGCGCGCAATGGAATATGTGGCGAGGTGTGGTGGGACCTGGTGGGAGCAGAAGGACATGAGAACAAATCAGAATCTGTCCGTCGAGGGTCAGAATCAGGCAGCGTTGTGGTGTTCTTTTGTGCTTTTCTTTGCATTGAAAGACTGTAGATTGTGCGATCCTATGCGATCCTGTTTCGGAGCCTTTGCAGAGGAGAACAAAAGAAGAAAGACATCAGAGCAGGCAAATTTAGAAGTATGTTATCGGGAGGTCAGAGGTCAAGTTAGTTAGACGCTGCGGCGGTGTGCTCGTTTGCTGGTTTTTGCATTGAAATATATAGATGATGTGATGACTGGAGCAGAAAGATATGAGAGCAAGCAGAGGTAAATCTACTGTTGTTGTAATAAGGGGGGTCCAACGACAGGTTAGACAGTGCTGTGTTTTTTGTTGTCGCTTTGTTATGCTTTGTTTGGCACTAAAATACATGGCGCAATCCTGTGTCAGACCGTTTGCAGAGGACGACGGGAGTGGAAAGACATGAGAGCAGGCATGGCAAAGGGTAAGACAAAAGGTCTTCCACCCCCAAGCCCGTCTCTAACGCCTCCTTGCTTGCGCGACGCTCCGCAATCAGAACAAGAGGAGGAAGAAACACAATAAGAACCACCATCCGCTGCCTTGTTTGTCTTGGGGGAGAACAAGGAGCACATAATTCCATTTCCTAAGACTATAATTCAAATGAGGACCATTCTTCTCCTTCTCCTTTTTCTTTCCTTTCTCTTCCTCCTTCGTGCATGGCCTGTTGTTCAGCGTGAGCCAAAAAGAAGATGTCACCCGGCACCCAACCTCGCTCCTGGAATTGGGCTCGCTCTTCTCCTTGCGGACCTCCAGCTTCCCACTTCGAAGACCCGGCGTGCTCATGCTGCCTGAGCCCCGAGGCGGCTCACGCTCGCGCTGCTCGCGCTGCTCGCGCTGCTCGCGAGAAGACTCCACCGTCTTTCCATAGCCGGAAGCGGTGCTTGGGTGGGAGCTCCGCTTCGGACGAGCGCCAGAGCCTCCGATCGGATGCTGGATATCCCTGGAACCCGAAAAAAAGGAAAACGGAACAAAGGTCTCCCCATCTTTCCTTAGAAGGGCTGGACATCACTTTTAATGGGTCCCAACTCTTGTTTCACATCATTCTTTTGTTCCGCATAGTTTGGAGCTTCCAGTAATTCCTCTTCCTATGGATCATTGAAAACGAATAAGTGATGAAAGGGAGTGGTGAAACAGGGACATCATTGCAAGGCCAAATCGAAATGGCTCTTTTTCCTGCCGATTCCTTATCTCTCCTTCTCTCCTTATCTCTGCTTCTCCTTCTCTCCACATCTCCCCGGCCCCAAACTCCGCAAACAGCGCTCCTCGCCTGTGCTCGGCCCACTCTCACCCCGACTCCTCCTCGGCGGCGGCGGCAGCGGTGCCTCGCCTTCCTCCGGCTCCGCAGGCGGCTCGGGCACCGCCTGAGAGCCGGCTTGCCGTGCTCCGGGGTGGAAACGCAGCTGAACGGAGGGTCCCGTTCGTAGCGAACCTTGTTCCGTTCGTAAGGCCAGGAGCACCGAATTCGTAGCGTCCGATCGCTCCGTTCGTAGCGATGCCAGGAGCTCCTAGTTCGTAGCGATGCCCTTGTTCCAAAAAGGGAGTGGCTCAGTGAGGAAATGCTCCGTGCTTTCAACGCACGGGTCGACCCAGGATCGCAGGTCTGTCCATCTGAGGCCGTCGCTCCACTGAGGTGCTCATGCAAATCCTCGATCAAGGCACCTGTGGGATTTCAAGCTCTTGCATTGGTTGATGCAGTGATATTCGATCTTCCAACTCTGGAAGTTGTGAGTCAGGTTGGGTTCACTTGACAACTGGTCATCATGGTCATCTCAAGTGCTGTTCTAACAATCCTCTCACCGCAAAATCATGAATCCTGAAGCAGGAGATCAAGATCAACAGAATGGCGATTGAATCAAAGGTAGTGGCCTCTTTTCAGTCCAATCCTTCCCAAAAGACGGTGAGGCTCCGGCTCTGGCTTTCGATGATGCGGCGCTGCTCAGTGAGGGCAGCCTGCTCAGTGAGGGCAGCAAATCCCAGCAGATCCAGTGAGGGGCAACTCTTGACGTGCCCCATGGACAAGTCCGTACATGCCCATGCACCGTTGGAGGTTTTTAGCGGCCCCCGCGTTGGGGAAGGTGACATCTTGTTACATGTCTTGCGCACCACATGTGGATTGGTTGAACCACCTTGAGATGACTGTTGGATGCTGCAATTCGGATCACGTGCCGGTCCCAATTGGAACATCGTTTAAGCCGTGGCCTGATGCGGTTGTTGACACTGTTTTCACGGATGGATGATGTTACACTGGCCAACTGAGGTGTGCTACACAATGTTTGTCATAGGAAGCAAGTAAATAGATGCAAGTGTCTTGGCATATTCTTGAGTGAGCGCGAAAGGGCCGCTGTTTCGGCAGCAACGCTGCAGATCACATGCTGATTCGATCGATGGTTGCGTAAGGTGAAGCCCTATAATTAGGTTGAGATCACTCCTTTGCCATCTGCACTGCATAGCCTAGCACCTCACTTGCAGCAGCACCACAATTTGCACTAAACAAGATTCCCTCTTAAACCATCTCTTTTCTATCCTGCTTCATGACTCGCCACTCCTGACTGATCCGCTTCCAGACACCTTCACAATCCTTCACACCGGACGCCGTCCGGACCGCGTCCGACCGGCGCCTCCTGGGCGTCCACGATGGCGTGGAGCTCCTGTAGCTCCTCCGAGCGTTCCGTGCGCGAAGCCAAAAGCTCGGCCTGCAGCTCTTGCACTCGGAGCTCCAACTGCTCCACCTGCGCCTGGCACAGAAACCGAAGAGAAAAAAGGTCGAGCCAAAAATCGGGGGGAGACGCTAAGGTGAAGGGAAAGGTTGGGAAGTGAGTCATCATGGCAAATGGTGCTTGAAGCAGCAAGCGGACCCAGCAAACTGTATCTTTGCCATCCTTTCAAGTCCATCAATTCAACAGAAACAACCTGGTCATGAGTGACATTCCTACCATGTCCAGCTACGATGCTAGAAACAAATTCTAATTCTTCCACCCAAAAAGGGCAGCTACTAAATTGGTTCAATCCAAGCTGATATCCCAAGCACACAAAGACATCGTTGGAAGGCGTCTGCATTGAAATACCTTCCTTCCTAACTCCTATGCTGTGGGCTCGAATACTCACTTTCGCAGTCTTTCGGATCTCGAATCTCATCTCCGAGTTCATCTTCCAGAACTCATCCAACTTGAGGTCAACAAGTTCAACAGAGTTCCTTGATGTGAGGATCGAACGCTGAGGCCGAAGGCGCTCGTTCCATCAGAAACGAACTCCCCCCATGCGAACACCGAGACACGATCCGCTGCGCGCATGAATGTGATTCTCTTGTGATGAGCATTATCAATACCAAACAGGTGGTGAATTCCTCAAAGGGATTCGTCCAGGTTTGTTTCTTTGGATTTGTCCACCATCTTTTGGCACAAGCAAGAGGAAAGAGGATTTCCACCAGCCCTCCAAAACACCGTCACCAGGTCTCTCCCATCGCTCCACCGTCTCGCCTGCAACACGCAGGTCTCGTCCGTCATGGCAAGACCGGGCACGGCCACCCGTCGGTGGCTGGAGCCGAAGGTCACCGAGTCGATATTGTAGATTCTAGTTTAATTCTAATTACAGTACTAATTCTTGTTACTACTAGTAAGGCACTTGTTACTAGAAGCGATGCACTTGTTCCTAGTAGCTTATTGTTGTGGCCCCCGATCTCAAGTCGGTCGGACGTATACAACTGGCGAAGGTTGCGCACATGTTCAAAGTGACAGGACTGAGATTGGCATTGGCTGAAAACGACTCGCCTCTTTCTTTGGAGCTTCTTTCTTTGGTGGTCTTTCGATGCTTCCGCGCCAAATTTGGCATCGGGGCACAGGACTTGACAGGATTCGGTGCATGAGGAATGGCAAAACCATCAAACCATCCTGATGCATCAAACCATGCCTTGGTAGACCAAACAGCAGAATTCGCAAACAAGGCTTCCGGGTTGCCATGACCCACCTTATAAGCCTTGTTCAACCTGCTGTTGGGGTCTGGTTTTGTCCACTCCTCATACCTTACTCAGCTTTGGCACCTTTTCCTGGCGATGGACAGCCGGTGAAGTGTCTCCAGTCCTTCGACTGGCTCAGGCCATTTTGCATCTGCGAAACTTGAGCCACGCGACAAACCAAAATGTGAACCGGAGGAACTATCTGCAAGTCCTGAACCCAAACCGGCCAGATCTCCTGCCATCTCTCCCCAAGTTCAGACCATTACATTCAACAGATGGGTCATGCAGCAAAACCCTTCACTTCCACACCATCTCTCCCCTCTTCCACCCTCCCCCCGGACCACACCCACCCACTTCCCGCGCCTGTCTTGGCCGTTGGCGCCGGCTTCCGCACCGGCTCCGGCCGCCGGTCGCCAAGCCGCCCGGGGATCTGGGCGATGCGCTCCTTGCGCTCGGCGTCGGGCACAATCCTCGGGTCAGCCACCGTGGCAGAAGAGGTCGGAGGCAGCTCGTGGCAAAGATTGGTGGATTTCGACCCGATGTGTTTAACGTGAAAACGTCCAGTGCCTTCAGGATCCGGTGTTTTTGAAGGCTTGGGAGAATTGCCCTGACAAAACCCTTAGCGTTGTACCTTGTTGCTGTGGCGGCCCCTGAACGTTTCTGGATCCATGGAGACCAACGTGTGATGGGAATGGGTCAGCCTCCAGACTCGAATGGAGCGCTTTGCGAGCTTGTTGAAATCCATGATCTATGTGTCTCAGGAAGATATGATTCTCACAACAGCACTATACATCAGTTGAGGGATGCCAATTCAACAGCCTACTGGATTCGTTGAGCCGCTTTTGTCCCCCATCGTGCACGAGAACACCAAGGTACGGAGCCGTCCGCCCGTCAGGGTAGGAGCGGCGCTGGTTCAGCTCCTGGCGCTGGTAGGTTCAAAACCCCGGGCCATTGACTTCTCTTCAGGTTTACTGGTCTCTCTACGGTAGAGGCTGACGTCTCTCTTCAGTATATCTTTCACTCGTGCTGGGGATTGATGTGTGTGTCTCTGGGGATTTCACGAGGTCTTCGTCTTCAATGCACCTTTAGTTCACTTCAATTCACCTCTTCTTCCACGAGGTTCAAGGATCTCCGAGAGCTGCTCACCGTGGAGAGCGAGCCGCTCACTTCACCGCTTCGGTCCCTAAACCCTCTTCGGCCAAGGAGCATAGTAGTCCACATGAGGCTGTGCCATGACAAACTCTTTGATCTTCAGATTGTTCATCGGGTTCTGATTCCTGGGGCTCCGTTGCTAGGCGTTGCTACGGTGCTCTTTGCAAGAAAGGAACAAGAAACAGATGGGCGCCAGACACGATGAGGATGCTGCCAGGGTCTGTGTCATAGACTTGCACCTTCACTCCTGTCACGTGGAAGCTTGGGCAAGTGATGGAAAGTATGTCTTTTTCACGGCACCCTGCAGTACTGGTTCTGGTGAATCCTTCACTTGCCAACAAATCGACTCTAAACAAACTGCCAAAAGCTTTGGAGGAAGACACTAAATGCAGGAGTTACCTGGTTACCCACTCAAAGTGTGCTTCTTGAAGCACCAAACGTCCTCCTATCTGGGTGCCGTTTGGATTCCAGAATGACTTTGTGGAATCTTTGAAGGCTTCTGCCACATTGAAACACACCATGAAAACACCGCGAAACCATGAGTGATGCCTTGGTATGTCATGTTTTGAGGCCCGACCACGACCAGCTCCTCCATTTTCTAAAAGGCTCGACCAGCTTCGAGCGAGGGCCGTCGTGCCATGTTTGCCGTTCTCTTCGGCCTGTAATCTGGGGAGGACCAACAGCGTGTGCTTCAACCAGCTCAAGATACTCTTACACTCTCTGAGGTTGGGTATATCCCATTACCAGGGCCAAGTGGATGAGGATGGTTGGGTTGCAGGCCGATATCTAAAAGAAAGTGCTAATATTTACCGGCTGTTACTGGTAATGGGATATACACTACACTGAGGCATGTGCCCATTTGATATCCAGGTTCACAAAAGCCATCGTGACACCCGACCCAGAGCCACTCATGAATGACATTGGGTCTGCTTGGAACTCCTGCACTCGCAACAGTCACCGCAAGATCAGTAATCCGACTGACAAAATGACTTCAGAGAGTTGAGAGCACTCGCATCGCGTATCACTCGAAATCCATCCATCCTTTGAGTTTAAGTCCCACTTTGGCTGATTCTTCTTGGTCCGGAAATCTTTCAGGTGCTCAAGGAAGGGCATCGGCACGTCAGCCTGCGGCAGGCACCACACACCCTAAGCGCCCACGATGGAGCCTCCACGACGCCTCCATGTCATCGACGTCCCCAACGTCTAAGTCACGGATGTCTGCCTCGGAGATGATGAGAGAGCCGTACAATGTGATTGTCGAAGGCAAAAGAAGCTACTAGCAACAAAGGGCATCGCTACTAGGAGCAAGGACGCTACTAGGGGCTCCTGGCCTTACTACTAGGAGCAAAAAGCTATTAGAAACAAGAAAGCTATACAGTCAAACAGCAACACGCATACATGATCAACACCAATCAGCTGGACGGTAGGACTCCATCGATCTTCAGACGCCCAGTTGCTTCCCACTCCGAAAAAATGCGCGCCTTCGCGTCGACGATCTTGTAGAGCGGCGGATGGTAGTCCGCATCGGTGGAGAGTATCCTTGAGAGGAAGCAAAGGAGCGAGGCCCGCAGGCGTCCCATGGCACGACGAATGTACGTCCGTCCGCTCCCAGCGAGCGCAGCGATGGCCGGCGTCTTTTTGGGCGACCGGCGACGGGCGGCGCTTTGGGGAGAGGGTTTGGGTGACGAGTTTCAGAGTTGCTGTGTTTGGATAATTCCAGGTCCACACACCACTGAACCAAGGTCTGGTTCCATTTCAACTTCGGCGAAAGTGCAGATGACAAGTCTTGCAAGGCGGTTTTTGGCAAGTCCCGTGTTGCTTGATACTGTCTTCTGAAGATTGCTTGAGCTCGAAAACAAATGCCACCTCTCAAAGTGTCCCCAAGAACACACCATGAGCTGCGGTGTTCATAGTGCGGATCGATGACACGCACACGACTGCATCTTCTCACAGCAACTGCGGAGAAAGCTGAGACTAAGTGAGACCTGGCTGGCCTCAAGGGCCCATCAGGGCGGAGGCCAAGACGTGCATCATCTGTACATGTCACAGCATCGTTCGCTGCGATGGTGAGACCAACATTGTCAACTTCCCAACTGCATGAATGCATCAAAAAAAAATCAACACATTGGAGACCCCATGGGGCCTATGAATCTATGCATCATCTGTGAGGGCATCTGTGTGCATGTGAAGATGTGTGCATGTGTTTCTGTTGTACGTTGACGCCGCATGGGATCACTCTCCACTCAGCTGTCGAATCATCGACTGCCACTTTCTCTCGCCGGCCTTCAAGCGCAGACGATGTTTCGCAATGCTCCATCTAAGAGTGGTCCATACAATTACATTCTTTCACCCGTCAGCCTTCACATGTTGTTTCGCTGACCTTCACCTTCAACCTATATGGGGAGGGGTCAAAACTTGGAGCATTCCAGGTAGATCAACCAACTTGTGGATATTCTCTTCAACTCCCCAGCACCCACCCTATGGTGAAGGGCTGTGGGAAGACATGGAGGGCGAGTCTCGTCGGTAGATCTACCAAGATATCCTGGTTTTGACCCACAGCCATATAGTGTGTTTTGTCTGACACAGCCGAGACAGCCTCCTCCTTGGCCTCTCGCAAGGACATTTCCGTGCTTCGACGTTGCACTTCAGCGATGAAGCTTTGCTTGTACCTTTCGTAGCACTCCAGTCGTCCTGGAACAATCACACTGTCCGTGTGAAAGAGATGAGGCTTCTCGGGTTCTCAAAAGCATCTCGCTTTAGTCTTCCCTCGATGAAGCTTCTTGTCCATGTCCATCCTATAAGATCCTATAAGGCTATAATGCCTCTGCCGAAATGGATCGTCCACCTCCATCCTCCCCACAGCTGTGCACCCCCCCCGGTCCTTCGATAATCTTCCTGTGGACCGGCCTCAGACGTCCAACGACCCGGATGCACCACGCCGCCGCCATCCCTCGACGGACGCGGACGGACTCGCAGCGAATGCGAGCCGAAGGGGCGATCGGAAGGACTTCAGGGTCTCAGTCAGCTCGAGCTTCTTCTGATCGAACTCCTCTTCCGGAAGCATTTCATCCTCCGGCCACTTGGAGCCCACGAGCATGGCACGGAGCTCGTACTTGGGGACGCCTGTCATGCAAGCAAGATCAACAGGGCATGAACAAAGCTGATCCGGTTGAACCACGACCAGAGGCTTTTGGAAGCATTGACACCATCAAACTCCCAACAATCAAAACATCTTGCAGTCTCCCCACCCCCAAACTGCCTGCCTTAAATCATCCCACATGATCTATCCAAAAGAAACAAAACAAAAAAAAACACACCCACCGGCCTGTCCACTGACGTTCCGGGAGTCCGGCATCCTTCTCCTTTGGCTCCTCCGGGGGCGGCTTGGCTGCCGCCTTGCCTTTGGCTGCCGCCTTGGGCACCGGCTCCGGCGCCTCGTCCTCGCGGTTCAGCCGCCGCATGCGGCGCTTGATGGACATCCGGGGGGGCTCCACCTGGCGCAGTCCCTCCGAACCAAGGATTCGCCAAAGCCAAACGCAGAACGGGGATCAGGGTTCTGCTGCAACGTTTTAGTGGGGTCTGTTGAGGAGGTGTTTGATGGAGTCTATGGAGTCAGGCGAAGGTGTTGACAGGCGCTTCGATGGCAAGATCAGGAGTCTTCGGAGCCAAAGGTAGATGAATCTGCTATAGAGCTTTTGACTTATTGGTGCACTAGTGGCGCGCAATGGACTGGACTCCTTCCAGTCCATTTGCAGTTTCTGGGCTCATCTGCCGCACCTTCTCATCACCCGGAAGGCTTCCAAAATGGCTGTGCAGCGGAAGAAGATCCAACAGCCGAATGGAGACCTCTGCCACCGTGGTCAAACGGCCTCGGTGGGTGCGGCGAGGAAGCCACACGCTGGCGACCAAAGCATAGATATCTCCCACTTGGAAAGACCTACAAAGGAGTTCAACCGAGCGAAAAAGTTGTTCTTTACCCCAATCAAATGACCAGTGCCTATGGTTGTTGTTGACTTTCCCCATATTCTCGTGTTCCATCGGTCCAGGATGATTGTAATATACTACAGTTATCTACAGTTATATCGAGTTCTAGTTATGTCGTTGAAACATGTTGAGACAGTGTATCGTGGGGTCTTGCCATCCAGTACGTGTCTGGTTGGCTGGGTCTCCCGGCAGACGAAGCTCTCACAGGATCTACGCAAGACCAAAGCCATGCGCTCCCGGTCCTCTAAATGAAGTCCGACAATTTGGGTATGGAATTCACCTATATAGTTCCGGAAAGGGCTACCTCAGGTTGAACAATTCAAGTAATTAAGTGTTCCAAGAATTTGGCAGTGCCAGGGAGCTTGAGATTCAGAAGGAGCTTGAGATTTGCCCTTGAGGCACTCTGTCCCCATCCACCACGTCCACCCCAACCAACTCTCGGGTCCTGCTGGCAGGTTTGAGTCGCCTCTTGATGCCGTTGCTCTTCAGCTTGGACCAACGCTTCCAGCTCAGCGCTCTTGTTGGCGTCCGCCAAGCGCGGGCTCAAACCTCACAAGAGGTTTGACGGCGCGAGGTTTGAAAAGCGACAAGACAAGAAGACAGCGCCTGGAAACAGGTTGCAGGGGCGTCCATCTGATAAGGAGAACAAAAAGAGAAAAGGAATTTTCAGCGATGGAATTCAATTAATAATCTTAATCTGGATATGTCAACTCCTGTCCACACCATGTCTACGGAGGCTGGCTCGACGTTCATGGACAACCTACGGCAACCTACGCAAGTGTTCAAGTCGTCGGTGTTCTTTGCACGACCGCGACGGTGTTCTCCAACTCTCCCGGGACACCCGGAAGGTGTACCACTCGGACGAACAGATCTTGAAGTGGATGGGATGGTCTCCTAATTAGAACTGTTGACTTTCCTTAATTTACGAACCGAGTTCATGTCATCCACTTGCAAATCTTCCAATCTGTTCGTTGGAGTGTACCAAGCAGGTGAACCCTGTGAATGGGGCCCCAGCGCTGTTCATGGAGCGCTCTCTTCTTGTCACTTTCGATCCACAGCTGAACCGTCCTCAGCATCGTCCCGTGTCGGGGAGCCCCACGACTGCTCCAACGCGTCCAAAGCGGTGAAGTTTCGTCGCGCATGGACCGCAAGAAAATGTGCCCATGCCATCATGGCATGAAGGTTATTTTCGCATCAACGTGAGGTGGGTCGGACGAAAAGGAGAGTGCTGTTTCGTCCGCGCAGGTCTCCGTTTGGCTTGGCAGTTCTCCGTGTTTGGTTCGCCAGGTGGTCTCTCAAGCAAATCTCAAGAAACATCTCACGCTCGTTTCAATTGTCGATAGCTTCTTCCCATGGGCATCCACTCCAGACTCTCTCACACGCCGGTCTACGCGGGTTTGCGCCTTGCCCAGGTCCCCCGGCTGCTGCTGCGCCTCCTGGGCCGATTTGGCCAGCGCCACCAAGGCTCTGGCAGTGAGCTCGCTAAAGAGCTGTTCGCCCAGCTGCATGAGCCTCGCACCGCACTGCAGCAGTGCGTCAGGTGACACGTGGGGGACCTCCCAACGCTCCACTGGTGTGCAGGAGAAACATGTGGATTGATAGAATTGGCAGGCATGGAGGCATGGCAGGATCAAGGCTTGAAACGGCTCGATCCAAAAAGGAATTTAGATAACAACAAGCGTGATGTCAAAAAAAGGCTTCCGTGGGTTTCAGGGAGGGAGGAAGTCTGATATTTGTAGAAGCTAGACGACGAGTGGCCCGAAAGCATTTTTCATCACGTAGGAAGTCAGAGTGTGAGTTATCTGTTAAGTGTTCTGTGTGAAGTGTTTAAGTCGAGTGAGTTGAGGTAGTGTGAGGGTCTCTGTGTGTGTATCTATGTCCGTGTGTATATGAGTCTGTGTATGTGTGTGTGTTCGGGTAAGTTGAGGCAGTGCGTGGGTCTCTGTGTGTGATGCGGCCTCCCAAACCCCCCCACCGGCGGCCAAGCGGTGACAGCCCAGCTCATCGTCATGAGCATTTGAGCTGCTGGTAAGGGGAGAAGCAGCGTGCACGCCTCCAGGAAAGCTCACTGAAAAAAAACGAGCCCGAATGAAGACAGAAAAGTGCCGAGGCAGGTACGCAACAAGTGTGTCAAAGCAGTGACCTGTCAGAGGAGATGCGTCCAGCGATATACGATCAGAGGTAACGTTTCCTTCACTCCAGGACATAGCTTTTCTAGGATGTAGTTGACCAACCACTATGCTTGTCATTGACTAAATGACTGTCTCAAAGAAAAACGTGACAAAGTAGCATGAGGTGACACACAGCAGGCACTGTAGATGTTTAGCGTACTCTCGCTGTTCAGCTCGCGACCAGTATTAGAGTGAACGAAGTGGCGCGCAGGCCTCCCAAACCCCCCACCGGCGGCCAAGCGGCGACAGCCCAGCTCATCGTTGTGAGCATTTAAGCTGCTGGTAAAGGGAGAAGCAGCGTGCACGGCTGCAGGAAATCTCACTGAAAAAAGCGAGCTGGAATGAACACAGAAAATGCTGAGGCAGCCACGCAAGAAGTGTCTCGAAGCAGTGACCTGTCAGAGGAGATGCGTCCATCGATATACGATCAGAGGTAACATTTCCTTCACTCCAGGACACAGCTTTTCTAGGATGTAGTTCACCAACCACTATGCTTGTCATTGACTATGAGACATGCAGTTGGTTATCATGTGTCTTCCAGCTCCCCAGATATTCCGCGTACCGAAGTTGTACTACCATGTCGCCAGTTCTCATCTTCCAGCTCCCCAGATACTCCGCGCACTACAGTTGTACTACAAAGTCGCCAGTTCTCATCTTCCAGCTCCCCAGCTACTCCGCGTACTAAAGTTGTACTACCAAGTCACCAGTTCTCATCTTCCAGCTCGCCAGCTACTCCACGTACTACAGTTGTACTACCAAGTCGCCAGTTCTCATCTTCCAGCTCCCCAGATACTCCACGTACTAAAGTTGTACTACAAAGTCGCCAGTTCTCATCTTCCAGCTCGCCAGACACTCCGAGTACTACAGTTGTACTACAAAGGCACGATCTCCGCAGAGGGTTCCCTGCATCCAGGGTCAATCGCGCTCTCCCCTACATCTCGCGCACTCGACACGCACGATCTCCACAGAGGGTTGCGCGCACACCGGACAAATCGTCACTCTCGCCTTCATTTCGCGCCCTCGACACGCACGATCTCCGCAGAGGGTTGCGCGGTAATTTCACAAATCGCGCTCTCGCCTGCATTTCGCGCACTCGACACGCACGATCTCCGCAGAGGGTTGCATTTTCGGTTGACGCTGCTCGTCCCACCCTCCGCCTTTAAGAGAGAATTTATAAAGTGGGGAAATGTTTTTCATTAGGACATCTCCCATGCAAGTTTTCCATACTCATACTTGCATACTTGTGCATATTTGCACTGGACTGGGATACTTGCATACTTTTGTTTTGCACTTGGATACTTACACTTGCATACTTACCCTTGGATACTTTTATTCAAGTGTCAGTGTGGAAGCGTCAGTGTTCAAGTGTAAGTGTAGAAATGTCAGTGTTCAAGTGCAAGTGTGGAAGTGTCAGTGTGTAAGTGTAAGTGTCGAAGTGTCAGTGTTCAAGGGATTTTCCGGAAGAACCCTTCGCAATGCTTTCGGGAAAAAATAGGATTTGGAGGATGGTTCTTATGTTCCAAGAAGTTGTCCGGTAACCCCGCTGTGTCGCTGGGTCAAACTATGTTCAGCCCGCCCAACGAATTCCAGCGAACCAGAAGCTTGGAAGCAAACTACGCACTACGCTGCAGTTCTGGAAGCATGCCAGCGTGCCAATGACTCCACCAATGATGTGGGTCACGGAACTGCTTCGCCAAATCCCATCCATGATCTAGCGAATCTAGCACCCGCTTGTTTGTCATCAGTCGCATTCCTGGATTCACTAAGACATGCGGTGTCTTCCACTTGAAGGACCTTGGCCATCCTTCCTCCCCACACCCAGCACACCTGGCTGCCGATGCTCTGCTTTGCACACCATCGCTCCCCCACCTGTTACCCCCCTGTGTCGCCCCCTGCGTCGCAGAACTCGACGAGGTGCGTCTCTTCCCGCAGCTGATCACCCCAGTCGCGCAGTGCGCGACAATCTTCCTGGCGAGCATGCCTCAAAGGAGGAGAGGCTGCTGAACACAGGACCCGAGGCAGCTGAGAGTGCTCCCGAGGCGCGCTCAGCCGGAAAAGCGGTCTTACAGTGAAAACCGGTTTGAATTTGACTCCGCGTGTTGGAGAATGTACCACAGGGACATGTGTGGAATTGACTTGGTCCCACCACCTGATCTGGCAGACTTTTCAACGTATGTCCCGCAGCACTTTTTCACTTGCTTTGTGGATTGTCTGCAGCAGAACCTGCGAGGCATGAGCCTATTTGTGATGCCGCGTGTTCCTCAAAAAAACACTTTGTGAGTCACACAAGTCACACAAGTCACGTGGTGCGGTGTGTGTGTGTGTGTGTGTGTGTGTGTGTGGCATGCTGAGAAGCTCACTCGCAAGAAACTTGCATGTCAGACAGGAACTTCTGCATGAACTCAGGGGTTCCTCCAGCCTGACGGCCACGCGAGGCACGCCACTGCCGACGAAAAACCGACTTCGATCCCTACACACCCGAAGAAGCCAAACGATGCTCATGGGACACACCCATGTGCTTTTTCATGCTTTTTCTGTGGCTTTTTCCTTGTTGCACACCACGAGGTTTGCACGCGGGAGACGCGTCGTGACACGTGCGTCGGTGCGTCCACACTTTGGACAGCAAGACGTCTGATCGAGCTAGGCCACAGGACCTGAAAATGCTGAGGAGTCCTCTCAGTACTCACCGATCACATCCTCTGGAGTAATCTCATCGAGTGATCTTGGAGTGTAGTTGATTTTACTGTCCGGACTGAGAGTGTAGAGATCGCTGGTGTATTTTCGAATGTCGTCCATCTCCGCGAACCTTCGCTTGTTCTCCCTGATCTGCTTGTACTTCTGCATGAAGATGCTCTCATCGTCGATCTTCTGTCCTTGGATTTGCTTCATGAACATAGATAAATGATGATAGATGGGATGAACCAAGTGTTTCAAGAGATTACCAGGGGATCTCCATGGATGATCATGGATGTCCAAACGGAAAAGTCGAATGGCTGAGCTTTCCGGGCGTCTCATGGCAGTCTCGACTCCATCTCCTTGCAATCGAACTGCGCCTAATGAAAAGGTGATGACCCCCACAAGGATCAAAACCAGAAAGGTTGCGAAGAAGATCATGCCATAGGTCACCTGGCGATCTCTTTCTCATGACTGACTCGACACTCGGGCTATTGAATTAAAAAAAGGAAACTGAAACAAACCGCTGATATAGGCAGGGGGGTCCCAGGTTGTAGGTTTACATGGTTAGGGTCTAAACAGCGACCATAAAAACAGCGGTCTTAGATGTTTGTGTGTTCACACCTGGATTCGCGTGGGATTCACGATCATCTCCTTGGTCTCTTCAAACCATTTGTTGATCCGATAGGACAAGGAGGTCTCTTTGGCACGACCTCCTCGAGCACGGCTCATCATCATCATGTCGAGGTCCGTGTCATCCTCCAAAGACAAACCACCTGAACTTCAGCCCTGGGAGACTTACACATCTCAAATAAGTCTTTACACATGATCGTCCAATCATCACATATATGGTCTCTTCTATCGGACTTGGTGGCATTTATTACTGGCTAAGCACCCTCAGCACCTGAATGGAATAGCTCTCACAAAGCACACACGAAAGAAGTAACCCGAAAAAAAGATCCACTCAGCTCTCCACGGAGTTCATCTTCTAAAGAAACGCGGGCCACGGCGGTGGATCTCCGACTTTTTCGTTCGATGGACGTTGCAAAATTGTCTGCTTCGGTGAGGATGTCGTCAAACTTGGCCTTCTTCTTGTCAGGGGCATCCGTGCCCTCTCCGTCGAGATCTGAATCATCAACCACTGCACCAGTCTTGGAAGATCCACCCTCTGCAGTGGCCCTTAAAAGGACACTTGAGGTTCTGCCGCGTCCGATAAAGGACACGAAGGAAAGGTGGCATGCGAGAGAGGCCAGCAAGAGCACGAGGATGCTCTTGGGCTCCCAACTTCTACCAGGCCTCGCATGGAACGACAGGGTGCTCTGACGAAGAGACTTCACACTGTGTCAGAGGTTCTTAGTCAGGGAAGATTCTGGAGGGTCTTTTTGAGGTCTCTTGGGACTGACAGGGTGTAGGGTGCTCATGGTGTGAACCTTTTTAGCCCATTGCTTCAATCAAAAGACCTCTGAGTGTGTCAGAATGCTGTGCAGTGGAGAAAAGGAAAAAACAATGAAAAAAGAAGAAAAAAACTCCACGAACCCGAAGCCGAGAACAGCCGAGAGCTGACTTAACACTGCTCAACCAAATGACATTCAACCCACACACCGTGCAACCAGGCCTGCGACCCATGGCGACAAAGACCGCGACCACGTCGCGACCGGAGCAAAGGTGGGTCCGACACGGGCTGCGGTCGTTGCGAGCAGATGAGTTGGATCCTCAATCAACGACTGCGTGGCGGATTTCCGTTCCAAAAGGAATCAACGACCATGTGCCACAGAGAGGAAGGAACTCAGACGAAAGTGTTTGAGTTCCACCATCGACTCGTTTGGAATACCAGGCGAAAGCGTTTCGCACAGGTGTCATAATTGTGCAATTAGTGCAAAAGCCTGTTTTCTACTTTGGCCAGCTTTGTAGCTGCTTGACCAACAAACAAAAATCCGGCGCAAACTCGTGATAGGCCAGTGGCGACAAAGCTGGCCTGCCCAGCATAGGCTTCATGTGAAGCTTTGATGACCAGCTGAATCTCATCGTTGAACTTCTCGCTTTTCATCAAAGGGCCCAGCACCTGAGGTGGAGAAATCCAGTGACCCGGTCGGTTGGTGGTGTCCAACGGAACGTCAAACGCGCGAAGGATCACATTGAGAGTTAAGGTCCCAAGTGACCAATGGCATCATTTGACTCGGACTCACCGTTTCGAAGTGGAAGACCACCACCTGTTTGGAACGTCTTTCGTCACGTCTTCCTTTCAGGACGCCATTCCACGCTAACACTCGTGTGAGGTGCGGAGTGTTCTGACTGCCACACTCCCCACGGTGTGATGGACCGGCGGACCGACCCTCTCAGCGTCCACACGCGGAGCAGAGAGTCGTCCCTCAAAGCACTGGAGGCCTCCGAGGCGCAAGAAGTTGGGATGGGTTGATATGGGATGGGTGCATGTTTTGCTTCATGTCAAGAATCGATGACGGCAAATGAAAAAAAACGGAATGCGTCAAATCAAACCAATCAAGCCATATAAACACACATCTCTCTCACGGCCTCCAACGATCGTGATAGCTGAATGGCAGATTCAGCTTCTGCTTCGTTCTCCGCAGAATTCTCACTCCTTGCATGGCAGGATTCTCCGCCGTGGAATGCACTAGCCATGCTAGGCAGCCGAGAGAACTCCAGAGTCAACCAAACAGGTCGGAAGCTCAATGCTTTCTTGGCAGCTTCAGCCTTTCGATGTGCCTGCCGCCACGAGGAAAACCGTCCAAAGCTGCAATGCAGGTTGTCGCCTATCAAATTCCAAAGTAATGCGCCGTTTATTAAGTATATATGGACTATATATATATATATATATATATATCTGACACTACATGCTGCAGTCCCAACAAGAAAGTTTGAAAGAACAATTCACAGCGACCAGAATCAACGCAACCAATCTATTCGTTCCTTCCAGGATCAACACGTTCCACTCCTCTTGCTGCTGCTCAGCGGGCGGCATGAGGCAGGCATCCTCCCGTAGGATGCGGAGCCAAGGCACCGCGGCCAGCTCGTACTTGGAGACCTCGGCCGATCTGGAGGTGTTCCTTCGACGTCAACGCCCGGCGTGAACGGCCCCGGCGTGAACGGCGTGGGGGTCATTGATGTTAATTGGCCCGGAAAGGCCAAAGAAGGGTCGCATGTCACCTCAAACAGTAGAGAATCTGAAAGGTTGTAGGACTGTTCACCTGCCATGGCTTTGAGCAGTTGCAATTCTATATCTGGGCAATCTAGGCACCATCAGTTTCTTCATCCATGCATGATCCACTGCCCCAGCAAAAGGTCACCCCAGTTTGCCACATCCTCGCATTGAAAGCTTTGCTGCTTTTCATTGCAGACAGACGCAAGCTTGAAGCGCTTTGCTCCTCCTGGCTTCTGTGACCAAAACTGAGCTGCAAACATAAGCTTCTTTGAAGGCGCCCAAATGTGTTCCAAGCTCTGCCATGGTGCAAACCTCAGGTCACCACAACGTTCTCAAGACTTGAGCAGGAACCAAGACTGACTCAGGAAACTCCTTGGATCCCTCACCAGAAATGTGTTAGAAGATTTTTGAAAAAGAGACCAGCCCCCAAAACCGCACAAAACCATGCGCCTCAAAAACATCACCAAATCCCAAGGGCAACCGCCAGTCCTTCCAAGGACGCGGCGGCCACATACAGAACGCCCAAGGCTTCGGATGGGAAGCTCCACGTCCTCGGTGGCCCCCGGATCCGTCGGACGGACGGACCCGCTGAGCGCCGACGGACCCGAGTCGCAGGCTCTCCCCCACGCTCGAAGAAGTGCCTGGAGGGGCGATGTGTGTTGGGGGGCGTGAGAAGTGCCCCCCAAATCTGGGAAGTCACTTGAAAGAATTAGGAGGGTTCATCCAAAGTATACCAGCAAACTATGAATACATGCACCTGAAGTACCTGACCTGCGAAAGATATGAATGCGAATGGATAAGGAAGGGTGGATAGAGGTCTCTTCTCTTGCCAATCAGATGAGAACATCTGCGTTCCAGCGACCGCACATGACACACCACCTGTGGCTTCCTGGCTTCGTCTCTACTGTCGGGAGAGCGGCGAGCAGCGCGGACGGGGGACGAGCACCTGATGCTCATGATCCGCGGCGGCGGTGGCATGGCACTCATCTCCAAGCCTGGTGAACAGGATGCCCAGCACTGCCCAGCACTGGCTTCCGAATCAATGATATGGAAAAGAGAATCCCCTGCAGATTCTTGTAGGATACGGGAAGTCCTTAAGCTACTAGTAGCGTTCGTACGCAATTAGGTGGAGGCCATCGCTATTAGGTTGGAAGCCATCGCTACTAGTAACAAAAAGCTAACTAGTATGCAATGCTTTACAAGAGAAACTTCTGCGATCTGCATTTCGATCTATGTAGCCCCAGTCTCCACCATCTTCCAGGGGCAAAGCCAAGAGCTTCTTGACCTCAGCGACGGTGACAGGTGTGATGCGAACATGCAAGTCAGATCCTGAGAATTCCTCAACTGACCCAAACTTCATCGGTCTTTAACCCCCCTTTTTCTTTGACCCGGAGAAGCCTAAGCTGGGCATCCAAAAGCTGCTCAAACCTGCCGAATACAGACCACCCCATAGTCAATATAGATGGTCATTGGGTCCAAGCATAGTCCAAGAGCAACTCGACGTTGGAGCCCACCGTCTTCGCCCTCGCGATCAACGTACCTGGCCGAAAACGACGGCCCCGGTCTTCCCCCGTTCAAAGCTCCATGGACCACGCCGGGCGCACGCACACGTTCTTGCGCCTTGCGCCTTGGCTCGCCATACTTCCGGCCATAGCCTTTGCCTCAGGGTGATGGAGGGTGGGGTCGAGGTGGTCGAGGTCGCCAGCCGACAGATGGGATCGGCGTGGATGGAGAGTTTTGGACCAAAGACACGAGCTCCAAAAGGGGAAGCAGTTTCTTCGTGACTTGCACTTGAAACACTACAAACTGGGATTGCTCGCACACCGCCCGCACCACCGCAGAGTGGGAGGCTCCGAACAAACCGGAGACCTCCGTCTCCGAAACGGTGGATGCTCCGCACATGTCCAGTGGCTCGCACAAAGGGATTCCACCGCAGCGGCATAGGCTTCAGAGAAGGTGTGCATCGGCGCCTGAGTGCGCGAAAGGGACCGGACATCAGGGTGGTTCAAGCAGACAACCCTTCAATTCAAAGGCCTTTGGAAGCCCAACGAAGAAGGGCCCTTCCGTTCGGGACCGATCCATGGCGAACGATCGGTTTTTGTGGTGACTCAGACGTCGACTTTGCATTTCTCGTCGACGGCGGCCTCCAGATCATGAGCCTGAGCGAGGGCATGCTGGCTGAAGTCAGAAGCAATCTACCAAGTCTGAGCTTGTTTGCTATGTTCCATCACTTCCTACGTCCAAACATACATTAAGAACTCACCTTCTGTTTCTCCATGCTGGGCCAGCCGCACCTTCTGCGCTCTTTCTTGCATCCGTTCATCCAACGTTGAGTTCAACTCTTGAATCTGGCGACGTGCGAGCCACGTGAATCCTTCGTGCTACGCCCACCGAAGCAAGCTTTACAGATGGTTTCACAAGAGGGCCTCACGCCGAAGGGAAGCTCCCAAGCAACTTTGGTGGCGAAGGTGACGAGGTTGTTGGCTGGTTTTAAGTGATTTCAGGATTTCCCATGGGGATAGATACATATGTATATCCATATATATTATACTGCATATATATATATATATATGTGGATGGAAGTATAGTAACCTGGTTGCTTCCCCCCCTGGCCTCACCACCATAATACACGATCTCGGGCTCGCTATACTGCTCCTCTCCTTGCAGCTTGAAATAGAAGCAACTGCCCTCAACTAGACATGAAGCGTCCTCAAATAACTATCCTTTCAGGAAGGTGATCATCCAATTTTTATGTTCACACAAGAAAAATATCTGGTCAAGAAAGGGTAGGCCTTCTGGTCTAGGTGATCATCCAAGCGCCAGCGCCCGTGCCGCGCCCTCTCCTTTCTTGCACATCATCAGGAAGGCTTGGTTGTCCTTCTGCAAGGCCTGCAGGCCGGGCGGGGTTGACCGAGTCCGTGTAATTCCATGCCGCCATGCCGGGGGTTGCCCTGGCCGCGTTTTGCCATGGAGGTGGTTTTGCCAGGCGTCTAAGTTAAAAACGGTCAACACAGGCAAAATCCCGCATTGTAGTGCTCCACTTGAACATGTTCCGTAGATCTGTGTTCAGATGAAAGGCAAAAAAGATCACTGGCAAACGTATAAGCGCAGTCTGAGGCGTTTCATCTCGAGGAAACTTTATGTCGTACGCGGAGCAATGGAGAAAACGCTGCAGCCTGTGGTGCTTTGCTGCTCAACTCCAAAAGCGTCTTCACCGCACTCTTGCAGAAGTCTTTGAAGCCCAGAAGCAGATCAGAAGCCTTCGTCCGGGCTCCCCAGTCCAAACAGGGTGGACCCCAAACAACACGGTGAAACGAAGGACTCAGACGATCTCAAAAGGTCGCAATCGGAGGAATCATCTACTTTGGACGGAAGAAAGTAGTACATACAATTACACCAAGTAGTCATCAGTATCTGAATACACTAGATAGACATCCAATTGGCCTGGAATATAATTCTGAAATAACTTCTGAGGATTTATGAGGCATATCTGGGCCTGTCGTTCAAAGGAGGTGAGGACAGGTAGCGTCTCCGCCTCAGCGTGAGTTCGAAATCAAAATGAACAGCTGGGTCCTGCTTGTCTCACCGAGTCTACTACAACAATACCTGGAAATCGTCTATCGACCCCAACGACACGAGCTCCAACGACACGCTTCTGAGTTCCGCGCTTCGCTGAGACGATCCTGCAAACTAACAAGCCGCTGCTTGAACCTGATGCAGAATCAGCATCAACATGGGCGGTTCTTTTTAGTCTCTTCAGTTCCAACCACGACCACAATGTACAAGAGTTCTTGTTTGCGGAACACTTTTACGACTTTGTACAGTAGGTCTTGGCGAGTTGCAAATGGTCCAAAGAACTGTCATCTCTGAGGATCTCACTCTTCTTCTGCTTTTTCCACTTCTTCCAGGGCCTTCTCCACAGCATCGTCTTGGTCTTGACACTTGTGTGCCACACTGATCAAGTGTCGCTCGAACTTGTCCTGAGGAGCTGCGGGGGGTCGTTCCACCATGCCGTTCGGAAAAACGGCGATTCCAGCACGCCAGGTGCCACATTTGGCAAGTCTACGAGTCTTTCTCCATTGAGGGGCTATGCTGAGCTATGGGCTTGGTCAATGTGCAATCGATGTTCGAACATCAATGAGAACCAATGGCACTGCGGCATCACTATCAGGTTACCTCATGTGTGCCAGGCCATACACCCTGTCCTTGTGTTTGGATACGGTTCCGTAGCGTGGCACATACCACTCCACCTCGCAGTGCACAGCAGACAATAGAACGATGGCCGACTCAGCCAAGCCGTCGTATTTGGTGATTCCTCATGTCCCCCCACATCTCAAGATCCAACAGGAAAGGATTCGCTACTTGGCCACCACTTGAAGTTCCGACCTGGGGGGCTGCACCGACCTTGACTAAGTGACTCAGTGCTTTTCCTCGACCCGGTGCGAAACGCCTACCAGGTGATACCAGGTGCAGTTCCCACCGAGTCCCTGGATTTTGTGGATCACCGGTGTCAGTTGGTCATGGAAGGTCGCAGCAGGTCATCGCAAAGCGCCCCGGGTGGAAGAGGAGCACACTGGAAAGGAACTCGAACGGAAACATGACTGAAAAATGTGTCCAAAACACATTGAAACATGTTGAGTCCAGGAGCTCCGAGCCCCCCCAAACTCACTCGGTGACTGAAAAATGTGTCCAAAACTCCGGCCTTCCCAAAGTGTCCGTTTCCCCGGCGTTTCTCTGAAGCGACTGGACTTCGTTCGACCGAACTCGCCTGGACTTCTCCCTTGCGGTTGGTGTGCCGCCGCAGGCGCTGATCCAAATCCCGTCGCACTTCTTCGCAGGCCGCAGGGATGTCCACACGGTCCAAGTAGCGTTTCTGAGTCTGGAGGTTTTGGAAGATCGCCTGGACGGCATTTTGGACGAAGGTTCAAACAAAGGCGAAGGCTCGACTTCAGAGGCTCTTCAGAGGGATAGAAGGTCGAAACTACCCACAATGCTAGGAAGGAAGGAAGGAAGGAAGGAAGGAAGGAACTACCCCAAAGACCGCATGGCCTCTCTCAAGCCATACAAGTTCTCTTCAAACCAAGAATGGTCAAAGCTCAAGGTCTCCAGCGCCCGCGTCCCATCTGCGAAGACTGGCTCTGCGTCGCTTCCGTCGGTCGCTCCGTCGTCGGCTCCGTCGGCGGCCGCGGCCGTGCCGTCGGGCGCTCCGTCTGCGTCGCTGGGGCCGTCGATGGGATGCTCTTGGAGCACGGTGCCGCGCAGCTCGGGGAGGGACTTCTTCTCTAAGACTTTGCAACCAGTACCCTCACCTGGCGCAGTACGGAGGAGGTGAGGTGGTGAGAGAGTTGTTGTTAGGGGTGTTGGCCTCAGGGAGTTGTCCAGGTGTCTAGACACAAGGGCAACCAATGAGTGCTGGTGGATGATCCATAGAGGAGATGCATCGGAGATGCGTCGGATACGATAGGCGTTACATGCATCGGCCATACTTACACATCGAGTGTGATGCATCGAGAACTTCCGTAGACTCTGGTGATGGTTCACCTTCTAAGACTCAAACAACATCTTTCTGTCTTGGCTCAAACTGATTGGGACTCCAGTCTACTTGTTCACCCCGTTTTCCCCATTCCAACCCCCGTCCTAGCGGCACATCTTCCGCAGAGACCCAAAGGCTCTTCTCCTCCAGACCCTCAAAGGCCGCTGCTTCTGCTTCCACTGCCTCCGCTTCCCGCGCCTCTGCGTCCTCGCCACAAAACTTTCAAGGGCGAAGAAATCTGAAAAAAAAAGAATGTCTATAGTCTATAGCCCTCCAAATGTGGATGCCTCGACACACGCAAGTATGTTGATCCTCCCCATCCAGTTGCCTCTTTTTGAACTGGGTTAGCACCTACTGTGTGGGTTATTGGGGGGGAGTTGGAAAGTATATCTTTGGCCAACACCAGACTTCGTTTCAAGTTGACTACACCACAAAGACCGCGAATTTTGGCCGAACACAACTTCTCCGTGAACACTCGAAGAGGGTGCCTGCCGGAGTTGTGTCTTGGCAGTCTCGATGGCTGCGGCCAACGCCTGTAGCCGCGCTTCCTTGGCCGCCTCATCCTCACCATCCGGCGCAGCGTGGGCTGCCTGGCTTATGAAGTGTGGTCAGTCGTCCGAAGATGCTCGGATGAGCACTGGGTCAGGTTGAGACTGAGAGAATCAACTTGGAGTTCTAAGACAAGCTGAGCCCATCCCAAAAAAACAGACTGGATGGTATATGTTCGCATTACACCAATTTGGTATCCAGTTCCACACGTCCGCGCCTCTGCCGCTGCGATGGCGTCCGCCTCCAGCTGCGCGGCGTGCGCCGCACGTTCGGCTTTCAGCGCCACCGTTTCCTCGGCGGGATCCAAGGCCAAGCCCAAGTCCTCGCAGTCGACACCAAGCCAAACGTCCAAGAACGCTGTTCCAGCGCCGAGCAGAGGCAGGTCATGTCTGACATAGTAGATGGCTTTTTAGACATGAATCTCGGTCAATCTGTTGCTCTCCTTTTGAGAGGAGGTTGAGAGAGCTAGTCCTTCGTGATAGTCGATATAGATATACAAAACATCCAACCCAGATCTTCTGTAAAATGTATGTAAACGTATACCACCAGTGTAGAGAGCATGCATGTTCACATTGTCACCCTTTTCATTCCACCCTTTTCAGTCCTGGCAATATCCACGCGTTTCCTTGCGGATGAGAGCCTGTGCGTCTCCTGGATATCGCTGATGTATTCCCAGGAGCTGATCCGCATAGTCCCGATAGCCCACAGCCATTTGATCTAAGTGATCAAAGGTTTCCTGCTTCAGCTCTTCCAAAGTTTCATGATGCGCTGCATCATCGATCGCGGTATGCAGTTCCTTCATCTTGTTCTCGTTCCTCTCGCAGGTATCTTCAAAATCCTTTTCACAGTCTTCCACTTCACCATTGTAATTCACCTGCAGCACTCCAATCAACATCCGTTTTTTTTCAGCAAGCCATGCGTCTAATCGAAACCCCAAGTCGCCGCATCGGCCTTTCTTTCAGCATCTGACCCAAAGTCACAGCGGTTGAAAGGTGGAGGACCACTTAAAAAGACAGAGCTGAGGTGGAGGACCACTTCACTGAGCTGGAAACAGACCATTGCACTCCAAACAGACCATTCGTCTTCCTCCAAGTGCGACGACCAGCAACGCCGCCCAGCAACGACACGACCAACGACCTCCCTCGTCCGACCTCGAACTCCTCGACGCGCTTCTTCAAGAGTTCTTGTCGCTTCGCCAGGTTGGAAAAGAAGGTGATCACGCCGGTGACCGCCAAATGCAACGCCTGAAGTCAGGACCGGTCCTTTTGGGCTTGGGGGATGCTGGATTGGAGAATGAGATCGAATGAGTACATTCTGGGGGCGAGCCGAAGTCTGTCTTCCTTCCAATCTGTTTGAATGCACATGATCACAAAGACCTGACAGCATCAATGGACCACTGCCATGCAGGTGTCTCTGGCTGGAAAGCTGTGAAGCACCGGTATCCGTGTCAAGGCTCTTTGTTTGTCCCCTTTGAGGGGCCATGGCAATGGCCATCCTCTCGTGTCCAATCGAAATCTTTCAGGAAAAGTATGTTCCGTTCGTAGCGTCCGAACGCTCCTGGTAGTAAGGCCATAGTAGCGATGCCAGGAGCCCCTAGTAGCTTCTTGTTCCTAGCAAAACTCCTGACCTCCTCTTGATGAGTCAGCTTGTTGGAGAGCAATTGCAGCATCTCTGCCACTGGATCCAAACACTCTCGCAGCGGTGGTCGCACCTGGGACGCGACCGCAACGGCGGAAGGTGGTCACCGAAGCCGCACAGAGAAACCCCAAAAAGAAGAAAACAACAGTCGGGCGTGAAATCGCATATTAGGCAATGGCAACATCGCATATCCACTTTGCCAGCGCGCTGTGTCTTTGCCAGACCATGTTGTTTTGGAAGTGGTCCTTTTCAGTGCGCTGTGGTCCGCATCAACACATGGCAAAATGAATATGTGCGTCCACATAATATATATATATATATATATGTGCAAGCATGACAGCCCTGCAGCAAGCAAGAACGATGGTGTCTGCTCCCGAACCCGCTCCCGAACCCGCTCTGGAGCCTGCCAGTGTTAGGATGTTAGCGTGACCCTTGTCAGTGTGCCAGCATGAAAACATGTCAGCGCGACAGCCTAAGAACACGTCAGCATGACAGCCAGTGAGCACATCTACACGTCCCCATGAAAGCGCCATGTACAACACGCCATCACCATGTCGGCATATCGGCGACAACACCAAAGCATGTCAGCATGAAAACATGTTAGCACGTCAGCATGACAGCATGTGTGCAAGTTAGCATGACAGAGCGGCAAAGTGGTTTTCATGTCGACATGACAGCTTGCACCGCAGCTCGCATGGTACCACGGAATGCCAACATGTTTATCTTGACACAATGCAAGCACTACGCCATCTCTGCACAACTTGGCACAGCCTTCCTCCAGAATTCCGGAACGTTGCACCGTTTTCTGGTTCGGAAGTCCCGGAACTTCCTCCAGAACCTGTGCCCTGGAACCTAACCTGCTCCTGCTCCAAAGTCTTTAGATACCAAGCACGTGACTGCCATCCAAGGGTTCCCAACTGGGCGGTTGGGCAGCTTCCACTCCCGCATGTTGGGCGGATTCAATCCGAATGATGTGACCTATGTATATATATATATATCAAAAGGTCGCCTTGAAGAACCTGGAAAGTGACGCCTGCCTCATCTTCCTCATCACATCTTGTTCCTTGTGACCCACTCCAATAAAAAAGAATGTTCAAAAAAGAACACGTCATTCCCATTCGTGGTATGGCACATCCACCAGAAACCTGAAACTTCCCAGTGCAAACACAAGACGTTGAGCCAGTTCCCCTGGAGATTTGGCGGGCTCTAATCAACCGCACATTTTGGAGACATACGGATTCGAGCTGAAAACCACTCAGGATCCAAAACAGGCGAGAGGCCACCAGAAGGAGGTTTCTCGGACATGTGTCTGAACATTAAATACATTAAATAACAAATTCATTCCATTTCATTCCAGTTCATTCCAGTTCATTCCCGTCACCCAGGCGCTTCGCTTCGCTTCGCTTCGCGTTCGACGCGTTCGCCGGTTCACTTCACTCCCCGCCTCTGCGTCGATGAGGTTCGCGACCGAATCATGGCCCTTCCACTCCTGCAAAGCCGTCGGTTCGCTCCACTGGGGGTGTGGAGAAAGAGGTTTGTGGTTCATTCCAAAGCAAAATGGTTTGAGAAATCTTGAGAAAATGGTGCCCAGCAAAGTTGTATAAACTTGTAAACATTTGAGTTGCTTGGTTTGATCCTTTTTTGTAGTCTTGGGGATCTCCAATCATTCATTTTCCAAGTTGTTCAAGCGCTCTCCATGGGCCCAAGCTGAATCTTCCACCTAGCCGCCCTCACACAAGATCTCTTGGACCAAAAAAGGTCCGTTTCCACGACCAGTGGGGAACGCTTACATACTGATGCGCGTGCATACACATGCTTCGCGCGCGGTTGCGAACCATGTACATGAGAAAACCGGTCCTGGCGAGCATCATGTACTTCCAGCTCCAATCCCAGCTCACCAAGCATCTGCTCGGCTGAGACCTCGGTTTCCACCGTACGCCAAGCGACACCAAATCCGGTCGATCGACCGGACCGTGTGCCTCACCCACACGACCAGCCCGTGGAAGCCTCCGTTTCTAGCGGATTCCGGTTTGGTCATTGTTGGATGTCCACGTCGAGATGATGTTGAACAGGACGTCACATAAGATCTACCCTAAAAAAGAGTCATAGAGATGTCCAAGCAAAATCAAGGTAAGGCCCACCGCACCAAACACCGACCATGTCCAAGATCCAACCAGGCTTAGAAAGAGAGTTACCCAAGTCTGGCAAGACCACCTCACCAAAAACACTCACACCATCTACTTCGCCCCGACTCATGCCACACCTCGGAAGCTCCGCCCCCCTCCCAAGGAACGACGCCAGTGCACCGGGTCACGTTCAAGGCTTCTCGCAGCTCGCGGAGCTCCACCAGCAACGTGTCGAAGGTCTCCTGCGCGCGGTCCTCAGATCGGACGGGAGACGCCTCCGGATCGGTCGAGATCGCCAGGGTTCAGTGGGTTCAGTGGATGTCTCCACAGTGGATGTCTGTGGTGCCCTCCAGAAGGAACAACACAACTGGCCGCGTTCCTGAGCATGCCCTAGCATCCTAAGAAAGAACATGGGACATGTCAGTCGGCTTCCGGCATCGAAGAAGTCGGTGCAGAACCGAGGCGTTCACATTGAGCTGTGTGTTCTGCTCTTCCAACTGCCGCACGGCTGCCTGAGGCGGGCGGATGATCTCAGTCTTGTCGCCTACACCATCACCTGGTGTCCCCTCGTGAGGACAAACAACCGGTACATGGAGAGCCTACAAAGGGTCTTGAGTGCATGCTTGCTGTACCACCTTCGTTTACGCAGGCCTTCTGCTGTTGCTAACATCATTGGCTGCGCCCCTTTCACACGACAGGTTTCAAAAAACATTTCCCGATCTGAGTGCTGGACTACAGTGAGACGATTCTGAGGTATGCAGAAGAGCCTCAGCCGCTGACTGTGTCATGATGCGGATGAAGGCAACCCTGTCTCAGCAAACTGTATACACAGGAGTGTGTCTCAATAGAGGAGGTACCCTCATAAAGGGATCCTTCTGCAGCATGTTCTGGGACAAAGCCAGTGAGCTCCTGGTGAAATGCCCAAGCTCTGCTATCAGCTTGATGGCGGTGATGACCCCTTGGGTACCTGTGTATTGGTAGCCATGGCCAAACGCAGCCTACCGCAAAATAATGAATGCATTTACCTCTCCCTGAGTCCGAGATAGTCCCAAGCATCCCCAGCTATGCTTGGCCATAGTAGCCAGCCCATCTAGTGGGTTTCTGATCTAACAAACAAAGACATAGAATGACATGGGCAACACCTTCCTTGGCGGACGATCGTCTTGCCTTTTTCACGTGACCCGGTTGATGGGTGGAGCGTACCCAGCGAAGCAGGTCAAAAGGGTAGAACCAAACTACCAAAGAAGTCGTCAGATCTCCCAGCAAGCGGCTTTGGGGTAAAGCATCTTGCAGCTGTTCGGTGTTCTCTGTTTATTCCAGTTTTTCTGTTTCTTTTATGCCTGAAAATATCTTCCTTCTGGGACCCCCGTCTCTTCCATGAGGTCTCTGCGCTGCAGAAACACAAAGGCCTGACAGACGTGATGATGTGCATCGTGGACCAAAGATTACAAAGGTCGTTGCGGGAGATGTCGCGGTGCCCGAAAATGCCAGCAACCAAGAAGCAAGTGTTGTAGTTTATCAACTATGGTCTTCATGCAGGTGTTGATCAACTATGGTCATACAGTATTTTTGGACAAATTGATGAGAAAACAGTAACAATCTACCTAGTTGCATCTTCGCATCAACCTGCAAAAGGCTGTCCTCCTGTTTTTTTTGAAGTACCTTGGTCTGATGCCAAAAAAGATTAACAAAATGGATCAAAGTGGGTCAAAGAGGATCAAATACTTTGCCGAATCGACCAGGATCAGGACTCTATTTGGCCCTTCTTTCTTGTCGCACCCTGTCTTTTTGTGCGAGAGAATGTGGGAAGACTTCCGAATGCACAGCTTGAAGCCCGATGGAATGGCCAAGAAGAAGAAGAGGAAGAAGAAGAAGCAGAAGAAGAGGCATTGGGCGTTAGCACATGGCGTTGGGAAGATCCACCGGTGTGGCTGTGCATACAAAGCCTCGGGTCCGAAGCACAGGATGTGGAGCCGACATCCTATGAAGTTGAAGTTCTTTGAAACGAGCGGGCGATTTCTGGCCAAATGTACTTCAAGTTTGTGGATGACAAGCATATTATCCTGCTGGTGTAAATGGAGCAAGATCTGGCCCATCAGCAAATATCAACAGAACGGTACCTGGCATGTCGACGTTCTATAGTCTTACTCATGTTCTTTTTCGGCTTGGAAGCCGTCGCCAGTTTCATGTCATAACTTTTCTTAGCCTTCACAACTTGCTTTCTTGGTTATGTCCTTTTGTCCGAAAGGCCACTGAACGGTCGGCTTCAAGTTTTTCTGGATGCAGGGCAAGGACTTGGGGGTAAATTGCTGTTGCCTTCACAACTTGATCGTGGTTCTGCCCAATGTCCAACAGCCACTGTTGGCTCTAAGTTCTGATCAATGCTGCAGCTCAGGATATTCAGGATGCACCATCCTGGATGCCTTGCTACTGCCTTCGCAACTTGAACGTGGCTCAATACTCAAACCAAGAATTTGAGGACAATGGGCAATGACCGTTGCAACTTGAGCCTTGGTCAGCCTAGTGTTTAAGAGCCACTGAAATGTTGGGTTCATGTTGTCCTCAATGCTGCAGCCAAGAAGAACAGGACACCTTATTGTTGCCTTCACAACTTGAGCCTTGCTGAGCGCAATGTCAAGCAGCCATTGCAGCACAGTTTGCACGGATTGTCCAATCAAAGATGCACCATCCCTCAAGGCCGCTCTGTGAGCTTCTCTGCCGAACTGGGCCTTTGACAGCTTCGGGTGTTGGCGTGACCACCTAAACACTTTGCCTCAGAGGAATGCCTGCGGCAGCATATCTCTCAGCGTGGCATCCTTGGATGAACTGTTGTGTGAAAACCACTGATTCGAAGAATTTTGTCCTTCAGTGGACTCCTGTGGGTGCGGCTCATGCAAAGTGCACATGACCTGGAGGCCCAAAATCCAACAAGGCTTCGTTCTTCATCCACTTGCTGGTCTTGGCGTCTCTTTTTCACATGGTCCAAGCCAGGCTCGTAGTACACAAACAGTGCGGAATTGGGATCTCTCAGCACTGCAAAAGCCACCAAATCTTGCTCCAGAGAGTTTTCGCCCCATCCCACTGGCCCGGCATGGGACAAATGCGGAAGAGTTCCACATACAAATGTTCTCGGCATGAAAAGCACTGCAAGCTGCGTCAGCTGCGCCACAACGCTGAAGCGCTGCGTCAAACACGTTCTCGTGCAGAGGCCACGTTGCCAGCCGCAGCAAGTGGTGCAACACGCAGGATTGGCATGAAGTGGATGATCCAAAATTGTTTGGGGAATTTCCAGAGTTGAGATTGCTGGTAAAAGAAGGACTGGTGCAAAAAAAAATGAAGCACTAAGGGTGAAAATACATACTCTTCGAAACACCACTATAAACACAGACCGGTGTCAAAATCAAAAGGAAAAATGGAGTTTTTTCAAAGGAACCAGCACACGCTGTCGACCAAAACCCCGCGCGGACCTGATGTTCTCGGACCTTGGCCACCGCCTCGACCAGCGAGTCCGGTTGCCGGAACTCATTGCCTCGGTTCCGGCCGGGCCGGGACCACGGACCTCCAGGAGGCCGGACCGAACCAACGTGGGTGGGTTTGTGGGATGGTGACACGAAGCGACGAACACATGGGTTTTTGGGATGGCACCCTCTGTTCGTAAAGGAGAAGTATAGTCTTCCTTTCGGGACTAAGTCGTCCACTTCCAGGTGATGTGTTCGTCAGAGTGTAAATGGTTCGAGTGGAAGACTTGGTGTGTGGTGTTCTGTTGTCAGACAAGGAACTGAAGAACAATGACACCGGGTATCACGCGGTGGGCGGAGGGAAGTGGGAGGCACGGTGACGATTGGAAGCCTGGGATGTTGGCCCCACATCTTCCGAAATGAGGGGAGAACTCCGCCTTGGGGCTAAAATCAAATCAAAATGTACTTTAAGATGTTCACCCCAACTCAAGCGAAACTCGTGAGAGTCTTACCTCTCGAACCAGGAAAGTCGAGAAGACCCAGTGGGGCAACAAGGCTCCAGTGGGGCCGACACAGCTTCCATGGCGCGCAGAGAGCGCCAGCCGACCCGAAGTCCGAACAACATGAAGGAACCCTGGACTGTAGACCCCTGATCCAGCAGTCGGGGTTGGGCCAGGGGAACTCTCCGAGCGGCTCCGAATGGCTCCCTGTTTCCCCATAGCTCCCGAGGCTCCTGTCGCTCCCTACTGAGCAACAGCTAGTTATAGACAACCCGAAGCATGGTCCTTTTGACACGCGTCGTTCAAAAGGTCGTTCTTTGCTTCCCCACTGCGTATCCGCCGCATCACCACCGCCATGCTGTGTCGGTGCCTTGGACTTCGGCGGTCTCGCTGACTTCGCGTGCGATGTGTTGGAATGCCAAGCCCTGGACCGCTGCTGCTTCCAGAGCAGGAGACCCTTGTGCCAACGTACCTGGCGTTCTAGTGCAAGTTCTGTAGGTCACAAGAAGGATTCCCTAGAAGTTTCACGAGAGTGACCTACCAAGCTTGAACCTGTCTTCAATCCATGTGGGGGACGCCACCTGGAGCGGCCCGAACCTGGCCTTGTAGTCTTTGTTGTCCTCCAAGGCCTGAACCTCTCAGCTTGAGCTTTTTGAATCTGCTTTTCTGGGTCATCAACACCACGCGTTATTGCTTTTATCCGTCATCTCTGCCCAATATTATTGAACAAATCAACTATCAATAGAATTCGAAAGGAAATTGTTGCCTGACAAACACCTGCGAGAAGGATTGCGAAGCATCACTCCCCCAAAAAAGCAATCGCAATCAGATTTGCCATGGCTGAGCCCTATACCGTCAGCTTGGCTTCCAATTGGTTCATAGCTTTCCTCAGCCACGTGGATCATGGATCATGGTGGATCACGACGGTGTGGCCTCCCTGCCCTAGATTTCTTGTCAGTCATGATTCGGAGGGCCTTTATGTAACAATCGTGGCGACCAATCTCTGCCCACACCGTAACGTGTTAGGTGGTGTTCCCAGGTAAGTAGCCATTGTTTGGAAGAAATCCCACAGCAGACAGAACAATATTCCAGGTGCATGTTCACAATGATGAACAATGGATAGACTCGGATAGACACCGAGATCTTCCAAGATCTGATTGGAATTTGAACCACCAACATCATGGATAGATTATTTGGTGTGTTTGATACTTGTTGATCCAATAATCCACTTCCATGGCTCATTTCCTCATTCACTCCCTCATGTTTGGCAAGCATCTATGTACAAACACACCCTTTTATCAACTTCCCCTGTTGCAGGAGCTTCTGGATCTCACAACTGGATTTGGGCACGGGGGGTTCCCGGGATCCAGGTTTGGACTGACGGTTCTTGGACCAAACGGTGGGAACCTCGCTGAACCCGAAACCGCGAAACGACCGACCTCCACAGACCATCGATTGAGCGTTCGGGTGGTGCCGTATGAGACAGACTCTTCAAGTGGATCAGACCATCTCCAACCAACCGAGACCATTCCCAACTGAGGAGGGCACCGATTGTCAAGAAGCACTTCGTCAAAGGAGAGGGCCTTGGCCAAGCCGAGTTTGGACCACCGTGCCGCCTGTCCAATTCATACGGAACTGGTCGAGCCCCGGTTTCAGACGTCCTGAGAGGCCAATTTGCCACAAACTGTTGCATGGTTCGCGGTGGTGGGCCATCATCCTCCATCTGGAACCTTTGGAAGTTCCCCAACCAAGCATGCATGCAAGGGTTCCACAGCAGACATTCACCAAATTCTTCGTCAAAACGCCGGAGGCGTTCTTGGCACAGCAGTATCCTGTCCCCAACATCACCAGGGCTCCACAAAGGCAGACGCAGGTCCAATCTAGGGCTCCGCCCAATCCAAGATATGCTTTCTGCAACTTCATGATCTTGTCATCAATCCTTTCTGTCTCCTACCTCTGGGCGGAAACCTGTGAATTTCCTGCACTTTCTGCAGCACGCGGTCCCGTCGCTGTGGATATTGTGTGCCGGGTCACATGGTCATGCATTGTATGTGTCTTGGTTTCAGTCAAAGTCGTGTGGGGGTCCGCAGACTCCAAGGAGCAACAGCGGAAATGTGCTGCACAACCGTCCGCTGCAAATCCGCAAACGCGCGCCTGAGCTCCCGGGCGTGCCCTTCCACGATCCGCTCGGCTTCGCCGTGCACCACATGTGCGGCAGCGGTGAGTGCCTCACCGACGAGGGGCGGAAGCGGCTTCCGCTCGGTCGTTTCGGAAGCGGCTTCCGCGTGAGTTCCTTGAAACAGTCGCACTGAGAACACTCAGAACCTGGGATTTAAAAATGACTGAGAACACTTTATAGTGGAGAAAGATATTATACATGAGCTTCCCACAGGTCATGAAACAAAGTAGACACCAAAGTGAAACGTCTTCTCCAGTGCCTCAACTAAGGTCTTCAGAAGCTCCTGCGATCAGAATCGTGCACACCTCTAGATCGCGCCGTTGGAGTCCAATCTTTAAACAAAGGGGGTGTATGTGTGTATGCCTGATTTCAAACACTTGTGCAAACTTCCAGTCCATACCAAAATCCGGTCTCAAGCATCCAAGATTCCCCCGACTTTGAGAACCAGGCACATTGGACTCATGGGCTTCGAAACGATGCAGTCTGCAATTGGTCCTTCAATCTGATAATCCCGATCTTTCCCACAAGAAAAACACTTACAAATCCTCCCAAGTGCAACCTTGAGGAGCCTTGCATGAGCAACTCGCACCAATATCAAAACACATCAAAGCTTGGAGTTCATATGACACAGAATCACAGAACCTCCATGAACTCCCAAACACCTGGGCTTGCACATCTGCTTCCCCGGACTGGACTTGCACTTCCCCTCCCTGCCATTCATTCCATTTATATCCACTCCCTTCTCTTTTACCAGACTATCCAAAATTCTATCCCCCTCTCGTATCCCCTCATCTTCCAAAAAAAAGAAGCGCGTCTCCTCCATCTTCGACTTCCGAAGCCCATCGATGCGCGCCAGTTCCCCATCCGCGCCCGCGAAGGCCGAGATCCGCTGCTTCCGGCTCTCGGTCGAGGCCTCCGACGCGAACCCGTTGGTCGAACCTTTGAACTGGCGAGACCGGAGACAGTTGGGACCGGGTGTTGGACCTTTTTTGGGATCAGTGATCTTGCAGTGGCCGCAACCCACACATCCTGATGATGAGATATTCTTCGCGAGTGGCTTCGATCTCTTCTCTGCATTCTCCTCGTCGATCTGCAGATGATCTTCTAGCGTCCTTTTTTTTGGACGTATGAATCATTGCCTACATTGCACCTTTCATGTCCACAACCGAAAGCTGTTGGCCCGGCGGATCGTTTCTACCGATGGCAGTGGCCCCAGCACAGTGCCCTGCTGGGTATTTTTGGTGGCGGCCCATGCCGCTAGGTGCCTCAAATTAGTGATTTGTGTGATAGTCTTGGACTTCCAGAGCAGGCTGGAGTGAGGAAAATAGAACCTGTGTAGATCTCGGTGGTCGCCGTATCATTAAAAAAAAAAAATGGTAGTGCATATATATATATATATATATTTATAGTTATATGTTTTTTTTAAATAACGTTATAATATGTTATTCCACCCCCCATCTGCCTCCCCCAGGCCTCGACTGCCGCTAGGATGCCTCGCACTTCACCCTCCGTGCGTTCGCCCAGACTTCTTAAGGCCTTCAATGCCGCGTTCTCCGCGGCCACCGCCTTGGCCTTTGCCGGGTCGATGGTGCCATCGAGTGGTAAGTCGTGAAGCTCGTCCAGCCTGGAAGGTGATTTCGCCGGCGAGGTCAGCTCGATTTCGTCCCATTTGTTGAGGGGTGTCGGAAGTCACGTTGGAAAACAGCTCAGGTGATGAGCAATGGCAGTGATGGAATTTACATCTCAAACAAGTTGGTACAAATTGTGTGGAGTTGGCAAATTGCACGGCTCAAAGCAAAATCCCCAAACTGGTGGACTGGTCCAAGGAATCTAAAGCCTGGACAACCCGGTTTAGGCAGAAGAGCTTTCAAGGGGAAAACATCATCTTCAAGTGGATCAATACATAAGCCAACGTCACAACCTCGAAGATGCCCCGATTCCAACGATGATACTAGCATGTTGAATTCTGTCAGATGGTTTCATCTTGCTGACTTCTAGGAATCAACAGGCAATCTTCTTGGGACCACTGCTCAAGCTACCCGCCGTGGACCGCTGCTCAATCGACTGGTTTGCCCACCATTTGCAGAAAAGCAGCAAGGTGGTCTCGTCTAAGACCAAAGGTTCTTCACCCTCCGGTCTCTCCGGCAGTGGAGGTGGTTCTAAAGGTTTTAAGATCGCATTGCTTTCTGCGATCTTCTCTTCCAAATCCTTCTTCACCCGCTCTGTTGCCGCGAAGACCTCTTGCTGGCACTCCTGATCAGGTGGATCTGTCAAGAAGAGAAGGGAAAAGGATCACATAAGCCAGAGGATCACCTAGCAATTCGGGTCCATTAGCCTGCTAGAGCGGAAGGAAGGCACACGCCGCACCACGCACCGCCAGGGCAACAAATTACGGGAAGAAAACAAGACATGTCGTCGGTCTACTGGACGCAACCGTCGCGACATCTCCGTCCCCCAGGCGGCCTCAGAGAGCACGTCCAGCGCCCGCTGGAACTCTTCGAGCGCCTGGTCATGGCGGACCTTCCGTGAGGCTAAGAAGTCCTTCTGCCGCTCCAGGCGCTTCTCGCGGCATGCCAAGGCCTCGTTCCCCACCTGAAGATGAGAAGGACGACGGATATCGGATATCAAAATCCACCCGGTGGGAACAGGAAGCTTCTCTTCCAAGGGAAGGAGATGGGAGGAGAGTCGGGCCAGAAGGTCACATCAGACTACAGGTCGCTCCAGTCGGGCCAAAGAACCAAAGGAATCAACATGGACATTCTCCCCCACTCCCTCCTCCAGACCTCCTTCATTCCCCTTTCAGGACCTCCTCCCAACCTCCAAACCTCCCCCACCTTCACGATGGGCACACCGCCACCGCGCAAGTCGGTGAGGTCCAAGGCTGCAGGCCCGGTCAAGGGTGCCGGGACCCCTGCGGCACCGTGATGGAAAACAGCGTCCCGGCGCCTGAGGAAGGGAAGATGGTTTGGGTAAGGGGACACCCTCGAGAAATGACAACAGATTCAAAGCCTTCTGGAGGTACACTCCCTGGAAGAATCATGGTGGAGGTGAAAAAACATCACCAGCTGTTTGGTATTTCAGATGGTCGTCCCAAATCAGGGTCATGCCATCCACTCCATGATTCCAAGGAGTGTAGTTATTTCATATGTCCAATTGAGGTTTGTCGGTCCAATCCGTGGGGTTGGTGGGTTATTTCCCTCGCACACTTGGAGGCTTGGAGGCTTCGCCAGTTCAACTTGGCCGAAGGTGGGCACTGAAGGTTGCGCTAAGCTCGCCGCAGCTCGCCGCGCATGATCTCCGGTGCCGCCACGGTCTCTAAGGGAGGCTGCTCGCGCCTGCGCGGTTGCGGCGGTTTTGCGGGTTCAATGGTTCAACCGCTGAGAGCGGACGCCTTCTGTAGCTCAGTGTGGTTTCTTCTCGCGGAAAGCGTCGTTTCGATATCATGGAAACTTCAGCATGGTCTTCCAAGCTTTTGCGGCTCGAACTGTTCATTCCAAGCTTCTCCCTCGTTCGGAAGACTGTGGAGTTGTTCGCACACGGAGGCATACTAAGGAATGCAAGTAAAACCCTGTCTCAACCATCAACTGCTGTGATTCTAACCCCGCCACACATACACCATGCCATGCCTCCCTGCTTGGTTGTTCAACACTCGGCGAGAATGAAAGTGACTCCAACATCCGGCCTCACTCCCACATCTCCCAAGAGACTCACCAACAACGGCCTACTGTACACCCCCCCAATCACCCAGCAACTGGGAACTCCATCTCGCCTATGCGCTTCCTCCACGTATGCAAGCTGCTGTTGCCTGGCCGCTGAAAGGGGAGCCACCGACCCCAGCACCGACCCCGCCAAAACCACAGCGGTGTGCGACTCCAAACGGGCCGGAAGCCGACTTCTTCTTCAGGTATGCGGCCTCTGCATGGGCTCGGCAAGAATCGATGGCATCGAACATCAAACCAAAGCCTGTTGCTTTGAAGAAAATGCGAAGGGATGCATCGTTGGTGGAAAAGCGGCCATGCCATCAACCAGATTCATATGATTCCTTTGCTCATAAATTTCTCAATAACTCTTCAAAACTCATCTAAAATCATGCAAAAAAAAAGCACCATTCCACCTACCCTTTCTCAGGCCCGCCAAACAAAGCCCGTCGTCCCGTCCCCAAACAACGCCGCCTGGCCATTGGCATTGAAGTGCCGCTCCTGCGCGAGCTGCTGCGACAGCTGCTGAGAGGCACAGAACGCCTGGACGAAGCCCGGCGCTGGGATGTCCGTGGCATCCAGCCTGCGCTGGGATGTCGTTGGCTCGATCAGCCGATCGATGCGTTTCCAGACGCACGCAGACATGGGGGAAGACATGGAGCTACAGGTCGGATATGGTCGGATTTCTTGGTGCTCAACTGGTCAACTGAGCGCTTGGTAATTTGTTGATCACACAATTGAGTGACCACAAAGTTGTTCCGTTTTGTTGATGTGTGCTTTATCTTAAAGTTTTAAAGTATTGCTTTACTCATGTGTACATGTATATATATATAAGTGTGTATATCTATATATATATAGTTATAAGATGCACACATAGATAATATAATATATCATAAAATCCCTGTTTGTGGGGGCCACTATCAGTGTGTAGGAAACTCCTGCCCCAACCGCTGTCCATGGGGCCCCGGCAACGTCCGCTGAGCATACTTGCCCTTCCGCCCTTTCACAGGCGGCCGGACTGGTGGCAAGGCAGTCATGCTAAATGTGGAGAGATATGGAAAAGGACGGGTTCTGAGCTTGGACTTGAAAGGTGTGGGACGAACTTTTGCCATTGCATCCGTTTGGTTGCCTACTTGCGAGGTTGCACTCGGAGTGGCTCGCTTCGTCTTGTTCTGGTCGGCTGGCCTGTTCTGTCCAGCGGCTGCTGCAATAACCCTCGATTCTTGACTTGTTGTATGACACTATGATAAAGCACTTGGCTGCGGTCCACAACAAAGCTCAAGGGTTTGGCAGAGGTGAACTTGTGATATTCCCTCTAATTATGATCACAAAAGCTGAAACATCATAAACATACGCAGGAACAAACATCTTCCAGAAGACATGTTCTGCCAGCCAAGCATTCTTGTGGCCGTTTTGATGTCTGAAACCCATCCACCCGACATCGTCACACATCGTTGCACATCATCTTTCTTTTCCACGTCGCAACGTCGTGCGCTCTTCAGCTGAGCTCCACCAAATTGATCACCTGAGTCAGTTGGCGCTGGTTGTGATGCGCATCCTGTGATTGCTGCCAACGTCAGCTGCTCAACAAAGACTGACGAGAATCCTTCTCCAACCTGTTCTTATCCTTTCGATATAAATGACTTCTCACTACAGCAAAGTACTTGTGTGGAAAAAAAAGAAGTTTGATTGCACGGGCCGCGCGCATATCCCAACTCCTCTGCGTCATCAGTCCGCAGCCTGATGAAGAAATGTTTGGCTCTCCCGTGACCGGTGAATGCTTCCAAGAAGGCTCGAGGAAAAAGAAGGATGAAGTAGATGAAGTAAAAACAACTTTTTTGGAAAACCCCTGTGAGCTCTGAGAAGCCTTTGCTTCTTTCATGCGACACCTACAGGAAGCTGATCAAAGCAACACAATATGGCCATTGCCTGAAAACATCTTAGAGGTGTGAGGCCTGCCCAAGTTTATGATGCAGAAAATCCCATTATGCTGATCATATCTAAAAGGCTGCAGGAGGCAAAGAAGGAGGAAAATCTCTAGTTGCAGCTCCGCTTCTGAAACGGCCCTCAACCACTCACTTGCTTCCATCCCGGGCTTCAAAGGAAAGGGTCTGTTTCACCACGTTCTTTGGGAACACGATGACGTGCCAAGAAAAATCAGATGCACGATCATCGTGGACGTTCGTGGAATCTTGAAGCGTCCTGGCTGTTGACTAGGCGAAATCAACATCCAAAGCCGAAAAGACGAGGCGTTTCTCCAGGACATCGACTTGAAGAGCAGCTCGTCCCCATGGAAGAGACGCACTCTGGCATCCTGCGACGGCGAAGGCGAGTCGGCCTTCGCCGTAAGTCAGCAACTCATGAACGGCACATGAGCTGACTCAAGTCAGCGTCAGCAAAGTGAAGTTCACTTCTTGGATTTTGTTGGCAGAAGCTAGGCCAGGAGGCGAAGTCGGGTGTTGTTATCAGAAATTGTTTGGGGAAAAGCTCACTGAAGTATATAGACCAACATAATGCGTCCTTTTTTTCTAAGGGGGCGCCCTTCTTTCGGGCCCTCCTCTTCACTTGCTGTCTGTCATTTCCCCACCTATATATGACCTACATCTGTTCCCCAACCAAAAACAAGCTCCGCAGTCGCATCAGTCGGTCCGCGGGGTTCTTGAAGGGTGGTCTTGGCAAACGCTTCCCATTGAGGTAGGTCCCATTGGTGGAGACATCCTGCGCGGGACGTGAAGCATCGCGAAGCATCGCGAAGCCGGTCGCAGTGGCATGGTAGCAGCTCATCCAACTGAATAAGGGCCAAATCGTTTGTATCTGCACCCTAAAAAGCTCCCAAGCTGGCGGAGATGGCTCCCACCTGAACATAGCAAGCACCCTTCTCGGGCTCGAATGTGACGGTGCCTGAGTCTCAAGTCATCACGACTCAAACCGTGAATCAACGGGAAGATCGAAGATCGCATGCTCAGCATCGGGCAATGCTTCCGAGACAGCCCTGGAATGCCTTCGAGTTGCAGCATCCCAGGACCGGCCTCCGTTTCAAGTCGAGCCAACAAGAAAGGTGTCACCCTCTCTACAATGCTTCTGGGGGGATGTTTGCAAGCAGCTGAAAAAAGTCCTTTTCTGCAGAAAATGGTTTGAGAGCGACCCACTCAAATCAAAGAAGACTACTCAAATGTCCGGAGAGCAGCCTGTGTGCCCAGTCGAATCTTGCGCATCTTGGCGTTCAGCTTTGCCTCGAACAAAAGGGCGAGGCTGGGCCAGCTGGACCAGCTGAAGAGTCTACGCTTGGTGGGGAGGTACTTGACGAACACACATACACCTGACATCCATATTCTCAGCATGAACACAAATCCCGAAGCTTCGCAAGCAATCTAAACCACCACTGTCACAAAAAGTATCTCAAGAGTTGACACAATCAAGCAAGCCAATCTTTTTGCTGGTATTTATAAATATATATATATATAGAATCCAACCAAAAAGAAACATTCCAATGAATTCCAATGAAGTTCCTCCAGACCCTCCAGTCCGCCCTTGGAATCCCTCCCCTCCTCCGGGCGTCCGACGTCCGTTCCGGGCATCCCGCACGTCGTGAGACGAGAGTCGACTGGAGGTCGCCGCCAGGCGAAGGACCATGGAATTCAAGGCCTTCGCCTCCGGTCGTTCGCCCCGGTCGTTCGCCGGCGGCTCAGCGAGACGGCTCAGCGGGTCGGTCTTTCTTGAGTTCCTCCGGCTCCGGAAACCAGCGGCGAAGCCTTCGACCGAAGCAACAGAGCGGCGGGTGAGGAGCGGTCGAAGAATGCCGATCATACTGCCGCTGCTGGTAGTAGCTTTCGAAGTCTCTTGATGCCTCTTCTAGTAGGGAGGACGGGACTTTAAACGGAGGAATTGTGTGTATCCAGCGCTTGGGCCACTGCCGGCTTCTCTGCCAGCAAAGCACCAACCTGTCGAGTCTTGCGTTTCTCGCGAAGCTCCCAACCGGAGGAGTCTTGCGGGTACCTTGAGCAGGCTCTTACTCCAATCCAAAGAACACCGAGCTTTATGCTTCCTTTTTTAGGTCACTGGTGGGTAAAGCCTCTAGTGACTAGTGGTTCTCAAAAGTGGTTCTCAATTCAAGACCTCTCACAACAGTCACACTTGTCATGGAATTCTCCCCGAAAAGAAGGATACAGCTTAAGACGCTTGGTGCAAAATGGACAGTCCAGCTCGCATGACAATCTTCAAGTGCCGCAAGACTTGTCGCAAGACGCAGCCTTGGAAGAACTACAGCCCCACTGGCATGCCCACCTGACATGCTGGCCCAGAAATGAAGCAGGTCTGGGTTACCATGGCAAGTCAACTCTTGCAACGAAACTGGGAACCTGACTTTCTAGGGCTGGGTCGGCATGGGGAGCGGAGCGACACGATTCGCATGCAGCTCACTATATACCAAGAGAAGGACGGAGGCAGCTTACAAAGAAGGAGCGCAGGTCGTCAGGTTTTGTGACGCCCAAAGAGGAGTCCATGACCATGGGTCTCAGCTCTGTGGGTTTTGAGCTCTCGCATATCCCCCAATATTCATCCGTGTCAGGAAAAAGGGATTTGCGCCGGTCTCCAGTACGTTGTTTTTGAACCTAAAAGATCAAGGCTCCGAAGGCTCATGTGAATTGACCACCCTGTCACCTGGGCAACCGGGCGCAATTCGCCGGAGCTGTGCCAGGGTCTTCTGTAGCTGCTTCCGGGAAGCAGACCGCAAAATAAGGTGCTTCTCCTGGTCATGGGCATAACAACAACAGGTGTCACCAAGAGAAACAGTTGAACGGTGATTCCACAGTTCTCTGAAATTATATAGACACACATGTAACTGCAACTGCGGAAATTGGGTACCCAAACAGAACCCATCCCCAAATAAGGAGCGAGAATAAATCTCTTTGATGAATGGGGCCCTCCCGGCTTTGAAGCCAGTCTTGATGCACATGAGTGGGCATGAATGAGTGGATTGGAGGAGGCGCAATGCTTCATACTGTGGAGTCATGTGACTGGCCAGGCGAACTCACACATGCTGCAAAGCGGAATTAGCCTATACTGGTACACTAAAATGGAATCCCTCCGCTGTTGGGGCTAACCACTCGCCACCGTCACTAACCACAACAGCCTCACCCTTCCCACCCACTTGCCTGGTTCAAGGCGGCTGAAAGAAGACCCGTCTTCGCTAAGAGCTTCGCCAGGTTCTCAGGCTCCATGAGACAATCGGTGAGCCGCGTGGGCATCTTGATGGTCTGGCCGATTCCAGCGGATCGACGGCCGGAGATGGCAGGAGGGTCTCTGAAAGTGTTTCAACAAGTTTAAAGGGAAGGTCTCTGAAAAGGCTCAAGAGTTGATACCTGATTTTTTGGATCTCTTGTGGAAGACTGAGATTCTCTGGAGTTCCACGCTTTCGATCTCACACATATGTCTCAAATTGGAAACCCTGATTTCAGGCCTCCACAAGATACACCAATCCACCACCAATCATCACTGCTAAACAGGCCACCCTCGCCGTCTCAGCCGGCTCCTCCTTGTCCTTCGTGGATGGAGCGACGCCACCGGCGGCCTCCACGGCCATCTTCATCCGCATCACCTCCTGAGCCAAGAAGTCCTGGTGCTCCAACAAGCCCTGAACCTGCGAAATCGACTTGAAAAAAATGGAGAAAGGCCTGGTGAACCTGGTGGTCTAGTGGTAAACGATGGAGGAAAAAGGCATGCATGTGTTAGACAGGCATGTGAGAAGATCTCAGCGATGTGTGAGTTGAGTCTTGAAGAATTGTCCGGCACGAAGCCGCTGCTACACAAGAACTCGGGTTCGGGGAGCATCTCCAGTAGCTCTGAACTGGCAAAAGCAAATTCGCTGGATGACTCAATGATCTGGCATTGATGATGTTGGCTTTTTGGGGCTGTTTCGGGGCTGTTCAGCGGCCTCTGAACCAATGGCACCCCCAACGGCCTCAGCCAAGAAAAAGACCGATATTCCACAAAACATGCTGTCCCAACCCGCTCACACGCGCCCCCCAAGCCGCTCACCCCCCCCGGGCACCGTCGCTGGCAACGGGACCAAAGGACCAGCAGGGCCGTACCTGAATTGAGCAGATTCAGCGGATCCGGCGATGGTTTCCTTCGTCCATGTCTTGGGGCGACCAAAGTGGGATTGCTCGGTCTTCCCCACAAGTTCATGGTGTAGAATCTCATGAATCTCATGGCGCATCCAGTCTTCAGTCTTTGATGCGGCTGGCTTCAAAAAACAAAAATCTATGGGACACGCGTCCATGATGATTTCAGTGGGTGTATGTACAAATATCGAACATGTTGACACTGAAAACATAAGTCCAAATATCTATATAGACCGAAGTGATTGTTCATGTGTTGGTTTACTATTGGGTGAATAGACTGAAGCCAAAACACCTTCAAGAAACCTCCCGACTTTTTTGGACCCTCTTTCTCACAGCCCAAGCTGAATTCCGAACTCACAGCAGGCGCACATCAGTGGGCCGGCAGCCTCAGCCGACCGAACGGAAACGGCTGGAACGGGCCACACCCGCGGGCCAGGGCTGCATATGCCATCCAGCCCCAACACCGTGATCACACCAAGTCCACAGTCCTCTACTCCTCAACTCTGCAAGGGCAAAGACGCCCATTCTCTCTCCTTTCCATCAAGAACATCTCCATCCCCAAAACGGACCCTTCCCTCTTCGCCTTCACCCTCAAACCCACCTCAAACCCCGCGCCATCTGCCATCCGCCTCGCTGGGCACGGGCGGTACCGGCGCCAGGCCGAAGCCCGAGGCCGCCTTGAGCCCCGCGGACTCCCGGCGCTTCCGGCGGCGCTCCACCGCGTCGGAGCTCTCGGCGCTGGAGGGAGACGGCACCGCGGCGCGTGGCTCGTCCTGAGGCGTCGCTGGGGAAGGGTGTTCAGCATCTGGAGGCAGGTGAGGCAGGTGGCAGGTGAGGTCAAAGTTGAGGTACACATGCTTGTAGTCATAGGTACACATCTCTTGACTCTGAAGAGGCATGTGTATAGACCACTCAAAGCCCAAACCATGCTCCTTGGCAGCTGGCTTGGATTCCTTCTCAGGAGAGGGTTTCAGCCGAATGCCATTGGGAGGTGACTTGCTCTTTGAGGCTCGGCGGCCAGGGCCGACGCCTTTTGGTTCATCATCCAGAGCTTCTGCTGCACAAGGCCCTTTTCTTCGAAGCTCTGGCTTCTTGGAAGCGACCTTTTCAGTTTTCTCTTTCGCAACCTTCTTCTCTTTGGTCTTCTCTTTCTTCTTCACCTCCGGCGATAGTGCTTAGACGATACTTTGTGAAACTACGATTAAATGGACATTCCTTTCTTATGGAGAGACCCCTTCAAAGCCGACTGATCTCCGCCCATAAGTCCCGGCTCTTGCACAACTGATTCTTCAGTCAAGCCAATTCTCAGCCCCAAAGTGAGTGGGTCGTGTTCGTCGCTTTCGGTCTCTTAGTCTTCATTGGTCTTGGTTAAATATTAAGTTCCCTTTGTTGTTGTGCTTTCGGCAGGAGGTGTAGGATGGTGCAAGCAGCAAGAGGAAGTGGAGCAAAAGAGTATGCAAAAGTCTGGTGCTGTGTGTGTGTGTGTGAACTTGGGACAAGTAGAAAACACAAATCCATTTGTGCGGTCTTTTTTTGCAGTGATTCTATGTAGAGCCCCTTCCACACATCTAGTTTTGCAGGACAACTCCATCCGCTTAAGGAACCTATGAACATCCAAATATTCAAGTGATCAAGTGATCTTTGCATCCCAAATGATTTGGTGCCTAGGCACAACCACTAGCTTCTGCGGTTTAACGGGAAAAACCGCCAGCATCCGTCGGATCGATCTGTCGGATCGATCTTGGGTCCTCCTAGTCGCTTCTTGTTACTAGTAGCAATCTTGCTCCTAGTAACTAAGGCCAGGAGCCCTGAACGTAGCGTCCTAGTCTCACCACGCCCTCGTCCTCGCCTCCACATCCTTCGGACCAGGCGAGGCCGCCTTCACCACGCCGTCCGCGGCGCCGCCTTGCAGCCGCCGCCGGTCCTCGTCGTCCTCGTCCTCGTGAGCGCCAGTCACGGTGAAACCAAGGCACACAGTGGGAGCTTCAAACCAAGCACACAGTGCACCAGCGTTTCCAGTGTACAATATCCGAAATTGGCCCCGAAAAGACCTTGAGGCCCAGTTCGGCACCCTGGTCACGTCCTGTGGTTTGTCCTTCTTCTCCTTTTTTGGCTTCTTCTTCTTCTTTTCCACAGGGGCCTGCAGAAGAGAGGTCAATTTACGACCTTCAGATCTTGCTGTGCTATATAGATCCAGCATGTTCCTGGGATGGTGGGTGCAATCCCATCATCTAAAGACATCGACAAAAGAATCCTCTGCCCCACATGGCACCGCAGGAGGACTGCAGGATCTGCGCCTCCTCGGATTTCCGCTTCCGCGCGGTCTCATGGCGCACAGACCGCTCCTCTTCTGTCTCATAGCATGGCGCGCCAGTCGTCGTCACCGAGGGAGGACCAGCAGTGGTTGGCGGGTTGGCAATGAGGTGTTGCAGATCGTTTCAGCTTCCTAGGAGGCCTACTACAAGGTTCTGAAATGAAGGAATCTATACCGTATATAGTATATAGTTCTAAAGAAAGGTTGAATTTACGCAGGGTGACCGTGTTAAGTCTTCCGGCTTCTGGCTTGCAAAGGATTCGGAGGAGGTTGGCCGAAAAGGCAGGAGAACTTCAGAGAGCAGAAATACCAAGGGTTTTGAGGGTGAGTGCCGCTATCTATCTCCCATGACTATCTCATCAAGCAAATGTTCCAAAACTCACATGAATGGGGAAAGGGACTGAGGCCTTAACTTAAGCAATCCAAGCAAGGTTCTTTGATAAATATGTGTAATCTTTGCTACCACAACCGGGTCTCGTAGAATCTCTTGTATGCGGGCCCGGGCCTTATGTTGCAATTTGTTGAAACTAAGGAGGGAATGGCGGCTGTGTGTATCTTCGAAATTGAAAACTCATGACTGCCTGTGAGGGTTGACCACTGCTATGAGATGTCTAATGATTTGATAAATGAAGGCACACGAAACATCATGAAACGCTGCTCATGCGGCGGGGCACCTTGCTTATGGCCTGCTTCCTGCCTTCAGATTTTCGCTTGGATCTCTCAGTGGATTCACCCTTCTTGGGCTTTCCATCTCTCTTGGAGCGCTCCTTCTTGGAATCGCCCTTACGTGCTTTGTCCTGGGACGCACGCAGGGAAACCTGTCATGTCCGTACATACGTCCGAAAGGTGTTCCCTCTCCTTGGCGTCCTTGGACGTAGCCATTCCTGGCGCTCCAAAGGAGGTATCTTAGGCAACCCATGACCGGTGAGCCAAAGGACTCTGCTACAGGGTGGGATGGCTGCATAGACTTCAATAGTCACATTGTTGGATTGTTGGAAACAAGGACCGACCTTCCACCAGAACCTCCAAGGTGGGTTGCACGGTTCTTCCATCACCACTGTCTCCCAAATCAGAACCTCCACCCGTCAGCCTCCGCGGCCGCACCTCTCCCCCCCCGGTGGCCTGAAAATCACGTCCACATCAGCGCCTGAAGGGACTCCACGGACCGCCGCGGTCCGGCCCAATCTGGACTCCATCGGTCCCCAGGATCGGACGGTCCGAAAACACCGTCGCCGCTAAAAAACGGTGGTCTGAAACACCGCCGCGACTGGGACGATGGGTCATGGAAAAAACTGCGGTCAACAGCACCTTGGGGGGGGGCCTCTTCACCCTCAGGTTGGAGGCCATGGGGTGAGAGGCCCAACCTCGTCCCGCACCTCACAGCACTGGACACGGAAAAAGGGGGCGTGTCCGGGTAGCCGCAAACGCTGCGGTGGACAGGCAGCGTTAGCCATTTCAAGAGGGCCAAGCGTTTCGTTAGCGTCCTTGAGCACTATGCTCAATAGTGACCCTGGAAGCAGCTCTTCTTCCTAATCTGACCTGCGCCTCTCTCTCTCTCTCTCTCTCTGCAGATTCCACCAAGTCTTGTGACCAACATCTTCATGATGAGCATGACAAGCCAGAAATCACGGGCTAGAAATCATGTGTTCTCCTTCGGTCCACATTCCATTCGGCCCCGTCGACGGACGGAATGCGTTTTTTTGGCCACCTGCACGCATCGTCTCCCCGGTGTTTGCGTACAGCTGGTACACCCGCCCAAGACATCGGTGCAAACATCGGCGCTGGTCCCGGATGTCATGGTCCCCACACAGGAGGTGGCCCCCCCAAGTACTGCAAAGAGAAAAGGTCCTTGAAGAGAGCTCTCAACAATGGGAGCATCAATGGTTTTCTCTTGCATCCCTTCTCCTATTTCAAGAGGCTGTCCTGAAATTTGCTGCACTTCTTAGTAGCTGCACTATCTGCACTAAGCTCAGAATCGGGGCAGAAGGACTTCAAGTCCTTCATCCAGCACCGAACTGCGAGGCACCGCACTGAGGTGAGGCTGCTCTGCGCACAGAGGACTCAGGGTGATTGCGGTGAGATCAGAAAATTCCCCCCAAAAAAAAAACAGAACACATCCGCTTCACAAACGTCAAGGATTGGCAGGGTGACTTGGAGGTCGTCTTCTCTCAAGTCCATCTTCTCCCTCATTTTCGATACACACTCGTGACCCCCTCGTTGCAATCACAATCCACCTCTCAAAACGATCAAAGGAGTCTGCTCATCAGTGATCAAAAAACTACATCTTGTTCGGGCCATCATCTCCCCGAACTGCACGTTCCACGTCTTCTACGTGCCACCAAGCAAGTCAAGACGGGACACGCGCTTCAAGCCATCTGTCGTCACCGACGAGGTGTAAAAACCAACTTTCCTAAAGCAATAAATACATACTTTAAAAATATAAGTAATAAAGAAAACAACAATATATATATATACATATACACATATTATACATATACGTATGTACCGCGAGTTTTTGGTGTGTTGCACTACAATGGTTCACACTCTTTGCTTTGTTTCCATTGGAAAATCAATGCATATTGGTCAAAGAACAACATCAGCAGCGCTGCCACGAGAGTGGAGGCATCTGTTCGCGGGTGAGACCCTCGACAAAAAAATCCGCGCAAAGGCTGGTGCTTACACTGGCTCACTAGCTTGGCCTGTCAGAAATCTGTCTGAGAATATCAAAACAACGCAATCTCCCCACAAAGACTGACTTCGCCCCCCATGCCAGCCACAAGAACTGCAAAGTCATGTGAAACTGCAGGGTTGCGGGAAATAACCATGCAAATGCAAATCACAAGGCCTGGGTACTTTCTCTTCTGCGCTGTGCCTGCGGGAAATCAGCGTCGCCACATCGGCTGCAAATCCCTGGCAACAAACAGAAGAAATGCAAGGATCTCATGCAGCAACTCTAGCACAAGACTTGAAGACAATCTGCATCGCTTCGTTGAAGCTCCAGCTCCCTAAAACTACCGACGACCGTCCAGAACGCGGGCCCAGAGGTCCACCCCGCACCTGCAGCATGGTGTCCAAATTGGCCAGGCTTTGGGACAGCGCATCCGACTCGCCCGCGCCGCCCACGCGAACCGCCGGTCCGGGAAGCGGTCCCGGAGTGGACGGTTCGGCGAAGAGATGCCGGGGCTCGAGATCCACCTGAGTGAAGTCCGAAGGGTCCGAAGGGTGTGTCCGCTTTGGTTCTCGGTGAAAGCCGACGTCCACAGACATCGGAAAACATGAGATCCCAAAGAGTGCGGACTCAAATCTTTTACCTTCTTGATTCTTGTTACTAGGATGGCCTCCACCTTGCTTGCTACTAGTAGGTCATGCCAGGAGCTACGTTCGTAGCTTCTAGCTACTTAGGGCCATTGAAACCCCGACCTCTGCGAGTCCCGGTGGAGCCGCCAGTGGCCAAGGCATTGGCGGCGTGAGACCCATCCTGAGCCCAGCACTAGGCGGCCAAGCAAATCATCTCCATTTGACCGCAAATGAAAATCATAAATTCCACCATGATGGGTGAATTTGGATGAATTTGTTGCAAAATGGTGTTTGCTGTGTGTTGCAAAAGTCTGATCGAATTCCACCCCACCGATGGAACTTGTGAAGAACTGGTGGGTCAAGAACTGGTGGCCCGCTTGGAACGTTCTGTAATCAGGTGTACCACAGTAGGACTCAATCTTCCCAGGCAATTTGACTTGTGTTTACATCTTTAAAAATTCCGTCTCATTCCATGGCCATGAAAACAAACGATGGGGAATACTGAGCAAATAAAATATGTTTCAAGCAAACGGGACCAACACATTCCATCTTCCACCTCTCAAAACACTGCAAGCTCAGTATCAGGCTTGTGATCCACATCCACTTGTACAGTACCACTGGCAAACAATAACATGCAGTATTTCTAACAGTGACTCTTCTGATTCTCACGAAAGGCTGCGTCGAATTTCTTCGCACACAAAGTTCTGGGGCTCCGACAGTTCTCGGCGATCCGAGTCGACCAGCATGTCCACCTCGAAGCGAAGTCGACCAGCATCCAGCATGTCTTGTTCCGGAGGCAGGGAGCCATGCCAGAACACGTCGAACACCTTCTTCACTCTTGACCTTTCTTCTGCATGTCCAAGATCAAAAAGGCGATTAAAAAACTGTACTTCCAGTGATGCCTCCCCCAGCTTGGCCCAAAAGAACTTCCCCTCATCTCTCGATCCAACCCATTCTCACCCCAAACCCGGCCGGGTCCAGCATTCTCGGGACCACGGGCGTCATGGGCTCCCCTCAGCCGCGGCGCAAAAGCACCGGACGCACGAGGTGCCCGCGGCTCGGGATTTTCTCCGGAGTGCCGAAGAGCCGGGCAAGACAAAGCAAGTGCATTGAGAGTAGACTGGCACAAGTTACCCCAAGTTTGGTGGTTGACCCCCATCTTAAAGTCATATTGGAGGAAACGTGCCATCTACTCTGAAACCACTGTGAACACAATGAAAGTGCATGAAAGAGCCACAACAACCATCGAACCAATTATTGGAGAATCCTGGTGGATCTAGTGTAGATCACATGCCACGGCAAAAGTTCCCTTTAGAGTATCATGGTGGACTGATGGGTTTCGGCACCAAACACCCCAGCCACACTGATGCACGCTTGTTCCATTGATGTTTTCCAGACAGCCTGCTTCTTGTGTTTGAGCTTGGTGGACCCAATTTGGCCATGCCCAGCAACAGGCTCGGCTATCACCTTTTTCATGGTCGGCTATCGGCTCTTGGTTTCCGTGTCGGTCTGAGGAATCCACCGGCATAGGTACTTGGAGAGAGCTGGTACCTCACAGCAGTCCCGTCCCGAACAACGGCCGCCAAGCACGGTCCGCCGCAGCGGTGCAAGAGACGGCGCACGAGGTCCATGAAAGTGGCACCGGTGGCGGTGCGAAGGCCAAGGCGGCCAGGTCTGCAACCTTTGGTGGTCATTGATCTCCATTCGATTCAAGCACAGCAACCCGAAATCACCAGAATTTGCTCTGGTTAACCCATCATATATCAGAAATTCTGCACACCAAACTGAGTTTTGTGCACTTGGACCCATGTCAACCTGTGAATCCTGAGGGAAGGCACGGAGCGAGGCTTCAACCATCATGTAACTTTAACACGGGGTTGGTGAAAAAGACACAATATGCTTGGAAGAAGCGGCCGCGTAGAGCGGCCTGCGCGGCCTGACCGCTCAAGTCAACAAGACCTGTCAAGACCTGTCTTAAGCCAGATAATCACCTACATCCATATATATATATATATTATATAGTTAGGTTTGGAATGGACAAAAAAATAAACCTTGTATTATGTTGATATGTTCCACAGTCTATTGACCTGATCTACATCAAAATGATTGGCCATAAACCATTTGCGCCGCCCTAATCCGATCCGCTTGAGCGCCCTCCTCCGGCGTCAGCAGTTCTGCAAGTGGAAGGCGTTCCTTCTTTGGGCTCTGTTGGGCATCTCCTCCGGCGTCACTACCATGAATAGCTTCTTGTTACTAGTAGTAAGGCCAGGAGCGCCCCCTTCGTAGCGTCCGATCGCTCCGTTCGTAGCGATGCCCTTGTTACTAGTAGCGTCTTTGCTCCTTAAGAAAGAAAACGAAAACAACACGTTCATGCTTTTTGATAAGGATTGGAGAACTTCCAAATGGTCAAGTGGTGCAGAGTTGTTTTCCCTCAGATCACAGGACAATGTTGGCTTGTTTACCACAACCCAACATTTTGAGAGTTCTGTACAATGTGGCACTTGAACATCTCGACCTTGCTCAAAACGCAAGTTCAACGCCCAAGCATCCAAATGTTGCAGCAAAACGTATAGAAGAACCACTTGGCACTCACAAGAACACCAAAACCAATCGTCTACTTGCCCTAGTCCGATGTCACTCCTTGTGGTGCCACCTTGGGTGGCGTTCGCGCATCCGGTGTCTCCAGAACACCTGCTGGACCTGGCAGTTACTCTCTGGACTTATGGCTGGACCTGTCGCCAGACAAAGGACCGGCTGGAAATGGTCGAAATTCTTCCACCTGTTCTCCCTCTCTCACCAGGTCGAAAACTACAAGACTTTTAAAGTCTTCAAACGAAAATCGCGAACCGAAGAAAATCGACCAACTCCGCTGCGAGCTGCGGAAATCTCGCGTCGCCCATTTTGAGACACCGGGTCTGGCCAGGAAAACAGCCAGACGCGGGTACTGGCCATGAAAAGTCAATTAAACCACAAGGGCCTACAGGTTTCTGGTCCTATCGAGATGTGTGATGGTCCAAACTCTGCATTCCCATCAAATTCGCCACATCAAAAGCTCTGCGTGACCTTACCTAAACCGCCCAAAAGCACCAAACCTTTCGTCAGGGGTGTTCCAAAGGCACCCAGCCAAAAAGCACCCACACTCCGGCGACACCTTCCCGCGACCGGAGCCTTTCTCCCGGACCGGTGTCTTTTGGGGGCTCCAGGTCGGCCGCAAATCCAGATCTCCGTGCGCGTGATTGCAGCGATCCCCCTGCGGCGAAGTCCGGAGCGGTCAAAGGAGGTTGGACTTCTCCGGGGAAAGGGCCAGCAGGGGTTCTTCTAAGAATGGTCACTATCTGTTCCCTCCAAAAGGGAGAATGGTCTGGGAAAGTCCTCATTTTGAGAAAGGTTCAGGCTTGAGGATTGATTATTTCCTTATTTCAAGACGACTCCATGGTTCTGGTGTCCTTTAGTTAGATCACCTTAGCCACGAGAAGTGACCAAAGCATGATGCGGTGGGTTGTGCAAAGTGCTCTCTCTCTCTCTCTCTCTCAAAAAAGGTGTACTCTATGTCTATGTGGTAAGAAACCCTTGCGGTTGAAGTTAAGACTTGTTTCCTTTACAATATGGTCAAATGGATTCTTTAGCCAAGCATTGCATTGTCCTACACCGTGGAAAGAACCTCCGACAACACCTCTGGAATCATGCCCAGTTTTGCGGTGAGCTTGTGAACCCTTTCCGCTCTCGCTGTCAGGTGAATAGACATTGCCCATTCGCAGGCAGAGGCATGACCTCAAGGTGTTTAAATATGTCAATATATCGTTATATATCGTTATATCTACTGTAGTAATACTCTTTTCCACTTTGCTGCAGGCTAGAGGACCCACCTACCACGTACATCACCAAAAGCCTTTGAAGAAAACCTCAATCGAGGAGTAAGCCTAAGCCATTTTCGGATCTATATACAACCTCCGTTTATTCCAACTGGATCTGACCCCCAATTGAAAACCACAAGAAAGCGATCCATTCCCACACCAAGCGGGGTGGTTTCTGGAGCGCACCCCGTCCCCACATATCGCCCCCCAAAGCAATGCACGGAGTTTCTTCACATTCTGTGCCACAGCTTTAGATGCCCAATTCCAGCATCGTGCCACCATAGAAAGTGCATGCTTTTGGGTCCAACACATGACAGCACGACGTTTCACAGCACTGGCTGGATAGGCCAAAGATTGCAACTTCTTAAGTTGCAGGCCCTTATTTAGCGGACCTGATGATAATATTGTTGTTCCTGCTGGCAATGCACAACTTCCTGGCATGTAGCTTCAAATCGAGCTCGTCAGAGTCCAGTCCAGCTATGAGGGTTGGTGAAACTTGCCTAAAGGAACTGGAAATTTGCCTTTGCCCTCTGTGAGCAGCATGCCCCACCAAAGACCAGGACTCCACACGCTCGTTGTAGTCCAGCTCATATCCGTTAGAATCATCTCAACGGTGATAAGATCCGAGTATGGGATCATTCAAAGGCATTAAATACACTAGGCAGGCAATTGACCGTATGTATGAATAGTTCCGATGTTATCCACTTGAGGATCACCGTTTACACCCTGGGCTGAACATCAATGTTCCAAGCAAAGCCAACAGGAACACATGCCGAGCCAATGCAAAACGGCATCCAGGCAAAGAACAGGCTGAGGTCGTTCCGCTGATGACTTCTGTTCAACTCAAATAACTATCAGGTAGAGATTACGTGACGGACAGTTCATCTGACCTGGAAAACGCTACGGGAAAGGTGGCCAGGTCGATCTGCCCTGCAGGACTGCCCTGCATGCTTCCCAAGACCGAGAACCCTCGCCCTGTCAAATACTATATACTCTTATCTTGCTTGATTTGGTCCAGTGGTGCCTACATGAAGGAACACGTCACACATGAGCAACATGGACCTCACCATCCATTCTTGCCCTCCTGGAGACTGGAAAATCTCCTGGTATCCCTTCAATGCAGGCCATAGTGGCTGTCTCCACCAGCACAAGGAGCCTTCAAGACACTCAATACTCAACCCCGTACTGCTCGGAGAGTTTGTTGCCTTTTCCATGGCAAAACCCATGGCTCATAGCTCCTCTTGGTGGTACTTGTGCTCTGAAGCACAGAAAAGTACACGTCCGCTCACCACAATCTGGACAGCCCGGCTGGAAATCCAAACAGGTGTTCTTGTCATGGTTCAACCGTTTTTGGCCTTTCAGAATCTTTTAGAACAAGTGGTTAAAGCAAGGGTTGCAGGAAAGAAAGTACAGTTCTTGTTGAAAGAAACGATCTTCAAAACCAAAGCTGATACACCCTACCCTTCAAGCCACCATTAAAAATGTGTAGAAAGATCGCCAGAAATGTTCATGGTCCAGGAAAACGGTTTTACACTACCACATACATTGGTTGGCAGCTCCAGAGCGAAGGGTGGCCATCGTCTTTGGAAAAATGGTCAAAGACGGGTTAGTGAAGCCTGGGAAGGTAAAAGCCTATTGATTCCAAAGTTTCGCTGGTCAACACTCTTGGGGTTGTTGAGAAATTCTATGCATGTTGGATCGTATATGCATCCATCTCCATCTCCATTCAGATTTGAGGAACCCCAATGGGTTTCCAAGTACCATTGGTTCTCGACGGGGGGGGGGGGGGCCCTCTTCTCACCTTTCGGACGGTTCAAAGCCTTCGCACCTCCGGGCTGAGAAAACCTTCCCATTTCCAGCCCAATGACGTTCAGACTGCGGTCAGACATGTAGCCTTTTCTGAGGGCCATTGCAAACTCTGCTCCGAAACATCTGTTTCGGGGCTATCTGGATCTTCGAAGCTCAAAGTTGTTCGGCGAGATCTCCGGGAATGGGATTGGTGAAAGGCCCGAAGTTCCTTCCCAAGACAAACTCAAGTATAAAGCCTGTTCCCTTGTGTTGGTACCCAATCCGCAGCTCGGATGTGCGTGGCATCTCCAAGCAGGATGCGTTCCGCACAGAATAAGGATAACTAACTTTAACCAACCCAGATATGTCAGATGTTCCCGACAGAAAAACATGGAAAACACCGACCCACCGTGACCCACCCTCTCCGCTGCGTCTCGACCTTAAACATCAACAATTCAAGTGACCAGTGTCAAGAACCCGAATAGTTAAAAACACATATATGTATATATATATATATATTTGCGTGTGTGTGTGTGTGTGTGTCTGTTTGCTAGGAAAGTGGTTTCTTGAAGTCCGGGCTATTGACGGCTTTACATTAATTCTTCCCAATTCAAAGCAGCGTGACCTCCAAACAGGAATTGAAATAATTCGGCGTAAAGACCTGAAAAGAACTTCATTCGTATGGAGAGAGCAAAAAAGTATTGAATAGACAATTAATATATATATATATTAATATACCTTGCGAGGGCATCACCTGCCTTCACTGAGGGTTACCCTGTGAATGTGGCAATTCATGGAAATTCCGAGCTTCTTCTATGCCCAAGTGTCACATTCGGCGAGATGCAACATCTGACAAAGTCTCGAAGTTTAATTTCGAGTGTCTGCCTTCGGCGAGGAATTGTTTTCACGGTGACACATCCAGCTCACCAATCAAGCTTCTCTTAACAGAGTCGAGCAACAACCGCATGCGGCGCATGGCAACTCTGTCATTGGTAAGCTTTGTTCTTGCTTGTTGGTGGCCTCCTTTTTTCAGTCTCTCCATTGCAGCCTTTTCAATCATCTCCCCTGACCAACTGCAATGATCCAAGTTTGGCTGATCACCCGCAACCTACACCTTTGAACACACAGAATACAAATGTTCGCCGATTCAATGGCCAACCGCAACCAAATTCGTGGTTTCCTTGCGAGATAACGCTGCAACCTCGAGTGATTACTCTTAAGTCTTATGGTGGTCAAATCCATGTCGGCATACAAGAACTTGAAAAGGGATCCCCCTAAAGTTCGATCCAAAGATTCATGCATGTGTTTTTCCTTGCCACACGTACACGACCTGGTGCAGGTGATTATTGTGGAGGTGCAGGTGCGAGCACGCCAAACAACACGTTCTCACTCTGTACATGCACCGGTGTGAGCAACGCTCCTCTTTCGGCTTAATCCTTAGCACCTCGATGCGGTCAAGTGATCAACGCGTCAAACGACATCGACGATCGGTCTCCCCACCGAAAAGGTTTCCTTATGAACTATGTTGTTTCTCCTTCGGTGAGTTGTTTTGGTTGAGGTGTCATCTTGTCATCTTCTAGAGACTGGATCGCTTACGATTTGAAAGGACTCGTTTTCAGATGACTGGTCGACGGACACCAATTCGCTGTTGCCGTAATCCGTAACCAAGAGGCTGTAACAGGATGTTCTGACAGGCCAAAGTCTCTTCCGCCAAAATGTTTAGCAACCTGAGGTTCAAACGCAACGAATGGACGGGAACGGAGAGGGAATCCATGCAGGTGCAGGTTGACGACTGACTTGATACTTGATGATATGATACTATGACAATACTATAATGAAAATATGATAATGATGACAATGACGAAGATAAGCTTGATGGACAAGTCCAAAGAGTCCCTTCCACAAGCTGGATTCTACAGGTGTATGTGTGTGTGAACACCTTGGATTCGCAGGTCACCTTTTGGCGCTTATAACTTATAGTTTAGAGGTTCTTCACAGCGATTGCAGGGGGCATGGCAGCACTGTTTCCCTAGCCACGCCAACAAAGAAAGCTAGGAAGGGCATGTACACACATTCCTCTACCTGCAACGTTGTGAATTTTCTAGCCACTCTTCAATCGTAGAGATATTTAGGCTGTTGCAGGATGACTCAGGTCGGCAGATGCGAGCTTTCGTCGTCCATCTCGTGGTTTTCTGGTGCTTTGCAATTTCACCATTTATGCCTTTGAGATCCTTTGAGATTCACAAGTTCCAGGTTTTGGAGACTTTCATGCTCAGACCGTTTTGCATGCTCTCCCTGTTGGTTTCTTACTTTGGCTGGCGGGTGGCAAGCCGCATTCAATTCCGTACGCATTACCCCGAGTGTGTGTTTTTTTTAATCTGGGTTTAGGGTTTAGGGTTGCCAAGATTGGGGTGAGATGATGGGGGGGATGAAAACCACCAGTTTCATCACCACCTCCAAAAGGTCGCTGGGATTCAATGCTGTCCCTCCCTGCAGTCGGATTTGTACTCCGCATGTTTGGTTGCAGCGTGGCACTGCGACGTGGGTGTCACCCTGGGTCTACAATGCACTAAGTCTCTAATCTAAGTTGCAGAAAAATGAGGCTAATTGGGAACATCCTCCAGCACATTGGATGCACAGGATGGGCCCAAGAAAGTTCCTGCACACCAATGAGTTTCGGTACCCATAGGCCCATAGGCCTCAACATCATCTGCATCTCTGAAAAAGGCCTAAGCCTAAGCTGTTGACACAAGCTGTACTTAACTCCTCAACTCCTCAACTCCTCACTCCCATCCCCCCCCCAAGACCAAGAAACGAATCACAACGTCAGGCCTGATCACATTCAGGCCGTTTCCCTCAATGGGCTTCTTGGCCTCGACCTTTGCCTCCGAGGAGTCACGACGACGTCACGGGGTACGACCGACGGACAGAGCTCGAGCTTCAGCAGGACCTTCCCAGTGGCCTTTTGAGATCCCAGTGGCTGAGGCTACTTAAGGTCTTGATCTCAGGTCCCTTGGAAGGTCCTGGTACAAGTTTGCTCTGAACTTCTAAACCTGTTTCTGAAAACAACCTCCTCCAGTTTCCAGCACCTTATCAAAAGGCTGTTGAATGCTGTATTGCTGCTGCGACACCCTGCACTTACCCGGATCATGCTGGATCCATCTCATTCATGATCATTGGTCAGGTGCAGCCTGACAGAGTCCTGCTATGATGCACACAAGGGAAAACAGGCTGGGGACCGCCGGACCCCTAAGTGACTACGACAACCTCCGCCCGCCCGAAGTGACGCGCGGGACTTCTGTCCGCGGTCGTTCGTCACCCCGTGGGAAGTCCAAATGCACCCGGCTTGGTTCAGGTCCATACCGTTGATCGGTGAAACTGATCGTCCAACCAATCGGGGTGCTGAGGATAGGAAGGACGGATAGGGCTGCCCAGAAGATCACATCCCTTATTGGAGAGGGCAGTTCGTCCAAACCACCACGCTGACTCGCGATCGATCCGAATGTTGCACCTCAAAGACCTGAAGCTCCCTTCTCTGCTTCCTGCGAAAAGCAGCAGAAAAAGGTAAAAAAGCCGAAGCGGTGCGACGCGGAGTAGTTGGAACGAGGTTTCGGTATGAGGCTACAAATGCGAGGGGCTCTGCCCTCCCAAAAATGCCGGATGATCGAGGGATGGGGATTTTGAAGACACCGGACCTGGTGCCTATGTCTTGGGGCTCAAAGCGATGGCCAAAACGCGTGTTTCTGGTCCTGCCACGGTGGAGTCGGTTGTCTCATTCATGCTCAGTGTCTAAGTCTCCAATGAGTTTTGGGTCACCCGGCAGAATCCCAGGCTCCACGCTGTCTAGCGGGACAGATCTTCACCATTTCTTCACCCACCGGTGACCAGAACAGAAGTGCGGCTGCCACTGGACCCGATCACTCTCCGGGAGTCAGGTCAGGTCACTGACCACAGTAAATACCAAGTGTGGTGTACAGTCCTTTCCCCAAATCCGACCTTGTCACAGTGGAATTCCGGTGGAGGAAACTCCACCCTGAACTACATGTTTGGCATTATGACCAAGTTCGAGGTGGAAACTCCTTCGCCGGAATTCTAAATGATGTGGATGCATCAACCATGGTATAAGCAGAAAGTAAGCGCCACCAGAAACTTCCGTCCTTCTCTTAGCCATTCAAGTCGGCTGTTCAAGGTCTCCGCCAACATCTGAGTTCCAACGAAATCCCCTCTCCATGACCGGTCTCCGTCCGCCATCGGCGACAGTCGCGACCCTCACGTCGAGTCGGCCTCTTCTCCATCTGCAAGCGGTTCCGTCGTGGCTTCATTTCGGCCAGAGTGCAAAGGTGGCAATGCCGGCACACCTCGGACCGAGGGACGCTACGAACAGGGCTCCTGGCCTTACTACTAGGAGCAAGGACACTAAGGGGCTCCAGCCAGCAGTTCGAGCCCCAATCTTTACACGCTTTGTCTGCCAGGGTCGTTTTGGAAATTGGTTTGAGAAGACTACGACATTCGTCAAGAATCACATCTTGTCTCGCGTCAAAAATACACCCATGATCCCCCCCAATACTCAAGCATCCAGCAGACAGCTCACATCTGTACCCAAACTTTACAAACACGCAAGATCGTTCAATTACAGTCGCAGTGTGGGGTACAACTCACCTGTCTCACGACAGTCTAAACCCAGCAATCCGACACATTGGGACTCCTGCGTCTCAATGATAGGAAAGCAATGTCGCTATGAACACATGGCTGCCACAAGCCAGTTAGTCTTACGATCACGCAACTTTTCTCAAGTGAAGCCTTGTGAATCACGTGAGGAAAGGAGACCGTGCAATGATGAACGAGATGTGCATGTGCTCCAAAACAACCCGAGAGCCGAGAGCTACAAAGAATGATCTGTTTGCCTTGTGACAGTCTTCTTTCTTGCAGAAACCAGTAGCGATGGGAAACGCAAAGGCACAATCAAATAATGAGATTGGAACTGAGCAAACTCAAGACCCATATGTATATATATACCTACGCATAGTACTGCATGTATATTATATATACCTACGCATCGGTTCACTCCGCGACGATGGCATGGTGGATGCGCAGATCCATCCATGCACTGACCCCAAGCTAAAAATATATACATGTAAATGTGCGGAAAATGGTCTGACCATTTGAGGGAAAACTGAATTCTCGAACTTGTTGCAGTGCTTCCTAGTTCTTCCAGAAATGATGGTCCTTTGGACAACAGGTCGTTCACCTTGTCTGCGACCAACTCACGTTCACTTCCGGAACGGACCAACTCACCTAGGATCTGCAACACCAACTCACTCATCTGGCCCAACACATGTTGCAAGCCCACCCAGATCAACCTCCCTGTTCTTTTCCAGGACCAGGAACCTCTCCTTTGCGGCACCCGTCCTCCTTTCTCATGTAGAAAAGGCAAGGATTGCAGGTTTTGGCCTTGTGGAATGCTTCATGGACCATCCGTGAGAAGGGCACTTCGTCGGGCTGAGGACCTTGAGCAGCTTCAGCCTCAGCCATTTACCTGGCTGAAAAAACGGCCACTTTCTACAGGTGCACCTTCGAACCAGAGATGGCTACCGATTCGCGTGCGATGGCTAAGCCGGTTTTTGCGGCGACTTCAGCCGTGTCATGGGGACTTAGCTCATGTCGGGACTTGGAGGTTCGTGTGGATTCCCGAAGCCAGATCGTAGAGCCGAAAAAACTGGGCTGCCTGACTCTTGCAGCTTTAGCTTCCAAAAGTGGCGAGATACTCATCCTACTATGGCAATAGCCCAAAACAGCCCTTCAAGCCATCACAACTCAGACCCGAAGGAAAAGCGCGAAATCATGCGCTTCGAAAACACCGCTAGATTGCTTCCATGTAATCAACTATGTGTGATCTGTATGTATCAGACCTAAGTTCAGTACAGAAGAGTAAAATGAAAAAGCCTCAGCCATTGCTGAAAGCTCACTCCAAGAACTCCAAGAACTCACTTCTTTGGCACATGCTGCTGTGGGGAAAGAAAAAAAGGAAAACGACAAAACGACCAATCCGGCCTTCTTGCAGTATCCTCGCTCATAGAAGTTGCACATCTGGGTTTTGTAGATCCCAGCGGTGACCCGCAGGTCCGACTCCCCATGGGCAAACCTCGTGTCGAGATTCGGCCCAAACCGGAGACAGGAGATTCAGTGCGATGTGTGCCAACTAGTAGCGAACCTTCTTCCTAGTAATGCCAGGAGCTACGTTCGTAGCGTCCGATCGCTCCTAGTAGTATTGCCCTTGTTACTAGTAGCGATGCCCTTGTTACTAGGTCTTCCTAAGGAGGCCTGTGAGATGCAGAAAAGGTTGGACCTCACCTGCCCGTTTCGAAAACGACTAGGCTTGGGAACCAAAAGGAAGATCTCAGCTCACGACTTCATCGACTGTTCCAAACGTCTCCCTTTTTCCGAACAGCGACCCACTGAAAAAGCTTCAACCTTTCATCGGTTCCCCCGAGTCGGAGCGGTTCAGACGGCTAGTTCTCGGGTTCACACGAACAGTTCTCGCCATCACGGCACTTGCCTTGTAGGAAGGCCCTCGGTGAAGACGGTGTCTGCTTCGTGGAAACAAACGGATGTCTGACGAGAAAGGAACAAATGTTGGTTCAGAAGTCATCTCAAAATGCTTTATATTGTATGCCTTATGTTCATGTATGTTCCAGCATTTCTTGAAAAAGTTGTCTCAATCTGAGTGTATCTACCCTCTTTCTTCTCCCAAGCAAAACAGCAAATGACCTGCCTACCCAAAATGCTGTGTGCTGTCGGGTCAGGTCGCTCTGGGAGCAGCACTTGCAAAGCTTGGTCTTCTGCAAATTGGGAGGACGCCGAAGCTCGCTGGGCGAATGGGCATACCTCGCTCGCACGTCGGTGTCTCGTACGCGGTCTCGCCGCACGTGTGCGCGCGCAAGTGAAAATATTTGAAGCCAAAATTAATGCCCTGCACCGAATAACAACCCAATAAATCCACACACTGAGCCCTCTCCCTGGCCTGCATGTATCGGAGGCACACTTGCCTCGTTCGAAGAAGGCACACCTCACTGGGCTCCCATCTTTCCATGGACAGGAAACCCATACTGCCCAGCACTGCCCAGCATCCATCACCCTTCGGTCGCTTTCACTGAAGGTGTCGACTGATGCTCAGGTGGTAGACTTTCTATTTCAGCTTTACTCCGGTTACCAGTGCCATCGCTACTAGGTTGGAGGCCATCTGTACTAGGTTGGAGGCCATCACTGCTTTCTAACCTCTGCGTCGACCGTCCGACCGACCGACCGTTCGTCTGATCGGTCGCCCCCCGCATTTTGGTCTTCGCCAGCTGAAGGACCACAGCACTGTCTTTTTGCTGCTTGTCCTGAGGTCGGACCCCAAAAAAGCAACCAACAAAAGAACGGTTTTAAAGAGGTTGAGCCGCTGAGCTCAATCCCGGAAATGTCATTCATGGCAAAATTGATATATATATATATATATATGTGAAATATGTGCGTCCTTCTTCTCTGCCAGGACACCGCTTAACCTTTCAGAACAACCCAACCAAAGCGGCACAATCAACAGGAAGCGGCACAAGCACAGAAGGACTGCCGTAGGACCCATGTCCTTGGCTGTAGGTGAAGATGTGGTTGAAGAGACTGACCTGCGTCGCCAAATCTGCTGGCTCACTGTGATCAGTGGCTCGATCTCTCTCGAACCCAGGGTTATGTCCTTGCTTTGGTCAGATTGCACCTACTCCACAAGCACAACAATGAAAAAGGCCAGGCTGGGGCAGTGGACAGCTAAATCCATTTCTTCTACCGGGCATCATACTGTGTGATTGAACACCATCTGAATCGACTCAATTTAATCTTACTCGATGAGGCCACCTAGGCCAGCTAGGTGTCCGCACAAGGGCGAGGGCGTCATCTTAGGATTCGGAGACCTGGAACCGCCGACCAACGGCCAAGCTGGGCCAAGCTGGGCTCGCTCTGGGCTCAGTAGAGTCAGTCTAGTAGCTTCTTGTTACTAGTAGTAATGGCCTCCACCCTAGTAGGGATGGCCTCCAACCTACTAGCTTCTTGCCACTAGAAGATGTCCAAACAATGAAAGACTTGTTCCAAACATGACTAGTTTCGAGGGGATTGAATGGAAGCTTCATGAGTAGACGAAGAGATCGAAGAGATCGAAGAGCGATTGCCACCAAGAATCAGTCTTCTTTCAGTTTTCTTACAAGAGCAGTCACTTGGGTAACTCCGAATCTCTCAACGCTCAGGTCCGGTGCTCCACGCGGTGTCCACCACGGTGTCCACCGCGGTGTCCATCGCTGGGTCTTCGGGCTGTAGCCCAGCCTGGAAGAGTGAAACGGGACGACTCATCTGAAACTGGCTCGCATCCAGGCCTGTAAAAGCAGCGGCATCACCCTGCTTGCCCTTGTGCAAGCCCATCAAATGTCCCTTTTGAGCAAAACACTCAGGGCAAAGACTCCTTGAGAGTTGTGCATTCGATCCCATGAGAATTTCTGGTTCAGCGTGAGAAATGCCAAGAAAAGTCCAGCACGCTCGGATTTTCCCCTAAACACTACGAACACAAATAGGTTCTGTACAGGTGGCCATTCTAATACAGCTTGAGCTGTAGCTTCCCACACGGGCATTCATCGTGCGCCAATCAAAACCTCCTTCGAGGCGTGGGTAGCAAAGCTTCAACAAATGGAAGCTGGGCACCGGACACAAATGCTCCAGGGCCCTTCTGGTTGCGTCTTTGATTGAGGGGCCCTCCACTCAAAAGATTGCGCGTGACTTCACGAGGCAAAAAGATTGGGCGAAGCGACCTAGAGATGTTCCGACGACCGTTGGGCGGGTCCCCCAATTCGAAGACACATCCAAATAAACGTCTCTTTGGGTGAGTCAAGTTTGGTGATGAACCTCACCTAAAAAAATCGGATTAGCAGCTCCGCGTTTTGGCGAAGACTTGGGGATGCAGGAAGGCTCTTTCGTGAGGCGGCTACACAAAGAGCCTCTTTGAAAGCCCTGCAAGCTCATCTACAGAGACCTTCAAGACCTTCACACGTGGTATTTCTGTGCCCCTGCAGTGGGCTGTCACGGGGTTTTCCCAAATTCAGCTGTACATCTATGCACCTTGCAGCACGAGTTCGCTTCCAGCGAAGCGGCTGAAGCAACCGTCAGCTCCAATGCAGCTTTCTAAGTCTTTCTAGCTTGCCTCACGTCAGGTGCGTGAAGGCCCCTCTTAGAGGGAGACTCTCATGATTCATCATGATCCCAGGTCGGTAACACTGAGTGTTGAGCCAAATCTCTTCCGGGCTGCTTGCAAAATGTGCCTTCCATTCGCCGCACGCCGCAGCTTTGGACCAAGACTTTTAAGAAGTTCTTGAACTCTCTGCTGCTCTTGACCCTCGGACACCTCGATGGTCCTCTGCGCAATGTAGTTACCAAACCTGTCTAATGCAATCTGCACGAAGAGCGAAGACTCTGTGCCACCAAGAATGGCACACATGAGAGCTTCGCGTTCCGCTTGGAGCTCGTTTCGAAGTTCTCCGTTCAAGGTTTCCAACAATTTCTCAAGGACAAGGCTGCCATGCCGATTCCGGGCCAAGGCCAATAAGCCAGCCTCTCCACAAGCAAAAACTTTCATGATCTTTTGCACATGCAGACTGGTCCCGCAAGCTAGGACGGCCCGTATGACATTGTTTCCATAGGGTTCGATCACCAACTTTTGCAGGTTCTCCAATCGCAACAAGGTCTCCAAAACTCCGATCATGTCGGGGCGGCCAAACAAGCGTTTGTCGTTGCGCTCGATGATGCGTTGCAGCACCCGACAGGAATACACATGCATGGCTGCCTCCATGACATGATTCTTGAGCTCTTTGATGATGAAAGAGATGGTGCCCGGAAGCAGCTCGACACATTTCTGCAAGACAAAGTTCCCATGAAGGTGCTGACTGCAAGCCAAAATTTTGCCTCGGGGACAAAGCATAGCATCCCAACCAGCTGCCTGCCTTTTGAGTTTGATTTCCTTTACACTTGCTTGACTTCTGTGGTCTTGAAACACTTACACAATTTCAAAGCTCCCGCCTTTCAGTTCCTCTTGGATCAATTCCTGGAGCTCGCAAGGAACGAAGTGCAGCGCCTGCTGCATGAACCAGCAGCCATGCTTGTCCTGCATGGTTTGTCTTGCCTATGTCCCATGCCCTGAGACACCTGGAAGGAGCCTTGAACGATGACAACTGCATGAAATGGCTGTTGATGTCAGACCATAGAACACTATGAGAACAGTCCCTGCACTTGGTGTTTGTTTCCTCCCGGTCCTTAGTAAGTTTTAGAATCGAACCCTGCAAGCGCCGCGCCAGCTTGCACAAACTCTCGCGGCTTGAGACAGAGAGAAGCTTCGATAGAACTTGGATTCCTTGTGGATCACATGCCAAGCTAGGCAAGTCGGGCAGAACCGCCGCCACCAATTCTGCCACATAGCTCGAATCGAGCATGGCCGAATCGAGCTTCAAACAGGTCTCCTCTGCGCCGTTGGGTGTGCGGAGGAAGCTGGTGAAGGCCATGCGTTTCATGCGCTTGGTCGGCTCCCGCACCTGTGGAATCTGAGGCCCACTTCGCCTCTCCAGCAGGGTGAGAGGAAGATCAAGACCTGGTGGCGGACCTGAAGGAACATGAGGTCCAGACTCCAAGTACTCAGAGAGTTTCAGAGTGCTTGGTCTACCAGGTACGAGGATCTCTTCCTGCCAAGGTGCCATACCCTGTGACTCAAGTGCGTTAACCTTGAAACTGCGTGGGTGGGTGTGTGTATGTGCTTTTTTCGCTTGCACGGTCCACGTTGGGTCTCAGAACTTGAACCCTCCCGGCCTCCACATCACGGCATAGGCGCGTGTGCAAGTGAACCTCCGAAACCTTCAGTGGTTCCCACGGAAAGCGAAACTCATCTATTCCGTCACTTCGGCGTGCCATCACAAGCAGCCCACCTCGTAGCTTTGGAGCACTAAACGGCCGAAGACATAAAAAAAGAATCACAGCTCTGGGAAAGGACATATGCAAACCACACATGTTTGTTGAATGCAAGAATCCTTGATTTCGAGATTCTAACAATGATCAACACAAGCACCAGCACTCCATGTTGGACCGTTCATAGATGTACATGGTTTCGCCCTCCGGTCGCTGAGCTGCATTTTCTCCGGCCGCTGCCGCCTGAGAGGCTTTTCGACTCTCCGGCTTCCTCCAATCACTGGGTTTTCCGCGTGTGGGTGAGCCCGTGAAAGAAGTCCGTGTCGCTGGAGAAGAGCACGTCCGGGGGGCAGGTAGTACAAACACATGGAGAGGAAAGTCACCAAGTAGCCACCCAGGGTATGAAAATCCAAGGAATAGCTCAGGAAAATTGACGATAAAATGGCGGTGAGGGCCATGGCCTCGCGAAAAAGATCCAGCGAAACAACTGCTGCATTGACAGGTATCGGCTGGGGGCAGGACCGCACAAACTGCGTAGAGCTTCACAATGGAATCAGCATACCTCAGGAAGTCATTTTGGAACACCGGCAGGACGTTAGTCACCGTTAGTCCTCACGCAAGAAAAAAACACGAGATCGTTGTCTCTTTTTTCTCCAGCCTGAAAAGAAAAGCGATGGACTGACCCAGAACGGCATTGCAGAGGACAACCTCGGTTCCACCGCTTTGACGCATGAGTTCCACGACTTTGCTTTCTTCCGAGTTTCTTCCTGAACGAACAGCGGGAACTGCCTGGACTTGCGGATGCCCACATCCCAAGAGGATGAAACCCAACACCCAGTTCTGGTAGTAAGATCCCCCGGAAGAAAGGTGTTGTTTTTGCATCCATTCACAACCCGAACTGGGTGCGGTTAATGGACGTTGAATTAGCGTCGTAAGGTCATATGGCTCCCTGGTGATGCTGGAGTCGGCCTATCGATGCTATCACACTCCTCCCAATGACCTACAGCGCATGCATTACCTAAGGACCTAATGTGCTTCCGGATTCGAGAATGCGGCAACGCAGTCGTCGCACGACAAAACAAGCTGCCTCGTGCTTCATTGTTTTGACAGTACTTGCATCTGGGCAGCACTCCACGGAAGCATGGAGCTGTCAAAGCCTGCCAAGTATCCCTCCGCTGCTGTCTCACCTCAGCAATACAGTGGGCTCCAAAGATTTCAGGAAGCTTCCGAGACAAGGAGGCTTACAATAAGTTCCCTTTTTCAAACTTTCTCCCAAAGAGCAGCAACTGAACGAAACATTTACAAAAAGGCCCCTTCTTCAAACATGAAAACCTCACCAATTGTTCCGGGTGCCCCAACTCCCCAGTAGCGATGCCAGGGTGATCAAGGCACCAAAGAGATAGAGCCACACATTCGCCTACGAATCCCCTTTGGCGGAACGTCGCCGGGGAACGAGCGAGGCGGCGAGGAACGGAACTCACGACGTCGCAGGGGAGGTGCAACAACACCGCAAGGGAAGATGATGTGCTGGGAAAGAAACTCTGCGGGTTTCGGCTACTATAGAGAAATAAAAAAAAACTTATTACTGACAAGCTGGAGAGTTTCCTTCACCAAGGGAAGATTCCACTACCGAGCTCAATTGCAGAATCCAACTTAAGGGTCGGCTACCGGAGGCTCTAGAACTCAACACCCCAAAGCCTCCAACACGCTGCTGCTGCTCTTGATGAGCCATTCATTCATCACACCTGCAACGGCAGAACACCTTAGCAACAAGTCCTGTTGGAAGAAATCCTGTACCATCCCCAAGCTCGAACGAACCCTGGTTATTGTTATCTGCTATCCACACTACCATACCAACTGGTGCAAGACGTCTGCCTTCAACAGCAACAAATCGTCCAAAGAACAAGTCTTCGCATAGAGTGGAAAATGCACAACATCCACAACCAGTCCTGATCAAAAAATCAAGAAGCTCCGAATGGCACCTCTAAGCCTACCTTCCCATCATCATTGGCTGGTCAGACCTGAGGCTTGCACCAGGCGACTGCGAACATGATGGCCGATCCAATCCACACATCATGGCGAGTATCCTGGAGCAATTCCAAACAGTGACGCTCACATCGAACTCACGTGCCGAAGAATCCAGCTGAAAAGACCACCGATCAGGTCGAGAGTAGGTGAAGTTGCTCGCTGGGTGTTGCTTGGAGTCCCCAAATACGAAACTCATGGCTCAAGTCCGGCAAACACAGTGGCTTGGGAGTCCCTCTCATATCCCTCACTTGATGTGCCTGGTGGCTGGTGGGGGGGTGACAGGCAGTGACAGGGTCAAATTTCAGAGCACCCACCTGCCAAACCAACAGGCAACTCATTCTCGTTCAGGCGCTTCTCACTTGCAGTGAGAAGAAGAAAGCTAACATCAGCTAATCAGCTTCTTTCATTCACAAGAAGCTTCACCTCGAAGTCGTGTCCAATGGAATCCTTACCGCCCCTCCGGGCCCGGCGCGACTGGCCTCTTGAGTCGTAGATCCAGGTTTGGGTGTGGTGGCTAATGCCATGCCCAAACCCAAGAGCAACAAGGCCAACCTGGCGAAGGCGAGACACGCGCCCCGGAAGGGGGCAAGGGATCGATCAGTGTTCGGCCCTCATTCCTTTGCGCCTTTTGCGGCTGAGCAGCAAGAAGTGAGCCAACGATTGAGGGTGGGTGGAGAAAAATTGGAGCCGAGTTTTGGACGCCACATCTTCACCCCTCAGGCCCCAGGTTTGATGACACTGAAAGAAACCTTGCTAACTCACATGTCATTGTGCAAACCAGCCCTGTCCAACAGGCCCCATACCCTTTCGGGCCCTGTCATTTTTGTTGCCTTTTTCTGGTAGGGTTTTGCTATGGCGTAGCAGGAGTATCTGGTTGCTTTGGCTTGGCTTTTGTGGCGAAAATGTCCCGGAATCTGATCAAATAGTGCCCCTGCGTATGGGAGGAGAGCAATTTGCAAGTGCCATGTCCTGGCAAGAACTGTTTGTTTCTTGGGTTGGCTATACCTCGGCTGAAGGCTGGAGTGGTTTGGGGGATGAGCTGGGTCTCCCCGTCAAAATGGCTTGGGTTTGGTTCGGTTTTGGTTTGGTTTTGGCTTGGCTTGGCTGAAAGCTGGGCTTGGGGGAGCTTGGTGTGGTTTGATTTGGTTTTGGTTCAGTCCGAATATCACTCTGTGACCCTTCGTTGAACATGGCTCAAGCAGTCACAGAGTGCCCAGTTCCTCACATGAACTGTCACCTGCCTTCTTTCCTTCCATTCTTGCACTTCTTTTGGCAGAACAAAATGGATCCAAAAAGCCAAGAACGACCGCCGGCCGGCCCTTTCTCCTCGCAATCAGCTTCGTTTCCCATCCGAACCGACAGGTCAACATGCCAGACAGCTCCATTGGAACACCCGCAGCTGACGCTTCATGACCTCACCAAGCAGCGCATGAGAACCAAGCAGCTGGGACGGCTGGGACCAACCCGGCCGTTCGTCAAATCGGGCGCCCGCACCACCCGGAACACCAGGGAGGTGGTGAAAAGCTTCATGTTGTTCAGGAGCTGGTACTCTGGTGGTGAGATGAAATGTAGCGCCTCAAACCTGAGCTCTTAAGCGAGTGCACGGCCGGGTAGCACATGCACTTCATATGAAGCAACGACAGAATTTAGGCCGCCGGCACCAGCCGATTTTGGAGGGTGTAGAGCGCTGCAGGTACGGCAAACAGCCAACTTGCAGACTTATGCAAAGAGGAAAGCGCCTGCGCAAAGTGGACGCAAGTGGGTCTCCAGTTATCAACCAAATGATTGCACACACCACAGTGCAGGCTTGCAAAAACCTCACTGCAAGTTGTCCATTCCATGCCTCCCCAAAAATCGGAACCATCCCCGCTGCTACGCCAGCCGGTGGACGAACCGGTGCCATGCGAACCGGTGGAGGACCGCCTTCGGTGGCAGCATGACCAGCGCAAAAACCAGTTTGACGCACTCGGTGAAGAAGACGGCCACCGTGGCGCTGTACCTGGTGTGTCTCAGACCTCCCGAGTGGTTTCAAACAAGATGAGTAAATGAGCGGATGAGCTGCGTGAAGACTTCGAAAAATGAAGCGAATGGCAAGAGGAAGCCTCTCCCTTTTTAAGTACACGTTTTGTGACGCTAGTAACCCCACCGACCTGGTGTCCGACTCCGTCCCGAACGACGCACTGGACGTGCGACTTGGAAGAGGTGATCAAGAGACTGCGGGTCACGTGGCGAGGTCCGCGTGCGGACGTGGGGAAGTTTCGCAGCCAGGCGGGGAGGATCGTTCAGAGGGTGGCTGGGACCCCAAAAGGAAATTACTAGTAGCAAATAGCTACTAGTAGCTTCTTGCTGCTAGTAATGGCCTCCACCCTAGTAACGGTGGCCTCCAACCTAGTAGCTTAGCATTTGAGACCTTTGGGTGTCAAGACACGGTGAGTGGACCAGATCGAGATCGTTCAGGTGTAACGTTGAAGGAGAGGTAGGTGCGTACGGAAAGGTGCATAGATTACACTCGAGATGCTGTGGCTTTGCCTCAGTGACTTGTGAAACGGGCACTGAAGTCACCCGATGGTTTTGAAGCGGCCCATTACTTTGTTATGCTTTGTTGATAGAATCCATGAGAAACACTGTTGAAAAGAGAGCTGGGATCAAAAATAGTCAGACAGGCACTAGTCCAGCATTCTTTGTACTTCACATCTATGCGTATCCATGGGCCATCACTGTGAGCTGTGAGGCACCCTCCCACCTTGGTCTGCCTTCATGCCTGGTCAGCTTAACAAGGTAAAGCAAAAAGTTGTATATCTCGAACTGGTGGATGAGCCTTGCCTCCAGTAGATTCTGGTAGAGAACGGGTCTGAATGTTTTGCACCGCGACCAACCAGTCGTTGGGTTTGGCGGGCGTCGCTGAGTCCGTTCCAGGGCTGAGGTGACCATCATGCCTCTGCACAGAGTAGGAGACCATCAGCATGGCTACCTCAAATGAAAAGAAACCGTCAAGCGCTGATTGTCATGCTGAAAAGGGGGCTTGGGAAGCTGTGAAAAGCCGGCGCAGCTCCATTATGGTTTGAAACCTTGGAAGGTGTCTGCCAGCTTGCCTAGCAAAGATAGATAGAACAATAAACAGCAGCTGGGCGTTGGTTGAAGCCCCTCTCAGAGATTCATCCGGAAGGGTGAGGAAATCTACAGCTGGAAGAACGGCTACAACACAGGCCTTAGGTCCGTATTAGAATTGAAAAGAAAACAAAGATTCCCTGAAGAAGCAAAAGCCCAAAAACCCACTGGCCCAGGGTGTCTCCCAATATATAAATACACGCTCCACATGGGCAACCAGTGAAAAAACTCGCCTTCCACTGCAAAACGCCCCCCACCGGACTGAGGGAGGCACCAGCACTGGTCGACTCTGGCACCATCGGTCGACAAAGGCGCGCATGGCTCCCCATAGGCTTCGCGGCCCGGAGAACAACACCTTCAGGTTCGTTCCGTCCCGTTCTTCGCTGCGTCTCGTCGTCTGAGTTCGTACCCGGAACGTCTTCGGACGGTGGTGTGAGCATTCGGAAACCAGACCTCGGTCGTCATCGAAACGGTTTGGAGCATTCCCGGCCCCTGGTTTGGGTCAGGAAGAAACACCACGACGACATGTTTGGCTTGGTCGTTTCAGTTGGACCAGGGCTCGACTGTCGGGGCACCACACATCACCCCGTCATCAAAGAAGTGCATAGGCTGCATAGGCTGCATAGGGGGGGCTGTGTGTTGATCCTATCGGCTCAAAAAGTGATCTTCAAAGTTGCTGGGTTCCTGGAATTTCAGATACTCCAGAAACGTGAAGCACAAAGACCTAGAACCTGCATGACCCCCGTTTGGGTCGGAAAAAGCCGGGGGTCAAACAGGTGGTAGGTGGCTGTAACAGCTTTGGCTACTCCCAGAGATTGGATGTTGCGTCTTGACGAATTGCAGCACCGAGTCTAAAGCTTTGGAGCCTGACAGCACAAGTCAAAAGTGAAGCTGTTCCTCCCACCCTCACACCTCCCATTGCCTCAGGCATGATGTTGCGATGCTACAAGGCCTTCCACTTGACTGTAGAATCAGAACTAAACTCATCTCATAGTCTAGCTATTGAAGTTCAAGAACGGTCACCTTCTCTCTTTTTACACGAGCTCCAAGTTGGTCTTGTCATGGTGGCAACTCCAGCAGACCGTGCTTCAGCGGTCTCCCGGTGTTGAACGGGAGCGAGCCAGCTCCGCGCTCCGACGAACGCGTCGGCGCCGCGGTGTTCGGCGAAGACCCCTTCGCATGTTCGCGTCCCTGCTCCTGCTCGAGTGAGTCTACGTAAGAAGGCTTAGGTCCCAGAAGCAAGGTTCACAAATTCCTGTGCAAGAACCTTTTCGTTCGACATGGTCCACAGCCAGAGCGATCGATGCCTCTCGAAAAAAGCTTCGCCAGCCGGAGGATGTTCACGAAAATCGTCCACTGACTTGCCATCCAAATGCATCAAAGATCGTTGTCGAACTAATTGTTTTTGGTCCGCACTGTTGATCATTGGTGTGACGCCAGGTGCTCCTTCCTTCTCGGCTCTTTCTTTCAAGACTTGCGCCATTTCTGCATCCAAGAGTGACTGAGCATGAGGAAACATGGTCTTAATCCGATTCTGCAAAGGGAGTTTCCAGCCCTTGGGCCATTCAACGCAGTGAAGAACGATGTAAAAGTATTCACAAAGCTCACGGAAGGCTGCTTGAGTGCTGGCATTCAGCAACTCGATGCTGGAGACCGTGTTGAACATCAAGGAGCTTAGAACCAAAAGCACCTCGTTGTGCCGGAAACGATAATCCGTGTCCAAATTGTAGTGAGCCCAAAGCAAGGACAGCAAGCCGATGGAACGAGCCAGGGCGAGACCACCTTCTTTCTTTAAGAGATCCAATGCCTGAAACAACGAACACGGGGGCCATGGAGAAGAAGAAATCAGGGCAAAACTTACAGTCGACATAGGAGAGGTACATCGTTCTTATGAGAACGCAAATGCCGTGACCGGAGATGTGGACCGTTTCACCCCCCATCGTTCTTTGATTCAGCTCGCTGTCCAACCCAAACCAGCACATGGCTCCAACATTCGTCTGACCTGGTGAGCCCTTTTTTGTGCCCGCGCCTCGTCAAGCATATACGCTTGCCGCAGCACGTCACTGTACCTATCCCTCAGCTCCTGAAGATCAAGGTCGATGAGCTCGTACTCGCTCCGCGGCTTCACATCATCCTTTTCGTCTCCCATCGGTTCAGGCGAGGCACTTGGTGTTTTCTCCTGCAGCATCTTCACATAACCTAAGCCAAAGTGCGTTCAGCGCACCCTGAAGAATGAATTTCTATTCGGGCCAAATGCCGCCAAAGAGCACGATTGGCTTCGCATGGTTTCTGCCAAGAAGAACAGAATCCTGCCTTCGTCTTCCGACTGCCAAGCACGGATTTCTCGTTGGGCATCCAGACTTCCTGAGCGTGCGGGCTGAGCGTTCCGCATGTCCATCTGAGCATTCATCTTCACAGAAAGTCAGAAAGTCTCTTTCTGACAAACATCTTCACAACGAGAGGAGAACTCTTCTGGTCAGAAAGGGGAACAAGGGGAACAGCGAGCAAAAAACACACCACACTTCAGCTCCTTCCCCACTTCTGCTGCTCAGCAAGAGCAAAAAGGAGATCTAAAAAAGACGGTCAAAGAAAGAAGGATGGTGTCACTGGAAAAGAAGGACAAACTGGTTAAACCAGTACCACCTTTTCGCATGCACAGGTATCCAGGGTAAAGACAACAACCAGCTACATCAATGAAGCATCTACCAGCAGTCTGATGATAAGCAATAAAAAAATTGCGTGTTCTCTCAGATTGGACTTTCAACCAAGACGCTTTTCAACAAGTAGTGCCAAACGTCTTGCTCCCCACCCTGGCGATAGAGGTACAGTTCCAGCGAAATCAATGCCTTGGAGATTGGATTCTGCTGAAAAATTGGAAGATGTGCATGAACACATCCTGGAGCTTTGGTGGAGTGGAACACCGGCTTCCAGCCTTTCCTAAGGGCAAAACCACCAGAGTTAGACAGTTTCCACAAGTGCGGATGTGTCCGTGCTTGAATGACTTGGAGAACAGGATGGACCTGAAAGTAGGTGTTGACCCTGCGCCGATATTCTGTGCTTCCAACAAAAAAGGGGTGGTGCTGACATGTGGTGGTTAGGATTGATCCTGCTTTGCAAGCTGATCAAAGTTGGGTAGGCTTGCCACTCAATCTCATCCTGAAGGGATTTTACATGTGGAGAGACTCCCGGAAGGGGTCGGTTCCATCTTGTCCTTTCCAGAATTCCAATTCAAAGAAGTTGGGCATTCACAAAATTCGATAGATTTCGATAAATACTTGGGTGGAAACTCAAAGGCGCACGAAAGGAACGAAAAAAAGCACGTCCGCTTCTTCACAGCGACCGGATCGTTCAGGATCTTCCGGTGGCTGGCATCGTGAGGGTTCCCTCCGGAATCGCCCCGGTGCTTCTGCGGTTCCCAGGTATGTAGAAGCCCCGCATAGTGCTGGAAGATGGCTTGCGCATGGTGCTTCAACTCACGACCTGACCACTTGTGTAGAAGCCGCACACGTGCTGAAACAAAGCACACAGGAACCCTTCCAAAAAAAACGTGCCAAGTGCTGCTGTGTGTGTGTGTGTGTGTTGTCGGGAAGAGTATCAGCACTCCTGAAAGAGAAGGAAAAAGAAAGTGATCCTGTTCCTCCGGAGGACCTTTCAGCTGTTCCTCCCAGCTTCCGCGTTCGTCTTCCAGCAGCTGGTTGTCGACATTGATCTCCTTCAACAAAGACACCAAGGAGGGCAAGGCTATGAGGTCGATCTCCCCCTCCTCGCTGGCAGCTTCCAATTTCACCAAGGAGGCTTCCATGTACACCAAGACCTGGCAAATGAGAAAAGCGAACAAGCAACCCTGACAGCGAAAGCCGTGAACGATTGAATCGGAAGAGAGAGAGAGAGAGAGTACTGCGAAACATATATATATAATATATACTATATTATACTGTACATGACACGCGATTCACAGATGGCAAGGATGCAACAAAAATGTCTGAAAGCACCGCCAAGGAAACATATGCAGAAGATCTCGATGTGCCACCCAAAGCCACTGTTTGGACCTCTTCCCAGGTGACGATGGACACGAACGAATCGCTGAAACGTACCCAGCGGTCTTGTCGCCAGTCCCTTAGAAATGCCAAGTAATGTCCGGATCTTGCTTCTCCCTGATGCACCCAAATGGCATAGAGCTCATATCCTTCCTTTTGCAAACCGTGGGACTCGTAGGCCTCCGAAAGCTCTTTCTGGACACGAAGCTGTTCTCGGACCAGGTGTTCCTCCTGACTCTCACAGAGCTCTGCCAAACACCTCAAGGCCTTCAATGCAGCGGGAACTGTCTCCACCGCCTCCTGCCACGCGCTCGAGAGCGCCTGCATCCTTTCGTCCGGCATCCCTTTCGACTGCTGGACGGCCACGCCCGGATCCCATCCAGTGGACGAGAAGCCGACGTCGGGGACGGCATTGCGCTCGAGTAACTGTGCAGCACTGGAGAGCAAGCGATGGGCTGGAAGTGATAACGGATTGGTCTCGCTCTCGCCGCCGGCCTGTCAGGTCACTCTTTCTTGGGGAACGACCAGGGGGGCGAGGGCAGTGGGCCCATCCGTGCGTTTTTTTTCAGACACTGCCAGTGGAACCTCGAACATTCTGAGAATCGGACCGGATAGTTGCGGAAGCGCACCAGAGCCTATCCAGGGATGGCCGGTCATTGGGGTTGTCAAATCCATAATCAACAATCAATCAACTTCAAAGCAAGTTGGAAGCTTCAATCATCTTCAAAACAAATACAGCCTCCGTTCAACCCAAACTTCAGCAACTTCAGCACCAAACTTCAACCCTGTGGATCCACACCGCCGAATCGGCATCCTCTTACGCGACTCAGCCAGTGTTCCGCCTCTTCGATCTCCTGCTTTTGCTGCTCCAGCCGCTGCACTTCAGCCTCCACTTGGAGCACCTTCTCTTGATTCCTCCGTGCAGCTAACGAACACCGAAAGCCACACCGGAAAGAAAGAAAGTGGGGATGGGTGGAGTGAGATCGCAGGAAGTGAGAAAACAACGGTGGACTTCATTGATTTTTTTTCGGAAAAGAAGAGAAGATCTGTATGTTGCATATTGCTTGTGACAGACCTAACATGTTCAATGCTTCTTTCTGAAGAGATTCTCTCTATTTGCCTGGCATCATCCCGAAGCCAAACATGTGTGGCAAGCAAGTGGCTCATTGAGACCAATCATAGGTGGGACTTTTAGCTCATGGCCTGCCCCTTAAGTAAGGAGGTAAGCTCCTAGGTAGGACGCAGGATAGCTCACGCTATTCATGTGGTTCCTAGATCTTTAGGAAAAGAAAAGGGAAAAAGGAAAGAAAATGGGCTTGGGTTAAAGCATCTGTATCCAATTCCTTGAGGATGGGCAATTGAAATTTGAGCTCGGCTTTCTTCCCTCCAATTACCCCGTGGCCGGCCCGTGGCCCAGTGGTCAAAGCCTAAAGCATTGCTTGGCAACCAAGGCTCCGCTGCAAGAAGCGGTCCGGGTAGATGGTCAAATCAAACTCGAACTCATCCTCAAGCTTGACCTGCGCCTGGCGGACGTGTTTTCTTTACATGGTTCGCACGGTAGAACACCATGAAAAGAACCCAGAAAAAAACACCTGTTTGAAGTTCAAGACATCATAGTTCCAATGCAGGCGAGATGTTCCATCGGTAGACACAAGCTCATGGCCTTCGTCTCAGGGTCAAAGGTGACACGCTGCAGCTGGAAGAAGAGAAGCTTTGGCAGTCGTCGGATCCAGACTCGAGTCTTGCCATCGGCCTACAACACATGGACACATGGCAATCAATGTGGATGCTTACTAATCTTATAACGGCTTCCAGAATCACCAAAGACTTGGTGTTTCTATGTCCATGTCCATCGCAAAGGGATCCTAGAAAGGTTCAGCGGGGCACATCTGGCTGGTGTTCACCGTTTTGCGGGCACTGCTTCGGTGTCACACGCAGCTAGGTCTGATAACCCTCGTTCAGGGCCTTGGAGCCCGTTGGGGTCGTGTAGTCCACATCTTGCTGACTGGATGCCGCCCATGCAGAGTAAAGGTTCTTGTGCTTCACATCCAGAAAAATCTGTAGGAAATCACTGCATTCCTCGCTCACCACCCATTTTTCAGATGTCGCTTCGCCAGCTTCACCCTTTGCTTCGCCTTTCGCTTCGCCTTTGCTGGGACTGTCGTCACACGCTTCGGCCGCTGCACTCTCTCCACTCTCCCTGTAGGAAAAGACCTGCACTTGCTCGCCAAATAGAAGCTCATGAAGTGGATTTGTACCCTTCTCGGTCGCCTCCTCGCATGGCCAGACTCACGTTGCTTATCTAGAATCTAGAATCTAGAACCTTTGAGAACAGAGTCACCCGAAACCCGCCTGGGCTTGTGCATCTTTACTCTTTGAGAATCCTTCCTGGCTGGCTGCAAATCTGAACATCACTGCCACCAAACGAAAAAGCAGGAATCACAAGAGCTTGCAACCTTTCGAGGTCCGGAGCCCCAAGAAAAGGGACCCAAACATCGACTTTTGGGGGAGCCAACGCACGAGAACGCCGAGCTGGAGCTCCTCCAACTGATCTACGAACTTCAGCATAAACTCGCTGACGTCCTACAGGAGCTCTGGGGGCAAGAAGTGCAGAAAAGAGGAGAAAAACGGATTACTCCCCCCCCCAGCAGACGATCCCATCGTCCCTGAGAATTGACCCATGGTTTCGACCATTTTCCGAATACCAACCCAGTGGTTTTGGGGAGAAACCATGTCAATCTGCAGGGGAGTACAAGAACTTGTCCAATGCAGATTTGCTCTCTGTTTTCCCCCCGCCAATGTTCGAATGACGTTGCGACCAACCGGGTGTGTGTGGGGGGTCTCTTTCTCCTCCTGTCCGCCAATGGGCAGCTTGTGCCCATGCTGATCCACCAGCTCGGCGATGAGCTGTTGGGGGCTCACGCAACTTCGCTCCGTGTGCTGACCTGCATGACACAAGGCACTCTGCGAGGAGGGCCAGACGACGGTGGCGGGGGTGGCCAGGGCTGGACTCGCCCTGGTGGGGCGATCGTCAAGATGTTCATCCAAAATCGGTCCATCGAAGGTGGAACAAAACCTCTTTTGAAAGGGTATCATCCAAAGCCATGTGGCTGTGGAAGGCCAAAGCTACGTACAGTTCCACAATGAACAGAAGAGTCTTGCGGTAACTCTTCACCTACGGTCCTACAGTGTCCAGTGTACCAGGGATCGGTCTGCCAAAGTACCGACCCAGTCTACTGATGTGGGTGTGGATTCATCTTCCAGGGACCTTCCACGGATGGGTCCAGGAACATCGACCAGTCTACCCATTGATTGGCCTATGCCTATATATCCCTATATAAATACACAGCCATGTGGAGATCCTTTGGAAGAAGGCAACACAACGGTTTCATACGGTTTCGAAACCAAGGCACAAAATGCAAAGAGCCTTCGAAGCTCCAAGACCAGCTGCACTGCATGTTGCTGCCGCCGCTGCTGCGCCAGCCCCTTCGCAGCTTCTTCAGTGTTGGTGCCTCAGATGTGCTTTGATAGAATGGGGCGAGGGTCCTTTCAAAACAAAGAGTGGACTCGGATCTTTTGGAATGCATAGGGTTTTGAAATGAGGTCCTTATGGTTTAGGATGCCCTAAACGGCTCTCTCTTCATTCTGGACGAAGCTCCGTGACTCCTCCCCGTTACGCATCCATTCGGTGTTTTGTCCCCTTACGCTTGGTTGAAGGACTTTCCTTGGTCGACCAAATTTCACTTCACACACAAAGCCTCAAAGCCTCTGAAGAGAAGAGAAGCTGCTTGGTGGAAGCCCCTCTAAACGGCTTGGATCTGTGCCGGACTCGAAGCGAAGCACTTGATTTCGGAAGGTTTCCGCGTGGAAGAGTGTCTGCAGCAAGGAATTCACATAGCCTCACTTGTAAGGCCACCAAAACCCAATTGCTGACCCCACAAAACCACAGTAAGTGTCACAGAGTCACAAAAGTTCGAACGATTTTTCATGAAAAGGTGGTTTGGCTGGCTCAGAGATGTCCTGGATCATCCTCTGATGTGGGCTGAGGAGCAGGTATTACCGACATTCAGCAAGCCGCAGGGCAGCCCCAAAGGCCGAGGCATTTGTGGTGTCGGCACATTGTCCTGGGTTCGGGACACCACCCATGACATCTCCCCATTGGTCTGTTCTTTGATCATACTTTGGACAAGGCAACAAGAATCCACCAAAACCATGAAAATCCGATCCGATGTTTTGCTAATGTGGTGCATCAAACCCCAAACAATGTCCTCAAGTGCGAATTCATTGGAACGTGACACATCTGCATTGTAGCCTTGATCTTCCAAACCAGGAGGTTTCGTTTTCTTCTTAGGCAGCTCCGGCCACTCCGTCTCCACTGGGCCATCGGCCGCTCCAGGCGCGACCAGCACCGTTCCACTCGTTCCAGCCGCGGTCCGCGTGGGCGACGGAGGCGCTGGGGAGTCGGTCTCCGTCGTGAGGAGCAGCTCCAGCGCCTGTTCCACGTTGCCCGCCTGGCTGAGCGCCACCTCAGCTTCCGCAGCACCAAAGCCCATGTCCTTCAGCTGTTGGATCTCCATGGCGTACAGGTGAAACAAACAGGACAGCTACTAAAGGAAAACACTGGGAGCCCAAATCGACACCAAATGGCACGAGTGTGCCCAATTTAAGGTCAGGGCAGCTAGTAGGTGCTCCGTGGCAAGCTACCATTGATCGATGCGCAGGCTATGGTGCCGGCACGGTGGCGCAGTTTCTACATGTCTCATTCGTTAGTGCGTCTTCTAAATCTGAATGATGCGCATCGTCTGTTGGTGGCGTCAGCCTGATGAAAACAATTTTTTGAGTGCACCTTGAAGCTGACTGCTTCGGCAGCTCAGGCCCTCACAGTAACTCGCAACACTGCCACTGGTCACAGCCACAAGAACCAGATCTTTTTTCCACATCCTTGCCTCTAAGCCTGCCAACCTCTGACTCAAAAATGGAAATCCCGAGCAACGGGTTCAAACTGCTGAGCTGTCATCTGCGGCAACTGGGTCATCTGACCTTCTTTGATTTTTATCCGACTGTTTGGATGGTTGGAGTGTTCCTATGTGTGTTGAGCGTATTTTCCGATGGGATTTGTTGACAAGCAAGCCAATGAAAATTGTTAGGCAGTTTCATCGCTCCTTTTCACTCATCGCTGAGCCACTGCAGTGCGGAGTCACACTGATAAGAACAGATACTGCTCTTACATCTTTACATGTATGTGTGCTCATGTACATTTGAAATCTCTAACACCCTGCCTTGCGTGAGTTCTCTTTTTCGAACTCTTAGCACACTATTGTCCAAGTTCCTCCTCTGTGTAGATCAAATGATCTCTTTCTTCATCTCGGTTGTGCCATGCCTCCACAATCGCGTCCCAAGTCTGGTCGTACTCTCCATTCACCAAATCTCTGAACATCTTGTGGTAGTTGCGGTCATAGATGTCGTACATCAGGGCATAGTCGAACTGTAGCCCTGGTTCATCTGGGTTGTGCTTTGCTGCTAAAAGCTGCAGGAACTGCTTGCACAAATACTCCGGGAAAAAGCCAGCCTCGATGACAGCACTGAGGCCATCCAGAGCAAACTGCAAGTTCCTCCCAGGATACAAAGGTACTGACGCCAGCCTCAGCTGCCCAGCACTCTGCCCGGTGCCTGCCCACGGCATGGAAGGCAGCCACTAATCAACAGCAAGTAGGAACAAAACGGCCTGCGCCTAGCCCTCCTCTTGATGAAGCGGAGGACCAAAGGAAACCCTTAGAGAGCACAAGAACTGCGGCAAATACTAATCACGAGGTTGAGAGTGGTCACCCGTGTGGCTGCCCTCTTGTGCCTCTATCTGAAAACAGTCCTGGCAGTCCTCCAATCGAGGAAGCAAGGCGACGCAGCCAATGGGCATCTAGTCCGCCTGCAGTCTCTGCAGCCCCGCCATTAGGCGTGGATAAGACAAGGCGATCGGCCGCTAGCCCAGATAGCCCGACCAGCTCTGCTCGCAGTGCAGGTAAAGGTGTGGACAAGGCCCCTGCCCCACAGGCAACAGCGCGGCCCAGGATACAAGGGCCTTTTGCAGTCAAGTCTAAGGTGGCCAAACCAGCCGAGTACCCACAGGGACGGGGTACAGAGCAGGGGATGATTGATGCAATCCAGTCTCGACTACACACACCGCTACCGCCTTTGCGGATACAAATGACCCAGAAGTGCACACATCAACCAAGGAGGAAGCCCCCGCAATAGAAATCTTTCTTGCGGAGGCAGATGACCAGTCGGGACCAGGTTGATGCTGACACAGCTCACCTCGCAGAGCAGAGAGCTGTGCATTCGCTGCTTCGTTACCAAACGCAAGCTGCAAAGCACAGTACCCACGCAGTACTAATTCTGTAGACGCAGCCACGATGCTGCCGCCAGTGGCGCCCCCAGTGAGCCTTTATGCTAACCTGCCACAAGAGTGGCCACTGGCACGTCTTAGTGTTCAGGTACGCCAGATCGGTGTGCTGCTGAGGGTCACCCTTTACCGCCGAGTTGCTGAGCTTAATTTCCGTGGAGTCGACTTTCGGTCACTGCCGCGTGAGGTAATGAGGAATATCGTATATGACTTCAACAACATTGGTGGGGAGTTAGCCAGACGTCTTGCGTCACTATTTGCCTTCCTCAAACCAGACCCAAGTGCTGGCACACAAGCGGACACACTGGGGCTAGCACTCTATGCAGACCCGGCCTACTGGCTATATGGACTCTTATCCTATTGTGCCAAGAATTGAAGAAGCCAATGGGACCCCAGTATGGAAAGCAAAAGAGGAGGGAGGCACACCAGACATCGAAACCACAGGCAAAACCTTGGCGCTTATGCAAACAGTTGTAATGTCCTTTGGCCGCAATCAAAGCCTAGGCAAGCCGGACCTCCCCATCCATCACACGCATGAAGACAGACCTGCTCTTCACAGAAATCACTCCAGAGGACGGAAAGGAGTACAAGCATAATAGTGAAAGCGAAACCAACAGCCCATACATTGTTGTGAGCACATATGAATGCCTGTGTCCCTCGAGCACCTTTGCAGGCCTCCCGCACACACCCAGTCTTGCAGGGGCTTACGAGCAAGGACTGCTGGATGGCAATCTGGGCCAAATGGTCTCCTTCCAATCCACATACAAAAGTGTCCTCCGGATCGAAGTGCCAGTGTGGCCAGACGTGGTGAAAGCAGTGCTGCCCCCCGCACAGGCCAAGCGCCCGACTACACCCCGGAGAACTGCCCTCCAAACTGCCAGTGCTCGAGAACAGAACCGGGCAGACGGGCTGACCCCACAAACACAGGAAGGCACTCCTGTAGAACCCGCCAGTGCAAAGAAGGCTGAGGAGGAGGCAGAGGAGGAGGATGAAGAAACTTATGTGGCGCCAGAAGGGCAAGGCTGTTTCTCCTTCAGGCAAAGCCTCCTACTCAGAGCCAAAGACACTTATGCAGCTAGATGCACTGGTAATAAATATGAAGTCATCTCCAGATGGCTCCTCACAGGGCTTGCAGTAGTACTATCGAGGCAGAACTGGCAGCTTCTGGCCAAAAGAGGGACGCTGACTGCCACCCCTCAAGACCTTCTCAAGCGGTACTATCAGATAGGATACCCTGCTGGCCTCAAGGATAAAACAATACTACCATATGCGCTCCCGATACATAATGCCATCACGGATGTAGAGTGGCAGCGCAGGGTCGGGTGGTACTGTCATTCACGCTACTTAGCAGACATGGACACTCTGTATGCTGAACGCGCAGGGTCGAGGTTTGACGCTTTCTATGGCACAATGGACCTTACCAACCCCATCCAAGCCATGCAATACGACCAAACCGAAGTTGAACAAGATCAAAGCAAGAGGACGAACTAAATGCGCTTATCAAGCTAGATAAGCCAATACTACACCGAGCAACGCTGAATCGCAGAGAGCAGACGTAGGGGGGTTGCGCAGCACTCAGAAAAAGATATCCGAGATGGATGCATGAGGCTTTTTGGTTAATTAAAAAACAAAAAATCCGCAATGCTTTTCTGATGTGTGACAACCTTGTATCACCGCTGTTGCAAATCAGCAATAAATAGCAAACGAGCGAAGTAGGCAGTTCTTGGCTCAAACAGCATTAGAAGGACTCCACCACCCATGGAACCTGCCGGCCTCTCTGGGGCCAGCACCCCCATCGAGAATGAGCCGGTTATGGACTGCTGTTTGGTGCCAACAACCCTTTCGGGCATGACAATGCATGTTTCTCTCAGTGTTGCAAAATTCGACCGATTTGAAGACTTCGAGGATCAGGTCATGGACTATCTTGCCTCAGTGTTTTTTTTCCACGAGCACGGACGCCGTGTGGGCATGGTGCCCAGGTCATCATTGAAGGAAGGGAAATCAATCAGATGGTGGAGAAAGGGACAAAGACAACCCAACAACAAACCAAACAAAACCAACCACAGCCCACAGGCCGAGACTCCACCACCAAGTAGTATTTCCTCTGTACTAGGTTGAAACAAGTGAGACGATGACTGCTGACTATCTATGGGCCTGAATTCACGAAAGAAGAGCATGGCAGCGAGGGTTTGTGCTCTAGCAAAATCTCAACGAAGTCGTCAAATGGACTTCACATCACTGTTACCAGTGACCAGCGGCCACTGCACAGAGTGGCAAAAACTTGGTCACAATGCAAGTTCCGGGCATTGGTATGCTCTAACACAGGTCTGATCCTTGCCTAAGTGGATCAGTGGTTGCTATGCAGATCATGCCGTGGAAAAATCCTTTCTTGTAGCACAACCCATGCAACACAAGTCAAGAGGCACAGTAGTTGGTCGTGTTCAGGCAGTGGCGGCCATAGCAAACGACGAAAGCCTGCAGGTAAGGGTGCGAAAGGCTCACCCCCCCGAAGGGAGGTCATCTCTGCACCCTTCGGCACACAAAGGTGCCAGAACGGGGTGTGTCCTAACCTTGAGAAATGCTGCGTCATTGCAAAAGCATTGTCCTGTTGCGCGCAAGGCCCGTGTGAAACAGGTGAGACCGTGGACCTATCCTAGCATGGTATATGTGCCTCTTTGTACAAAATTGGTAATGTCGGACATCAACAGAGGGAACTAAGGTTCCCCCTGGGCATCCTCCATTGCCACTCTCTACCACCCGCCTGTTGGGAACGAGGAGCTGAGGCTCTCATTCCTTTTGGCTCACTGTATCGTGAATGTCGAAAAACAAGTTGGCGACTCTACTCAATGTTTGCACATCATTTCACTTGACGTATTTCATGGCGGAGTGCTTATGCACCATTCCCGTGGCGAAAGCATTGCTGGCCTTTGGTGCAGGTTCTAAAAAGTCTTCTCTCCATAAATCATTGGCATCGGCCGGCAAAAATCGGAGCCATTTGGGCTGATCGAGTTGCTCACATTTGTCAAAGGCATTGGGTCGGGCATATGTCCCTCGCCATGTTTTACTTTTCCTTGCTTGCGTATTGCTCGAAGTTGCGTGCAACCTGCAAAAGCGCGTCGCGCAATGTAAAGCAGGGATGGTGGAGTGGAAACCTCCTGTAGAGAGGTACACTTGAGGAAGGCTTCTTGCTCAATGATCCTCAAGTTGCGGGAAAGGCAGAGTTGTTGCTACT